ACTTCCGCAATAGTATCTCTTAAATTTCTTGGAAGTTTTAAAATAAAAATCAGATTTTATTGAACATATCAGTCTGAAGGGATATAAATAAATATTGGATTTTCTTCTTTAACTTTAATCGGATTTTCTCAAGAGATTCATTCAGAAGATTTATTATTGTTATTGACGATACAAACTATCTATTAAATAATTTTTCTTCATTTCCATCAGTATACAATCAACAATTTGATGCCATGGAAGTCGTCGATTTAAACTCGAATGCTTGTCTGAAGAAGCCATAACTTTGAAGAAGGAATAGTATAAATAAATGAAATGGTCAGTAAAACGAAAAGTACATACAGCTAACTTTGGAGTAACATAAGCGTAAAATAAACAGTGCAAAAAGCATTATTATATAGTGCTGTGAAAACACTATAGTGGGTGGATGAGTTGTTGGCTCCAAGATATTTCGTAACGCAGAAACATTGAGCTTATAAGTGGAGTAAGGTCAGCATAAAGATATGGTCAAGAAGTATATGTTGAATGTGGTTTGTGGTTATAAATTTTATATGAAAAAGAGGTATTGCCATGTCCGCAAGCAGTGTCATTATTCATATTCTCAGCGGACACACGAGACACTCCCATTCTATTCCAGTAGCTGCTATTTTACTCATTCATTTAACAATATATTTCATTGATTTTTTTTTCGGTAAGTTGTTCTTAAATTATTTCTCTTCTCTTTTTTTTTATCTAAAAAAAATCAGCCCATACTTTTTAATATGTCACCAGCAACTCTACTCTAATAGTCATTTTATTCCAGGTTCCTTCTAGCATTTTTGATTACTCCATCGATCCTACATTGATTCAATCAACTGTGATGGTCTCTATCAATTCAATTATTCACATTGTTCCTACAAGCCTGAAAGCAACAAGGATTCACTTAGATTTAAGGAGATCTCTTTTTTTATTTCAGTCCAATAAACATCAAAGCAGAGATAAACAATGGAATTCTGTACGATAAGCATTCCTCAATTGTATCTTTTGTATTAAATTCATGAAATACCTGAGGAGGACAAGAAATTAAGGAAATGAAAGAGAAGATGGATATTACCAAAAATACGACCAAGGTAAAGATAATGAAAACATGAGCTTGTAAATGAAATAAAAGAAGAGAGTTAAAATCTAATTAAAACTCTCATGTAATTAATAGCTCCAAAAAAAGAAACATCTCTTCAGCTAATTTAAGGACTGCAATCATTAGAATGAGAAGAATGGTAGATTGAATATCTCTTGAAAAAACAAAATAAAACTAGTGAATAAGATTAAATACAAAGGCGGCGAACATGTACAATGAGGAGAAGAAGGAGCAAATTCTTGATCATCATCACACACATTGTCAAGTCTATATGATGTAACGGGAGAAACTACAGCAGGTTTGTGTCATACCCATCTGCTTGAAATTTCGTAATTCACTAGCTGCCAGTTTGTGAAGCCATTAAGCCTTCTCTGCTGTAGCTGCAGCAAAGAGAAAAAAAATGCCCAAATGGTTGAACAAGAAGAGGAGATAAGAGAATTGAAGAGATCTACTGGGGAAGATATAAGAGAGAAAGGGAATTTTTTGAACTGTCTGGACAGTTATCATGGAATTTGGCACGAGCCACCACTCCTCCTATATCTCTCAATCTTCCGCTTATCCCACAGTTGACCCCAACCTTGAGTCATATAAAATAATCGGGCTCTCCCAAACCAATACTGATCTCAATTGGTAATCCGATTTCTCTGACTGCAGATATACTTGTTTGTCCATTTATTACATTTAAATCTTTCTCGATATTCAATTGCTCTAATGACTTGTACAAAAGAATTAATTTTATTTATGATAAATTCAGATAAATTATTATTCAGCTGATGTCATCATTTTGGATGAAATGACTTTGATTATAAATTAGGATAAATGATGACTTTTTATGATTTCATTTGAATAAAAACTTTGTTAGAATTCATCATAATTTTACATAACAGTCATTTTTATTTTATCAATGAAAATTTTAACGACACTAAAAAGACATTTTATTGTAGATATTTTATAGCTGTTATTTATTTTTTATTACCATGATATGAATGAATTTAAAATTGATAGATACATTAGTTATTAATGATTGGCATTCATTGAATGTCATTTACAGTTTACTTTTAGCAAATCAAAACAGCAGACTTTCACTTTTTGATAATCCCACATGATGTTTGATAAACAGTGTAATTTTAAAAATGATGTTGATCTATGAACTTGGTTAATGTACATGCTTCCAGTTGAAACGTCATGACCGAAAATACCTGCTAACAATAAACTTTCCAATGTTTCTGTGGAATAGTTTGCATTTCTATAAGACTGAAGTGAAAATGAGACAGTTTAGCATATTTCAATTCTTTCGTTTACCCTTCAAGACCATTTTCTAAGAAACCCTATGAAGTCTAAGTAAAAATGATTTAGCAGAACGCCTACAACTAAATGACAGTATTCGATTCCCAAGCACGGACACAAGTTGTTTTCTCATAAATTTCTTATATGATAATGCAAATAGTTGAATGCACATATTTTCTATGTAAAGAAATATTTACTATCACATTTTCCATTGGTTGTTATCTTTTTGCTCAAATCATTATCCTTGTCACGTTTTATCGAGATAAAATATGATTTTTAAAACCGACAGACAACGTGTCACCTCACTTCTGAGTGTTAATGTAACAAAAGTTTCCTCTGTTATTCCTATATGCTATGGTAAATTGCTTGGTATATTTGCTGCCAACATACTAGCAATTGACGTCACTATATTTAACGAACGGACGTTCAATCGATTTGATTGGGATTCTCTTCCTCCTAGTTCTTTTACCCTTTTTTTTTATACTTCCGGTTAAAGCGTAAATCGTTGTGCTAGAAAAACTGTTTACAGTGTGAATTTATATTATTTTATTTCCATTTATTACAATAAATGTTACTCTACTATTATTCTAACTAACCTACAATTTCATTTATTTCAAAGTAATTTATTTTATTTACATATTGTAATTGATTTCATAGATTTATCTCTTTAAAATATTTTAAGAATATTATTTAATACTCAATTGATTAAATTTAATCAAAGATTGAGACTTACTTATGATGAGAAAGATTTTTATTAATAAGTTTTTATAAAGTTTTATCTTAAGATGTCTTATCTTTATAAAAATTATTATTTTCAAACATCAACCTAACCTAACTTTTCCACTTAAATAAACGTAACTGAATAAATTGGTTGATATTAATAATTAATACGTTTATAGAAAAAGTAGTCGGTGAATTTTTTTGTGAATATAGAGCAACATTCTTGAAGTTAATGAAATTATCGGAAAGTTTCTCACAGCCATTATGGGTTTCTCAAATAGACACTTTAAGTAGTGGTTTGAGAATTCTTTACTGGAAGAGTAGAGTGGATTAATGGATCTTTAAGTAATTATTGACATCAAGTTTCTCTTATCATGATGAGTAAAAATTCTAGTAAACAACTACATTAGCATCAATATATTTATTCTAAACATAAATAAAAATTATAAAACAACTGTATTTCACTTGGAACTTGATGAAAGTATTACAAGTTGTTTAATAAATGAATATTTTGCAAGTCAATTAAATAAGTAATTGCTGATAAAATGATTGATTGCTTGAGGGAGAACCGTCACGCAATGAATCTATTCACAGCCATTCATCGACATATTTCGGTTTCTCACTTGATCAAGCGTATGATAGTCAATCAAAGTCATTGCCTGAGGCAGTAGAGATGGGTTATTAGATAGAAGCGGATTAATAGGCTTGCAAACACTTTGATTTTCTTAATAAACTTTTTACAACTAAAGTTTTGATTTGTGTCCATTTTTTTTTACACTTTATTTAGTACTCTATTGCCTCTCGAGAACATTAAATTATCCAACTTAAGTATGTTTATAGTAATATACGACCAAAGACTTCAATAAGTATGTAAACATGTTGACTGCTGATAACATAACTACTATGATAAATACCGTTAGAAACGTGCTAGAAAGTGCAGCAAAGATGTTATGCTGAGTGTTGCTTTGGTTAAGCAAATTCAAGGATTTTTTCTTCATTTTTTCTTTTCATGGGAAATATAAACAATAGAATTTAGCAAAAAATTATTCGAGTGTATAAAAAATCAATGAAAGATGCATCTTCAATTAGAACATGTTCTAATTATATATTTATTAAAATAAGTGTATATTAATATTTTATATTTGAGTTATTATGTTACTTAAAAAGTATAATTATTTTTCCAATTTATATTTAATAATCCTACTTTATAATTCAGTTAATTATGTATGGTGTAAATAATTAATGAATATGTGCTATAAATAATGTTGGATATTTTTTCTCCATTCATTTATAATATCAGTCAACTTGAAAAATATTCAAGTAACAAAAAAGCCATACTTTTTTTATTTAACTTAAAGAAAAAAAGTAGAAAAACAATTTTATAAAGTTTGTTTTTTAAATGTTTGCTCTGAATAGAAAGCTTTTTTATTTCTTTTGAAATAAATGTCAAAGTTTCTCTTTACATATTAAATAAATTGTAATAATTGAGAAATTTTTGCAATATTTAATAGCATTAAAACCGTGAAATTTTGTAATATGAAAAAACATTCAAATTTTATGTAATATTATAAAAACATTTTCAGACTCATCAATACTTAAACCGATAGTGCATTTGTTAATCGAAAATGAAATGAGTTCGAGATACGAGTCGTGGTTGATCGTAAAAATGATGTCAGATGCAATAAATGTCTTACTCTGAGTACTGCATGCGTTTGAAACATTTATTGCAACGGTAGTAAATTGAACTGATGGCAGAATATTCTTCTTAACGACTACAGTGTCAGAAGTAATTATAGAAAAACAAAATAATCAAATAGACAAAAAATATGAATCTAATATATAACAGTAACAAAAAAAGAAAAAAATAATTACACTATACCTTTAATAACAATTTTTTCGTATTCCTCAGCTCTTCAGAGACTTAATTTTCTTGAAGCAAAAGAAAGAATATTATCTTCAAGAGCATCAAAATATGGCCAGTTATTTATTGGCAAAAAAGGATTGAAATAATTGAGTGCCACTGGATGATAATTTCACTTCTAATGAGTCAATTGCATTAATGTCACAATAAATGAAAACGTGTTTAAATTAGCACTAAAAGTTGTCGTTGGTACAATAAAATAACTAGCAGAATAATGATCTAGTTAATGCGTAAATAATTGATGTGAATATTTTCAGGAAATCATGGATAATAATATGATGTCTAGTGACAACAGAATTGAGTTAATAACCATTAATATGGATAATTGTTCATTGATGTGTTGTTATAAAATAACACAAGACACGTTGTGAGAGTGTATCCGATGCAATGATTTACAAGAGATCCTTCGCGCGCGAGAGTTCGAAAAGCAATGCCAGTACAGACGTTGGATCGTTCATTCCTTCCTATAGTCGCACGTACGCGTCATTCCTTGACTTGATCACAAGTCTCGAGGTATCTCAGAGTCATCTCCTGGTCCCACTTATGTGTCGTACGTTGATGCTCTCTTACTTCAACATATTTGAACGCTCCAAATTGTTTTGTCTCTTTTCATCTCATTAACTTTAAATATTTTTCCATCTTTTCTAGAAGCCTTCTTTTTTCTCTTCAGTTGTATCTCATACTTTTCATCTCACTCAAAGCAAAGTACCTTCCATTTACTTGCCAACACTTGCGCCACGCGCCCAGCGGTGCTCAGAAGCGAGGTTCGCGACACCCACGTGCTTCTTCAACTATAAAGGAACAACCAATGTGTTTGATAAAGATCAGAGACTGGAATAACTAATATAACCGGCTTCCACTACATCAAAGTGATCTCAATATATAACCAAAGACAAGAAAAGTGCGTGACACTTGTCATGTTTCTCCATTTTTTCCACTACTGTCTGCTCAATATCGAGTATTTACTTTCACACCTAGATAATCATTCTTTTCAATATAAATCAACTATTTAACATCACTATTTTTTGGAGATTCTACCTGCTAATTATTACCATTTCAACATTTTTAAATAACTTTGAATAAAAAATAAATAAATCCTGATATTTTATTTTACAATATTTTTCAAAAGTCTTTAAAAACAAATTTATGAGTAAAAATATTTAATCAAAGCTGTTTAATATTTTTTATTAAAAAAAAAATACTCTCGAGTTATTGACATTAACGAAGAATTTAATTAAGTACACATAATACAAGATAACCAGAATGAATTATTAATATTAAACACTAATCAAGGCAGAATCTTCAATTAAATCAATCTATAATTGTATTTAATCATGAACTATGCTTTGTTAGAACCATCCACTACAGTTACTGCTAGCTTAATATTGATAAGATAATTTTGTCAACATGATACATCAAATATTGCATTCATTTTGGCTTCTATTAAGCTATAAGTTGATAAAATTGATATACTTGCAGATGAGTAAATTTGGCGATAATTTTAATTATATTATTAAGTGTAATTTAACTATGTTCACGTAGAACATTTATGCCCTGATTGAACAAAATATAATATTGCTGATAATCAACGCTTATTTATGTATAATATCGAAAATCAAGGCTGTTTTTTTCACATCAAATTTTGTTTTAATAATAAACTTTTGTATTCAAACAATATCAGGTAGTTTCAACAGCTGGCTTTTAATAAAAAAAATAAATTTAATTAAATAAATATCGAATAAAATGATAAAAATAGAAACATGAACATTTCGGTGTTTGAATTAATCATTTCAGTCTGTTTTATTTAATTATTTGTTTCATGGAACATCATATCATGAGTAATAATATATTTCAGTTATTTAATTTCAAAGTTAGAGATAGAATATATTAGTTTCCTGTTAAACTAAACTCTAGCCTGATTCTCTTTGGTATGCCAGTTCACGTTGCATCTCTTCAAGCTCCTTGAGGACTTCTTTGACACTAAATAAAATTTTCCAAGTCACGAAGAATTAGATTTGAAAGCTCCTTGGATCACAAACTTTCCTTTGGCCTAGAAAAGAAGAAAAAAAATAAATAAATGTCAGTTCTAATTTGTGAACTTGAAATTGAATGATTGTTAGTATGAATAATAGCATAATGTTCTTAAGGTGTTGGCAAAGAAATATATGAATAGATTTATCACTTACAAAGCGGATTGCAATTCTTACGGCTTTGTATGAAGGCATAATCGCCTGTCATCTATTATTCACAGTTAGTTACTTGAGTTGACGTTAGAAAATTATTAGAAAGTATCTTCTCTCACTTATTGTTCTAAATTGTGTACTTATAAGGAAGTTGAATATATCTTTACAACATTTTATTATATCATTTTTACAAAATATTAACCCTAATCGTTGATATTATTTATTCAATTACAGTTTTCATAAATGTTTAATCATATTTAGCTACTGATGTTTATTGTAAATAACAATATCAACACTAATTAAATTTTCAAACTTTAATTAATGACTGTTAACTGGAGATAATTGTCGAATTTGTCAAAATCGATCATGATATAGTCTGATAAGCAATTTATTCCAGTTACATCTATTCAATTTACATACAATTTACCCACTGTGTACAAGATTATAGAGTTGATCATGATTTAATCAGCAGTTTTATCATGTCAATCTAGTCTGTGTCTAATTGTCAGTTGATGACATAGTATTTCTATGTTTTTGCTATCATAAATATTAAAAAAAAGAATAACTAATCGCCTTCAGGGTTTGCTTGTAAACATCATATATAAATAGAAAAAAAAAAAATTCTGATTTGACATAAATGCCTATCAAAGTGAGTGTGGGATCTCTCAACTATTGAACGTTTGTGGTTTTGCCTGAGGGCTCTTCAAAGGATATGTGTCCTGCGGTTTAGTACAACGTTACGACATTTTTTATGTTCATGCTTATTTGAGAGACAATAATTGCTGTTAAATCCATTGCGGTAAGGTATAAAAAGAAACTGGTTTCCTTTTTCTCACCATAGATAAAAAAAATTATTATTTTTATTCATCACTTTTTTAAATTAATAGAACAACATCTAGATGAACTCTTGATTGTTAATTGATAAGTTTAGCGATAAAACACACTGTGTGGTATGTTCTAGTCGTGATGTGGACAACATCGTACCACACAATGCAAGTACTGGTATAAGTAAATGGCAAACGGTACTATCAATACCTAGAGTAAATATGTAACAAAAGCTTTCATTAAATATCTATATATACACAAGAACGGTTATGTAGTTTGTGTTGTTAGCATCATATACTTTTATGCAGAGGTAAAGTCTAGGATCAAGTAGGTGCCTGAAGCTAACGAGTTCCAGAAGAGAGTTCTTGGATTATGGGAGCTGGTATTGATAGCTGAGGTAACGACAGAGGAACGTAGGATAAATCAGACCTTGTTCGTGTCTCACAAGGAGATGGTGGTATTTAAGTAGGTATTGGTGGGTACTACTGCTGCGAGGTGGTCAATAACTTGTTTCCACGGGTATTTAATCGAGGTGGAGCACTAGATTAGAGCATCAGATCAAGAAAAATATGCTAAGAGCATTAATATCAATTATCCTATGATAAATTATTTATCATTATTTATTGACTACATTCCTAGATAATATTTCAATTATAAAAAATTCTTTTATACTTCAACTATTACTTATTATGCTAATTATTAACGTAAGTGCATATTTGCTGTTTCCATGAATTTAATCGACCCTACAAAAGTATCTAAAGCCATAAAATGTTGCTGGAACAATTACGATGTTTTGATGCTGGAGAAGTTATTATTATTGTATCTATTTGTAAAGAGTTGACAGTAACGAGAAAGTTGGCTCGCATGAAGCTATGTAAACCGAAGAGAAAAGTACTAAACATCAACCAACTTTATTCCGGATTACTTTTCGTTGTTAAAGTTGGCTTGTTAGTGAACTTACACAACATAATTGGGAATATATCAAGATAATAAAACATTCCAAGGTTATTTCATGTAACAGACAATAAATATTTAAGTAAAAACTTCCTAGAAATTCCAATGATTATAAAATAATTAACATTGACAAAAATAATTTTTAATTGGAATTGAAAGCAATTTAATTCATTATAATAATTAAATTCAGCTTTAATCAGAGGTAATTGTTTCACTGTCAAGATCAAACTAAATAATAGATCTCCCTATTAGGATATTCGAATTTTCTATGCTTCTCTGATACATGAAATACGAAACCAATTATGAATCGCAGTCAACGCCATAAACGTTCCTCAACCATCTCATCTTAAAACATGACCTTTCCATACAAGTTACATCACAGTAAGCTTCAAAATAAATCCTCTAACTAGTATTGTCAATTCCGTAAGTCATTTCTATGATTTTATAAAATTATACAGAACGACATTATATCCTACAACTATAGTTTACTAGGCAACATTTTCACCATGATTAAATTTAATTGCTTTGTGTACAACACCGTGTAATTAGAATTGATTGTCGATAAACTGCAAGCAGGTTAATTAACATCATAGTTTAGCTTAAGTGCTCAATTGTCAAACGACTATCGAGTAATTTTTAAAGGAAATGAATTTTCTAATTTTTAAATTATTATTTTTTTCTAGGTTTCAGCACCTCGTTATCCTGTTGTCGTGAAACTCGGTCATGCACATGGAGGTGTTGGAAAAGCCCGAGCTGAAAACAACCAAGAATTTGCAGACATCGCGTCATTGGCTGCTCTAACAACTGCTTATATCACAGCAGAGCCATACATTGATACTAAATACGACGTTCATGTGCAGAAAATTGGCAATAATTACAAAGCATTTATGTAAGTTATTATATCAATTATAAATAACTGTTCTTTGATGTTTTATAAATGATTTAATTAGAGAGAGAATTTTAATAATATAATTAATAGAGAAAATTATAACAGCATGATTATTACTGAATCTATTTAAAACAACTTGTCGTGTAAAATAAAACCAATTTAAATAATGAATTTCAATTAATTAGAGATAAAAAACTCTTGGTAATGTTTCGATGCAAATAGCATGATAAAAAAAAATTCTAGACGGCTTTTTAGTGGATAAAATAAAAATATTTTAATCGATAACAGGCGGAAGAGTATCAGCGGTAATTGGAAATCGAACACGGGATCGGCAATGTTGGAACAATTAGCAGTCACAGAACGACATCGATCATGGATAGACCATGTAGCACAATTATTTGGTGGTTTAGATATCTGTGCAATTGAGCTTCTAGTTGCAAAAGATGGTCGTGAATATATCATTGAAGTGAATGACAGTGCGCTATCGTTAATGGGAGATTCTCAAGAAGAAGATCGACGTCAAATTGCCGATTTAGTTACTGCAAAAATGCAGGTACTTAATTTAATCGTCACGTAATAGTTAATAAAAATTTTTTATTAAGGTTTATAATGATATTACTCACATGTTTATGGCTTTTCAGGTATGCTGTCGACCACATAGTGTTTTAACGAAGACTACATCGAGAGGCTCAATGTCTGGCGCAAGTCAAACCGCTAGTCCTGTAGAGGAACGTGGACCACCATCAGGTCCAGCACCAGTTCTTGGCTCTCATGGATCCATAACTTCCATGACAAGTATTGGTAGTATGGGCTCGGTAAGTTCTACTCCAGCCCATGCAGCTGACATCACTTCATCTGATAGCCATCAACAACTCCAACGTCGAGATTCTCAAGGTATAATGTAAAAAAAATCATATTCATCTTTTTAACTTGTAATAATACTTTTATTTAATGAAGTAAAAATTTAATTGATTTTTATTCATTTGAAATATTTAAATGTGTTCCATAATGATTTGATCTTTTCATCTATTTACTTAATGCATATTAAATAAATGATATATTATTAACAGTCTCTCAATCGAGTACCGTAAGCACTGCAGCATCAATAAGTCGTCGTTCTGATGAACCACCTCCATTGCCACCATCTAGAACTCCATTCCATCGTCAAGGTAGCCAGTCTCAAGTACCAACTGGTGAAGATACTGAAGATACTATGAAGAATTTACGAAAGACCTTTGCAGGAATTTTCGGTGAAATGTAGAGAGAGGAAAAAAAATAAAAAAGCAAACAAAATTGAATGATACGAGGCTGTAGCAATGCAAATATTTATTTGGATAATTAAAAACAGATTTTCAATTATAACAACAATAATCAGTGACCTCAATTTCGATTTTAATATTTATATAATCGGTAAATAATTATAAAATATTAAGGTCGAAGCTATTAGTAATGGCTAAATTTATTCATAAAAGTAAAATTTCTCATACAATTTAAATATTGAGTTTCATACATCGTGATTGAAGTGGTTTGGAATAAGAGTAAGTGGAAGAGAGTTAAGTAAATGGTTAAAAAATATCACTATCAGTTAAGTGACAGTACAGAAAATGAATACAAAATATAAAACAATTTTTTGCAATTGGAAAAATCCTTGCCTGAAGCCTCTAGCTATTAATATTTTAAATCTACTTGTTATGCTGGACGATTAAACTTACTCATCCAAAAGTACTTATTTATACATTCGCAGATTATCGCAAGGCGGTAATAGCACTGTGAAATTTTTCTTGGGTTTTTTTTTAATCGTTTTTATGGATGATATCAAGTGCGTTAATATTTAATGGCTTATTGTAATTGAGAAAAGTGAAAGTACTCGTAAACCTTCGATCAACTTGATGTTCCAACTCTTAGCCACTTGCTTTGAACTATATTAAGTTTCTTTAAAATTATTAAAACCAAAAATACTTATGATTAATTATAAAGAAAAATTTTAGATTGAAAATATTCAACTGCAAACGCACAATTAGTTGTTAAGTCTTTTTACTAATTTATGAACTTTGATCAGAAATAAAGAATGTCCAGTAATATGAGACTTGAAAAGACAATGAATATTTTTAATAATAATTATTCTAAATTATAAATATAATACATTTGTTGTAGTTTGAATTAATGCACAATTAAAAAAACAAAAACTTGAGATAAATTTTTTTCCAGTGATAATTTACTGTTTATGCGATAAATTGCGAATAGTTAATAAGAATAAAGAATGAAGAATGAGAAGGGATTGAATAGTTACAGTATATTACTCTGCAAAATATATCTTGACAAGATAATAGAAAGTCTGCATTGATGTTGCACAGCCTCGATTAATAATAATAAAATCTCAGGGGTGCTTTGAGGTATTAGGTAAAGTAGAAAATAGAGCACGAGCAGTTATGGCATAAATGAATGCAAATTTTTCAATATCAAATCTGTACAACTGAATATACCATATAAAAAGAAATATAAAAACCAGAGAACACAATAATAGATATATATTAAAAGCTGCTGAATTTTTTAAAAAATCATCATGAGTTGCTTGATACACTTTATTGGGATATTGTTAAATAACAATAAAATTACAATTAATCAAGCAGCTTGTGATGATTTAATATATTACTCAGCAGTAAGCTAATAATCAGAAACAATAAACAAAGAATAGAAAAAAAAAACAAAGAAAATATAATAACATGTTATTTTATTGAATTTGTTAGTTATTTTAAACGTGTTAGTAGTCTATCACGACATTGTCGTACCAATATCTCCAGTAATTGTCTGAAAAAATGGAATTTCATAAAACAAGCACATTAATTGAATGTAAGAAAAAATGTTATGTTAAGTAAAACTTGTTGAAAACGTGTGCTGATAATTATAATTATGTTAAGTTTGTTCAATGTATGTGTAATATAACCAAAGGGTTATATCATATTATAAGCTACAATCTCAGTCTATTGGCTTCTACATTATTATTATTATAATCAACAAATACTATAAAATTTGTGACCTAATCATTACCCTGAAATCTGGCGTTTAATTTTATCCTCCAACCGGTTACATGGATTCATGATTATAATTACACATAGATCTTATTCTCATTATTATCCTGTAGAAAATTTTCATTTATAAATTATATCAATGTTGTACGTTGATAAATATTTTTTATCTACTGCGGCTCTAATATTTATTGTTCTACTGTCAACGAATTTATAATATAACGATTAAGGTATAAAATATTTCAGGAATAATAAGTTTACGAGATCGTCGCGACATGGACTCATTTAATCCATGTATCTCTCTACTAGATTTTGTTTTAATAATTCAATTGAAATTTAGAAAAATTATAGAAAACTTTGAAATTTTTTTTATTATCAATTATCCTTTGCCGCTTTTTGATTCTTGTTATAAATAACTCTTAAAATAATATTAACTAATAAGAATACTGAAATATAGACTACATAACGCACTGAAAGTGTAGATTATTGTATGTTGAATAATGATCTTTCATCTTCCAATTTATTTAAGCACTTTTAAAAACTGTGACGTATCTTGAAACGATTGATTGAACAATAATTTTGGTACAAATAATTCACATGTAATAATTGAGAAAATAAATATTAAATATTGAAATTTTTATGTTTTATTTATATATGATAATAAATAAAATATAAAAAAGCATAATTTTATAATAAAATAATATTTTTTTTCTTAATTAATAAACATTTTTCTCTTCACGTCTATTGGTCTACTAGATAATCAATAAATCTCTGTATGTATCACTAATATAGTTATCTTGTTAGATATACTGATATGTGAAGATGATAAAGAAAAAAAATATAAACGTTTAATAGTAACAGTAGGCGGTATGGTATATGTAATCAAACTATGCCAGTTACCGTCAGTTACCGTCTTGATTTCAAACGCGTGCTAGCCACATACATATACACCATAACCACATAATTAATCATGGTAAAGTGTATTATACCATTATCATACGCATAATTATCACGATACGTGTCAGTGTTATTATTATTATAGATTTGTATGGTTATTCGCATCACAACCATTATAATCGACAAAATCATAATACGAAAGACATTAATGAATTCATTCACCTGTATTCATATACTAAATTAAAAATACAAACATTGAAATTAATAAATAAACGATAAAAATGAGAATGGATAATAATTACAATCTTTTTGTACCTATCGCGACGGGTACAATAATGAATGAAAAATTTAAATGTTAAATAATTGTTAGTTAGTCATGTGAGTAACTTTTTTTTATTTACTATGATCGTTTTAGCGATCAGAATAACAACGAATTCACTTTAAATAATTACATTCAATGAAGTGAATTAAAATTACAAATAATGTATTAATTAATTAATCAATCGTTAAGGGTTGAAAACAAAGATTAAAGCAAGGCAATAATCATGGTGAGAAATAAAAAAGATCAAAAGGAAAAGCATTTCATTTAAATCATTAATAAAAGATGAGAAAACGGGATATATAATAATAAGTATAAGGAAATATATTTATTGAGAGTTAATATCGTTATTGAAGTGAATAAATGAATATTGACATCAATAAATATAAATATTAATATTATATATTAATCGTATAATGCAATAAAGGTAAAATATGATATTAAAAAAAATCATGATCAATGATAAGAAAAATAAATTAATAAATAACTTTAATTTAATCGAAGTAAATTAATAAGTGGGCAAAAGATTAAATCATACTGAAAATGCGAGTTCTATCTGTCATCGTTATAATTAAGAATTATCAGAGTTTTAATATAAACTCTAATATTAGTCATTACCATTAAGACTTCATCAAGATTTATATTAGGATATTGTAAGAAGTAGTTTAACAAAATTATGATACACACGCGCAGAAAAGTCATATTCATAAAAATATAGACATTAATATGCATATAATTTAGCTTCTGGGGAAGCCAATGATTGCTAAGTAATTCATAAGAATAAAAGTTAAATTAACAAAGTATATAATTACGTCAATAAATGATCTGATACATGACTTACTCGAAAGTTTTTTATAAAATTTAAACTGATTGTTATTAAAAGTTTGGCCAAATTTGAAAGCAGTCACAGATGTAATTAAGTTAATATTTGAGTAAAATTATGATTTTTTATTAACTCAAATTACGACGAGAGGCTTAATAAAATCAACATGATAAAACTGTCTTATTAACATTGTGTGGGAATAAGAGTCGAATGTGTTGAAGCACTTGGATATCAAGTAGTCTTAGTGCGCTCTCATTCTCCCTTTGCGTAAGACTGAATTGATTTTGTTTATCAGTAGTTTAGCACCTTGTTCGTAATTACTCGAATGTATTGATGTTGACAAATTGGAGAAATATCGAGAGCCTTAATAAAATGTTCTTTAATGAAAAAAGAAAAAAAGAGTGAAAAAACTAGAAATGAAAGGTAATTTATTGGCTGTCATAAGTTCAATAAAATAAGAAAGAAGGATCAAAGGATCATGAATAATTGATAAGCAAATGAAATAATTAACGATAAGTGATCATTCAATTAATAACCAGAAAAGTATATAATGGCAACATTAATGCAGTATCTATTTATATGTAATCATACACATTAAAGGATACTTCTAGAGTCTTCACTGAATGATGTGTTGATGTATTTATCAATAATATACGTTATGATAAAATAATGACTCATTAAAACCATTTTCACAAGCAAGAAGATGCTGGTTGAATTCTTTTTGATCAAGTTAGAGTTTTTGACACGTTATATATGTAAGTGTCATTTAGATTATGTATTACATTATTATCATTATTATTAACGATATTATAAATATAAACATTAACATGTAAGGTAATGTATGACGATATTAAAAAAAAAAAATGGGGTCGCAACATCAAGATCACTTGACATTTTTTATTTTATCAACCTACCAAATGACCTTTCAGTCTCTGATTAAATTATATAATTTATTTCCAATCACTCTTTTTTGTAATTTACAAAAAAAAACTTGTAGGAAATGTTTAAATTTTTATTCATAAAAAATTGAAATCCAATAAATATGTTAATATTATTTATTTATTTCTTAAATGTAATCTATATATAATATAAGTCAAATTTATAACTTAGAAATGAATTTACAAGATGTACAGAATATTAGATTATTATTAATATAATGATGATTAAATCATTAAAATAATTATTAATAAAATGTTTTATCAAGCTCAGTATTTAATGAGCAATTGCGATACATGCCAGCACGACTAAGCTCAGTGGTAAAATTTCCTTCACGAGGATAGAAACATGTAGGAACAGTGTGAACTGTTGGACTATACCATCCATAATCCATAGACGTGCTACGGTATCCAGGATGTGGCTTGGAGAATTCATCTTGTCGGTAACCTTTGAACACTCCTGCACAAACACAAATGCTTCAGTAGGAAGTTAGATGTTTAGTTGTCGTGTTGGATTTATATTCAGAATATTCTTCAATAAAATAAAAAAATACAAAAGTGCTATGTATTGTTTATAATTAAGTGCCTTTTTTTTTAAAACACTTGTAAAATAATTAAATTTCTTCACAATTATAAGGATCTTGACTTCCCATGCTTTCACATCGTAAAATTCCACGAAGAATTGTCAAGTTTGTGGCTAGTGAGCCATCAATTATGAATCCAGGTTCCACAGAAACATTTTTCATATTCATAAAAATGGACATATCGATAGACTCAAGTTCATTTCCACTTAAAAAAAGAAATAAAAGATTTTCTAAACCAACAAAAGCTTCAGCTTGAATGTTGATAAGATGATTATCATTAAGCCAAAGTGAATCCAAGGATTTCATGTTACGAAAGAGTCCATTAGGAATTGAACTAAGCCTATTTTTTGAAAGATCCAGTTCGTTGATTTGATGTAATCCTTTAAAAATGTCTGAATGAAGAGATGAAATTTCATTTCTTGATAAGTAGAGTAAATCAATGTGAGAAATGCCATTGAAAGTTCCTAAAGGGATATCAGAAATTTCATTTGAATCCAAAGCCAATGTTTCCAATTGCTTCAATCCTTTGAACATATTTTTTCTTAAAATAATTGTGTTATTTGTTATATATAATTCATGAAGATTGACTAGACCCTTCCAGGTTGTTGGTCCAAGTTTGGAAATATAATTACCATCAAGAAGTAATGTTTCTAAATTAGTCAATTTCGAAAAAGCTCCATCTTCAATATTGTTGATTATGTTATTCCTTAAATCAAGATAAGTCAATTGGTCCAACCATTGGAAGAAAAATCTAGTTATTACAGAAAGCTTATTTTCAGACAAATACAAAGCAGTTGAATTCTTGACATCTGTTAAAGATTTTTCCAACAATGTAACGATATTTAAATTTTCTAAATGTAATTCAATATCGTCAATCGTTTGTACAGCATTCACGTCTTCAAAGATTACATTTTGAAGAGCATTTTCATTGTTAATACACACAAATAAGTGATTGTGGATTCGACAGTTAGTTGTTTCTTCTAAGGAATAAACTTGAAAAATTCCTTCACTCAATAAAAATAACCAAATAAACAATAGTGGATCCATGATTTAAACAATTCAGACACTGAAGACACATTAAAACTGAAGAAGCTCAGAACCTTAACGTTCAATGCAATGTAAAGAATAATTCAACAAGAAGATATGAATAAGTATAAATTACTTGGTATCAGTTTTATTTTACTCAGACATATTTCTTTAATCGAAAACAATGTATCTGAGAGTTTACTGCTATAATTAGAAATAAAAGTGCATGATACAGATAAAGAATGATGAGTGCATTGCTCGTTGTACTCTGCTACCGTAAGCACAAGGGTAATTAATCAAATATTGTATATAAAAGATCTTTAAGTCACTTATTTTTAAAAGTAGTTGCTTTAAAAATTAATTCATAATAAAAAGTAACTTACTTGGATATAAAAATCTTCCTGGAAGATTGTAAGTTCGATAAATTTCATCCGTACGGGGATTAGAATTATTTAAATTGTCTTCATTTGTTATAAATATTTTATCTTTATGAGAACTTGAGGTTGTTGTCATTCTATAGAAATGGAATTTTTTGCACAACTTGAAGATAATTCGAGTTGTTTGAAATACTAAGAATAGAAATTTCTGGTTATTTTGTTTCCATGGAAATAAAACAGAACTTATAGTTCTAAGATTTATCAATATCCAGAATATACAATTTACGTAAAACGTAACAATACCGATGTTTGACTCAAATAGTCATTCATGAAACATAACAATACCAAATTTTTATCCTTTAAATGATCATTTTTTATTGAGTTAACACAATGTTAAATATTTTAGGCCAGTGAAAATTTTGATTTGAAACCTTATCGTTTAAATTTTAGAAGAATAACTGACACCACTTGCTTATCGAATACGATTTTACATGTCACTCTAAGCTAATTTCACTATGGATCGCAATTTTGATCGTTATAGATGGCGTGATGATAAATAATGGCAATAAATCTCATCAAAATGCGCAAAATAATTCATTGACTTTTAATCATTTTCTTCTTCAAAAACTATCAATTTGCGAATATAAATTTTCATCTCAGAATGTTTTTATTTATTTTTATATATTATAGATCTGGTTTTTTTTATAAGTAACCGAATACCCCGCATGGTAGAAATATGAGGACACAATATTTCGGGCACAAATGCCGCTTCGATACAAATAATCGCCTGCCTTTTGTAGATTGTGATAGTTTACGTTCTCTATATTATTATATTAAAGGTTTCAGGCAACCAATTTAACGACAAAAAAAAACCATCTTATATTTTGCACAATGTCGCTGACCTTTTCAATCAGTAGCTATCAGAAATCAGGCAAATTATTTTTATTTTCACGATATTTCTTCGTTTGAAAAATCTGAGTGTGTTTATTTATTAATTAATTTAGTTAGAAAATTTTATATATGAAAATAATTAATACAATTGTACCGTGTAAATACGACCTTCGTCATGATGATATGATAAAAGAAAAGAAAATGATACCTCCAACGATTTTACAAACTAGAATTGACATTATTTTTAATAACCTAAATCGAAATAATTTCAAACAAAAATGTCATGAAATTAAAGCTATTTTGATTGATGATTATTGGCCATGGATTGCACAGCATTTGGTATCCAAATGTGTAACCGCAGGATTGAACTTTCATTTATTATATTCTGATTTCCTCGACTACCTCAAAATGCCAGAAGTGCATAAAATGGTTGCCCAAGAAACTTACAAGCAAATTGAAGATTTATTACCAAACGAAGAAAAATCTGTTAACGTTTTCGATCGATCTTCGATCAAAAACTTAGGTCGATGGCTAGGAATTCGAACATTAAGAAAAAATAAACCAATACTCCAAGCTGATGTTGACATAAAAGGTTTACTTGTTGAAGCATACTATAAAAGCCAGCATGAAATTCTTTACATAATATCTTTTGTGACTAAAATTCTTGAAAACTGTGCTCAAAGTCGAATTTTTCAACCTCCTAATCCTTGGACAATGGGTATCATAAATATTCTGGTTGAATTACTTCAAGATCCGAACCTCACACTGACAGCAAAATTTGAGATTGAAATTTTATGCAAAGCTTTAAAAATCAAAACTTCAGAAGTTCGACCGAAAAATTATCTAAAAAATTCTGAAAACTTCAGATTTTTACCACCTCAATTATTTGATAGCCAGACACAAAACTTATATCAAGGTCCTGTAAAACAAAATGCTGAAAATACATTAGTTCAAAGAGCAGCTTCTGAACCAGTCCGATTTATTGATACAATTCCAATTCTTCCTACAATCATTACTGAACATTTTGTGATAGATAATCAATTAACATTTTTTCAATCCTATCAAGACTTAAAACAACTAGTTAAACCTGCAATAGAGAACACTATTCAGGAATGGGTCAATCGAGTTGATAACAAATCACTTCAGATAGCCTTGAGAACGACTGAGCATATTATTCGCAAAGATTTTGCTTTAGATTCGAATGTAAACCGAATGAAAATAGCAGCACGACAAATGGTGAAGACTTTGGCTGCAGCAATGGGAATGACAGCCTGCACGAGTGAAATTTTAACATCAATCACCGATAATTTAAAGCAGCTCTTCATATCTGTATTCACAGGGCCAAACCAGCCACCAAGAGATCTTATAAATCAGACAGCCAACATAGTAGCGGCTAATAATTTGGAGCTAACTCGTGCCTTTATTCAAAAGAGTACAATTCAAAAGGCTGTATTCGAAATTGACAGAAGATTATTTAAGGAGATACAACTTAGAGAAAATGCTCGTCGAAATGGAGTATGTTATTTTAATTCACAAGCCATATGTCAAGCAGAAAGAATGCCAGAACGAATTCGATTGAGGACTAATGGTGTAACTTCACAACAAATGATAGTGTATGAAACGTTTGAAAAGAGTTTCTTCAATTTTCTATTACTTGATCGAGCACCACTTGTTCCAAGTGGCCCACTTGAACTCAGAATCGATCAAAAATTAGTAAGTATATTTTTGAAAGTATTCAATTAAATTAGTATTAAATTATAAATTATTTATTGTTTAGGATCGCAATAACAATAACCCAATTATTTTGGCAAGAACGAAATTTTTACTACAAAAATGGATGAGAATATATCAATGCCCTCAATATAAAAATAATTCCATCAAAAAATTCGAAATGTTTATTCATGAAATGAATGCTCAGGAAATTTTGATATCAGACGATTCTTTAATGGAGTTTTTTAAGATGAGCATACAATTGAGTATAGATGACTCCTATCATGTTTTAACAAATTTTAAGTCAATGACAGCAGATGAACGCAATCAATATGTTTTACGTCTTGATGCCTTTATTCTATTGATATTTGTGTTTTTCAAACACTATGGTGACGAAACAAATATTTCGACAAAAATTAATTTACTCAACAAACAACTTGAAATAATTGTTGAAATTTTACTGAAAGATTATGAAAAACAAGGAGTTAATTTCCTGCAGTTTCCATATTATCATATTTTCATTTCACTTATCTCACAATTATGTCTGCCTCAGTCTTTTCTGGAAGTAATTGATTATCAAATTATAACGTCACTTGGCAATATTTTGCATATCTTACGACCAGAAAGAGTTCCTGGATTTGCTGTATCTTGGTTGAGGATTATATCTCACGGCGATTTTATTGGAAGAATAATATCTTTAAGGTCTCAAAAAAAATGTCGAAAAATGTATGCTCGATTATTATCTGATCTATTCAGATATTTAGCACCATACATTCATCAACCTATGATAACTAATTGTGTTTGGGTGTTGTATGAAGAAACCATAGGTATACTTTCAAAGCTACTACGTGATTTTCCTGACGTTCTTTCAGATTACTATTACGAATTCTGTGATATTTTACCTCTGAATTGTCTACACATGAAAAATATAATTCTTAGTGCACTACCAAACAATGTAACATCATCAAATATGATAATTAGAATACATCCTGAAATAGTTCATGCTCTCTGTACAATTCAACCATTAAGTTTTAAAAGAGATTTAGATTTATATTTAAATAATTATGAATCGAGCAATTTTGTTATTGGACTTAAGAATAGACTTTATGGAGTACAAACTGGAACTCGCTATAACATTCAATTGATCAATGCTTTGGTTTTTTATTTAGGAATTCAAGCAATGGCTACATTATTTAATAAAGGTCATGTAGTTGATATAATGAAAATAAAGAATTCTGCACACATGACAGTTTTTCGAAGTCTATTGGAAGATTTTGATACTGAAGGACGTATTATACTTTTGAATTCAATTGCTAATCATTTACGTTATGACAATGTTTACACTCGTTATTTTAGTTTTATAATACTTAGCCTCTTTCTTGAGTTCAAAAATAACGTAGTGCAAGAACAAATAACTGAAGTGCTTGTTGAACGACTAGCAGTCAATAAACCTTATCCTTGGGGTTTAGTTCGTACTTTTGCAGAACTTATTAAAAATCCTATTTATGAATTTCATTCTCAAAAGTTTAACGACTGCACTGAGGAATTCAAAAGGTAAATTATTTTTGTTTTTATTAATTTAAAAATAATTGACTATCATCATTTTTTCTATTTTTTTAGGTCATTGAATTTTGTAATGGGATCACTTGGGTTACAAAATCAAATTGGAACATAGAGATACGAATGAAAGATTTTTGTGAATTGAAACATATCACTCTAAATGAAATTAAGTGAATTTTGTGTACAGAGAGTCACTAATTGTGTATCTAGAAAATATTTGTATATATTGAAATTGTATTACTCTGAAAATTAGTATAAATTATTTTTATACAAGTACTTTTTGTAAAGAGTACAAGAATGAATGAATGAATGAATTTTTTTAAAATTTACCCACTTAGCCATCAATGTTATTAAAAATTCTTAGGTTATGTAAATATTGAATGAATCGATAAAAGGAACAAAATATAGTTCTCTCTAGAAATTGATGGTTTTTGATGACAATTTTCTTGATAAAAAATGTAATTTTCTATTTTTGTTTTGTCTCGATTTTAAAAAATAGATCAGTATTTGCTAGAATTTATTGCATTGTGAATCTTGTAGATTAATCCTAATTTAAGTTCTAAATTCATTTCTGTTATTACTGACTGAACATTCATATTGAACTTTATTAAAAATGTAAAACAAAATAGAAGTAAAATTTTCATTGTCAAGCAATAATTGGTCTCATTAATTTAAAATTTTTGTGTTATTTTCAGCAATTTTTATACATCAGCCAAAAAAAATTCTTTTCTTTGCTATTTTCCTATTTCTTTTTATCTATTCTTCTACATTCCACTTTACACAAATTCATTACAAACCTAACATATTCTTCATCATGAAATTTTTTAATCATTTTTGTGTCTTATCAACAGGAAAAAGATTTTTACACAGATATCGTCAACAAGCAGCTGCACACACAGTATTAAATGAAAATTATCCCAAGAGAGAAGATGAAATAAGTAATTGTTAAATTTTTTAAAATTATAGTTCAATTAAACATTTTTTTTTTCCTTTTATTTAGCAACTAGGTTCACTGAGCCAACAGTAACGACCATGTATAATAATGAAGAACCATCTCTTGGATTGTTTCCTGCAACAGAATTACCTACGGAAACTCTGACACCTAATCAAATTTCTAAGGACGTTGATGACGATGTTCCAATGATGACATTACTCAAGCAAGGTCTAATGCTATTGAATTTTGAACATCGATCTGCATTGGTGCAAAATTTTCTGAACAAAATTGAGATAGCAAAATCACAATTGATAAACAATTCAGAGGAATATATGTAATATTCATAACAGATTTTTTTTTGAAGAGAAAAGATCAGTGAATTAAAAAGTATAAGTGAAATTTTTTATTATATCATTGTATTATGAATCAATAATTTACATTTGTTTATAAAAAAAGTAATGATAATATTAGTAATAAATAATAAATAATTTGTTAATTAAAATCAAATAATATTTGTTGTTCTTTTTTGTTCTTGATCTACTGCTTCTTGCACGTTTTGAAGAAATTCATACTCTAATTTCAATCTTACAGCATAAGGTAGTTCTTTCAATCTTTTGTCTAGTTCGTTTATAACATCATCAAGAGGAACAATAGTTACTTCTTTATTAACCGATGAAATTAACATAACATGTAAAGGTTCTGGTACTAATTTTGAATCAGGAACAATTTTCATGTTTAAGAGTTCTGGATCCAAAAATGAAGTTAACTCTGTGAATGATTTATGATTAACTGGAGACATTCCTGAAATAAAATAAAAAATAAATATATGAAATATATGTGGCTAAAGTTGTCATTCTTACTTCTTCCCAAATCATAGACTGTGATAGGGATGTCAGATTCCTCTGATGGTTGATCTACACAATAATAATAATAAAAATTGGTGCATAAATTGACATAAAGTAATTCAACTAAAATTTTTATATAAAACTCGAACAATAATGTGCTCACGCAATGATACTGGTAAAACAGATCTTTCTAAAGATTTCGGTGGAAGATTCCGTTTAACAGTGACTGGTTTTGGAATAGCATTTTTGATACTTTTTAAACTACTATTTCTCCCGCTCAACAATTCATCTTTTTTATAATATTCAAGGACTGGAATTGGTATTTCAGATTCATCTAATATTTCATCTGAAACTATGAAAAATATTGAAATGAAATTTTAACTTCTTTTTTTGGAATTTGATTTGGTAGAAACATGTTTACTCCATGATGATGATGATGGTGCAGATTGAGATGACGTTATCGGTGGTCTAAACCCAAAATCAACTTTAGACAGATTTGCTGTAAAAAAGAAAATTTTTAATTAATTTACTTATTAGATTTATCATTGAGACTTGTAACAATAACTCATCAATTTTGTTTGCCTGTTGAATCATTTCTGACATCTTTCAAAGTGTCTTTCACAATGGTCTGTCTAATTGATGGTAAACGAAAGGTTTTTAACGCTTCTGCTCCTAATTGCAAAAATATATGATAACATTACAAATGAAATTTATCAACGTCACAAAGTTATCAATGATAGCTTTTGTACTTGTATTTTTAATAATACTTGGTCTATATATTTTTGAAGATTGCGGAGCCATATTACGCTGACGAATTGTTCTATGACATACATGTCCGGTCAATAATTCGTGAGCAGACAACACGACCAATCCACAATAATTACATTTCACTGGACCCTGTAAAAAATTGAAAATAGTTTATTGTCAGTTGAAGTTTTCATTTTTTAAACAATTGTATTAAAACGTAATAATTACAGTTTTATAAGGAAACATTTTTATTCGATTATTTTACGAAGCACCCAGATTGAAAAATATTCCTTCTTTTTTTTAAATTAATTGGAAAATATTTAAAAAAATGTCAAGATTTGAATTCGAAAATTCCAGAAAAATTATTTATTAATTTCTAACATTTTCTAATTTTCTAAATTTGATCAAGACAATTTTGTTATTTTAATTAAATTAGTAATAAAATAATTTAAATTATATACAATTATTATTATTGCAACTATTATTATTTATAATTATTATTACAATTATTATAATTTATAATTATAAATTACATATGTATTGACTAATTTAGCATATTTACATGAATTTTACATATTCAATAGATAATTATTGAAAAACAATTATTTCTTTTACCGACAGTTGTTAAACTCTCGATGCATCTTGTAAAAATTATCTAATGATGGTAAGTGATGATTTTAGTTTTCACGAACTTCACGTGCATGAAACATTTACCTGATAATGCAAATACAAGCAACTAGAATTAAAAAAAAAGTTAAATTATGACTGCAATCTCCTTCGGACTTTATTTAGGAAATACATCGGCTTGTTTAGCTATCTACAAAGTAAGCTGATTAATTTATTTTATAATTATCTAATCGTTGACAATGTTAAAAAACTTTACTCTCTTCATCAATTATAACCTGTAATTAAATGTTTACTTATTTTACCTTCAAAATACAAGTGATTTTTTAATTTCATTCGATTAATTTATATATTATAAATATTTAAAAATGTATTAACCTGTACCAATGATTTACAGGATGAAAATGTGGATGTTGTTGCAAACCATGCAGGAGACCGGGTCACTTCTGCTGTCATCGCTTTTAGTGACTCCGAAAGAGTATGTATTTAAATTTATATTCATTAATGTTATGATTGCATGCTGATAAATAATTATTATAACACATCTCGATTCAACTTCTATAAAAAATCAATTTATCTACTTACTATCAATAGGTGATAGGAACAGCAGCTAAAGCTGGTTTATTTAGGAATGGTATGAAGACCGTGTTAAATAATAAGCGTCTAATGAATAAAGAAATTGATGCTACAGAGCTTGAAGATGCCATACAAACAAGTACAAGTAAAATTATCAATGAATCTGGTAGTCTGCAGTATTCAATAAAAATAAATGACAAGACTGAAACATTCTCTCCTCAAGAAATATCAACAATGTTATTTAAAGCTATGTATGATATTTCTACAACTGCTGCCCATGATGATGAAGAGCATAAAGTTGTTCTATGTGTTCCTTGTAAGTTTAGTGTAGAAAGTATCAAAGCTTGGCGCGACTCAGCTTCTAAAGCAGGCTTTAAAGTTCTTCAAGTTATTGGAGAACCAGTTGCATCATGTCTTACTTATGGAATTGGTAAAGAAAAAAAAATAACAGAGTTAGTATAATTTTAGATTTTGATTTACTCAATAATCTTTATTACTTTGAATGATATTGTCTAATTATCCTGTAGGTTGGTATTAGTATATAGGATTGGTGGTATATCAAGTGATATAAGTCTGATTAAAGTTTCTGGTAGTACATTTAGAATTTTATCAACTCAGTATCATCCTAAATTAGGTGGCCACAAGCTTACAGACTTACTTGTTTCCTATTTGGCTGAAGAATTTAGGCATAAATATAAAATTGATCCTACGGAAAGTCGTCGTTCTATCGCTAAATTGAAAAATGAAGCCGAAAAATGTAAACATATTCTTTCAACAATGTCTACAGCTCATTGTTTCGTGGAATCATTATGCGAAGGTGTTGATTTCAGTCATAATATTACACGAGCAAGATTTGAAAATATTATCAGTCCATATATTTCGGAGTATATTCAGCCTATTATGGATATATTACAAGAGACCTCAAAAACTGTCTTGGATATAAAAAAAATAATCTTGTGTGGAGGAACGATGAAAATACCTAAGTTACAAGAAAAAATAGGATCAATATTTCCGTGTGGGGAAGTTTTATCTAGTCGATGGAGTCCTGATGAAATCATGGCCGTTGGTGCAGCATTACAGTCTGCTCATTTGTTATCATATGGAATGGTTGATAAGGATCTAACTTCAACAGATATAGAATTACATTGCTTAGCTAAATCAATATGTGTCAAGATAGATGATATTGATCCGATTGTCATTCCAAAGGATACTGTCGTGCCAATTAAAATTCAGACAATCGTTGAAATTCCTAAAATTCCCGACAAGAAAATTACAATTGATATCTTCGAAGTTGAAAATGATGATAAGGAAATTTCCACAAAAATCGGATTGGTAAGTATACTTATCTATTTTATATGGCTAATAATTTACTGATGCTTTTTATCTATAATTACAGATTTCATTGAACTGCAAGACCGCCGGCAAATGGAAAATCGATACAGATTTAACAGAAATGAACCTCAACATACATATAACCGAAATGGCTAATGGGAAAAAATCATCATTTCGATTCCCAATCCATGCAGATATTTCGTAAAATGAATTGTAAAATATTATCAATTAAATATTAATAACATTTATTTACTTTTACAAAAAAAAATAACTTTTAATTATTAAAAATATCGATAAAAATGATTCAAGTGTCTGAAAAAAAGATTCATTCAATTACTCGAATACCTTCCGATCTTTTTTTTAGAAATAAAAGTTAAATATTTGAGTACCGAAAAATGCAGGTATAACCGAAATTTGAAGTTTGAAGAATAGTAGAGACTCATAAAATTCCCAGAAAAAACTATCGTAAACAATATCCGAATAATGTCGGATTTTACCACGGTGGCGCTCATATCATTCATGTACTCTCACTTCTTGAGTACAAGAAAAAGGGAGGGATGTACAGGGGCCTCAATTTCTGACTTTGTATTGTTTCACTCAGAGTTGATCATACTTTGATAAATTATCTTTAATTTTTCATGTAACAAGACTGTGATTGTTGAATTGATATCATCTGTGATCTAAAATGGTCAAAAATACGTAGAAATTAAAAGTGCAGTACTAAAAAGTTAAAAAATCTCAAATTGACGTTAACTATATTCGATTAATAGTAGCGGGCTTTTATACAGCCATCTTGGATTACAGTTATAAAATATAATATGCGTTAACAAGAAAACTGTATAAGTGGCGAGGGAGCTGTCAGTCAAGTTCCGTGGTTATTTTATTTTTTTTGTATTTTTTTTTTATATTTTCTTCAACTGTTTCCAGATTTAAAATATGTAAATATGAACTTTTAACTTTTATTAAACGTTCAATGTTCTAGAATTTTACATGATTAATTAACCTTAGATAAACGATAAAAGATCTTCGCAGTTTAATTTATACAGTATTGTGCGCGCGTTGTATTTCGAGTACAGTTGAGAACTACGTCAATTGCTTGCTCTACATATATACAATATAAAACTAATAATAAACCTATAAATAGCCCTTTATAGTTAAGAAAGCTGTTATTTCATGCTCTGATTTGATTATCAGTGGTTATTGAAATTTGTTATATGGAGTTGGTATACGTAAACTGTAAAAGTGAATAACAATGAGAATGATACGCGTGCGTATTTGAGTAAATTTGCAAAAAAAAAGTACTCAAATTTATTTTTTAACTACTGGAAACAACATTCCATCAATCTATCATGAATAGCTCCAGGTAAGACTAAATTCTTTGTAAGAAAGTTTAATAAATAACTGTTTACTAGCTTCGATATATTTATAAAATTGAATATATAAATCACCTCTGTATAATATTATGAATACATTAAGTTGTAGAAATTTTCTCAATAATACTGTGATATGTTTTGATAAAGTTAATTATATAATTATCAGAATGAATACTTTGTTGAACTATTTAACATTGACATGGCATGTCTAGACCACTTTGTATATTTCAGTATTAAATTGAATTATATTATAAAATGCTATGAATGAATTTATTATATTAATAAAATTTTATCTGTTACATTTTAAGGTAATAAAATGAAATGAGCTGCTTATTAAGCAAGAAAGAAAACGTCATCACAATAAGAGAATTTCTGCAATATAAACATTGGAGAAAATGAACATGCTGAAAAAATGAGATACTCTGCAGTGCAAGAAGATGGATATGGTATCAGCTTGAAACAAAACAATATACATCCTAATAACAACAACAATAGTAATAATGTAGATGATAGCATAATGGCTGCCACTGGTGAAATACAACCAGTTGGTGAAAACACTGAAAACTGTTCAATGATTTACAATCTTCCACTACTATTTGCCAATGGATATCCTACATCCTTAGAAAAAATAACACTGGTAATATTGCTTATTATTATTTATATTTGCAATTATCATAATAGAAAGTTTATTTCAAATTAAACATTATTTTTTAATGTGTTGTTTTAGAGTCAACTGGAAAAATTTATTACTTTTATGGTGAAATGTTCTACGGATCCATCGGCTGAAATGAAAAAACCTATTTGGTGGCCTGATGAAGTCAAATTTTCAATACCTGTGATTCGACCACCAAATGGACAAGGCGTAAGTACTATTCAAGTTAATTCAAAAGATAATAAAACATTACAATAATATAAAGAAAGTTTAAAATTGTTCTTTATTTAGAGAATACTTTATTGCCTTATTTACCATTTATTTTTAAACATCTCAGCTCCATTTTATTACTCTACTGGTTAGGTTCAAATATCTCAAATAACAACATCCTCTAGTTTAAGGGTGGTTGAGCTTTGACTTTCTTAGAATAAAGAGAAAGAGACTTGTTTTAGTTCTGGCTACTTACCACCACTGGCATCTACTAAAACAATAAAAAATGGCTTATTACCTAGTATGTCCACGTCAGCTTTAGCTATAAATAAAGTTTCGAAAGGTTTATTTTTATATATTCAATCAGGGTTAGACAAATACTGATTTTTACAGAATTACCAGTAAAATTTAAAATGTCTTATTTATAATAGGGGTATGATTATACCTGAGGAGCACAATGTGCTCCATGAGAGTATCTTGTTCAACCCTCTATAAAAACAGGTATTGGTTACCGTTGAGCTAGAGTAATAAAACTATCATTACAACTATAGAAAAAGAAAATTGCTAGGAGCCAGTTAAAGTCATGGTTACTAATGCCTATAATAAAATCTATTCATGCAAAATATATCAACAATTCCAATATAATGATTTTATGAACTGTATTGTTATAAAAGTCGAAAAGAATTTAATTAAATATTTTCTTTGTTTCAGAAATGGTTTGAAAATTTAAAGAAACTGGTATATCGATGTTACAATTATCATAGAAGTGAATATTTACTTCGTTTCTGTTCATGTCTGGCGTTATACCCGCCAGAAAAACTTCGTTATGTTAACAATTTTAATTTTACAACTAATCTTTATCATAAAAGTACTGGAAAGTTATTGGCAACATTTCGAAATGAAAATATGGTTAGATATTTATCAATATTATTTTGATTTATTTAAAAAAACTTTCTACTAATGTTCGATTTTTATTTGTAGAATTATGATAAAGTTAATGAGAGTCCAAGAAAATCTTTGTTAGCGTTGAACAATGGTAATTTTAGTTTATCAAATAAATATAAAAATTCACCACAAAAGAAACATAAGCAGACTTCTTCATCTTTGGTCGTTATACAACCACAAACAGAAGAAATTTATTTATGTGAAACTTGTGATGCGGAGTTCGAGACGTTGGATCAGATGAAGGTACATCTTAATTACATCGCGGCGACTTCCAGCCATTGAAATTTTTAATCTAAAAAAATCATCATCTTTTCTTGATACCATTATCAATCACTCCTGCAGGATCATGAAAGAACATGTGGAGAATTGAAGCCGACTAGCAGCATATCGCGGTCAACAACACCTTGTGAAATAGAATCTGAAGTTGAATTAAATGAGAATCAATTTTTGGAATATTTCCATTTAATTGCGGCTAATCAGTTAGCTAAAAGGTCTTCACCGCCAGTTACTGATATTATAAACATTGAGACTGAAACTACCCGAACTACAAGAAAAATCAGACCATCATTAATTTTAACACGTCATCCAACTATTCCATTTTCTTCACCGGCTGGTTTGGCTATGGTTAAGAAAGCTAAAGGAATGACAGATGTTGTACAGCAAGAGCGACTAGACAGGATAGAACGATACTTGAGTGCACCTCCTTTGACTAAAACTCATCCAAAGTGGTTCAACAAGACTCCTCAGCATAGTAGGTGGCATGTAACGTATAAACCTAATAAAGAGAATTTAGGAAAAGATCATTATGTACATCAGTATACATTTGGTGCTGTCAAACGCAAACCTAGTAAGTTCACGATTCCATTTTCATTGTATTTATATTTAAGCTTAATCTATTTATAAATACTTACTAAATATTTTAGTTCTGAGTCTACGATCGCAGTTACTTTACATTACATGTCGACCAATTTACGTTCGTCTTGAAAAACTCACCGATGAAGAAATAGAAGATTTAAAAAATCATCCATGGAAATACAAATGTCCATCGCCAGACCTATATCTTAAACACCATTCTCGTATTGTTATGAGGATAGGAAGAAAAATTGTAGGGGGAAGTAAACGTAAATATTATAGTAATGTACAAGTTATTCCTGCTAAAAAAGGAAAAAATTCAAAAGCTGGAGTTAATAATAATAATAATTATTATAATAATAATTCATTACTTGCATCTGATCAATCAATTGTGAGAACGCCAGTAATACAAAAAACAGTTGAACAAAAAAAGATCTTGCTAGTCAATCTATGTTCTTCAGATGAAGAAGATGGTGGTACTGATAGTCGTATTTCATCAGATGAAAATCGTGACCCTTTAAATAAATTTGAAAGTTCTTCCCGTACTGCATGTCTCAAAAATCTTGCACTTCAACCGACAAAATGTCTTTCAAATGGTCTCGACTTTTCAAATGACTCTATGCATGAAAGACTGCGCGACAGTATTCTTACTGATGACAACGATAAATCTAGTAACAATAAACGTCTTATGAATAGTGTAATAGATAGTTATAAGAATTTCTCACCAATCTTTAAACCAGCACCATAGGAATATAAATGTTACAAATCTGGAATATTTTCGGCTGGATATACATCTCTTCTCTAAATGTGTTAAGTTTGAGTATTTTTATATTACGTCAATTTTGTCGTACAAATTTACAAAATTGATGAGCCAAATAAAAGAGATATAATAATTATGATAATAATAATAATATAAATAATTAATTATATTGAGATTTTGTCTCGATTAAAGAACATAAGCCTCTGTTTTAGTAAACATATATTTGTATTTTTAATCAAAGTATTTTTCTTTATGATTTAAGTAATCCCAATGTAATCGAATAAAATATTCACTTATTGGAAAAGAAATATATATATATATATATATGTATATATCTATGTATATACCATTTTAAATAAGGCTAATTGCATAAAACTAAATCATATAAATATATACATATCTAAAAGCGTAATTATCAAGAAATTAAATTATTATTATTATTATCATTAAAATTGTTATTTGAGTACCGCATTATTGTAATTTAAATTACCGGAAACAGTGCTGAAACGTAGTTATAAAAAAAGTCACTAGTGGCAGCATTGTAGAGTAAATTTAATTTCAAATATGTATGGTATTGCATTGCACAATATAATTTTTATGATTGCTTAAAAAATAACTAATGAATTTAAACTGTAAAAATAATAAATAATATTTCAATAATGAAATAAATTTCATATAGTACAACTCGAATTGAACATTTTATTCTTTATAAACTGAATAAAAATAATGAAAAATATTTGAATGTGATAAAAATGGCGCGTTATCTACGGCACATGCGCAGATGTATAATTTAGTTTTGAGTATTTCCGTTTCCGTTATCGACCCCCCGGTCATTCCTCCCCACTATTTTTCGACTCATCGTACTTGATGCACGAACGGAACACAACGTAAACGCGAGAGAAAGAGGTGCGGTGTTGCGTGATTGCGAGTTGTCTGCGAGTTGTCCGAGCGTGTGTGTTTGTTATGTTGTACGAAGAAAATTGTTGAAACAATAAGTCCTTGGTGTAAAAAGGTAGCGAGGGCCAAGAAGAAATAGAGTGCAAGAGCGAGCAAACGGGATAATTGAGCGAACGAGTGAGAGAGAGAGAAAGAAAGAGAGAGAGAACGAGGAAGAAAAAAAGAACGTAGGACGCTGCATAAACTGGTTGAAATAACTACACTACTGTGGCTGGAGAAAAAATGTCATCATACATTCAGGTTGCCGAGGACGAGGGTGAAGAACCCATAGAATTACCAACTGAAGATGATTCTACACTCTTATTAACCACTCTTGCTGCCCAATTTCCCGGTACCTGCGGTCTCAAATACCGCAATCCAGAGTCTAGAGCGATGCGGGGCGTACGACTCGTCGATGGTCGTCTTCATCCGCCAGAAAATGGCTGGGGAAAAGCCGTCTATGTCTGCGTATTTCCAAAAGGTACACGATGTTAAAGCTTCGTCTTGAATATCTATCAATTTTATTCGTCACTATGCTGTCTGTTATCTATATCGTTATAAATAATATAAATATATCGTGTACCGCCACTACTTACTTTTTTTTCATCTATTATTATTCCGCATTATGTATTATGTGATATTGAGATATTTTATTTCATGCTATTTAATATGAAACCATTAACACCTTTTTTCAACTTACATACGATTTTATCGTAATCATTTATTTCAATTATCTCTCACTATTTATTCTGCTTGACATTAAATGAATCATTTTGTTTTCATGTTTAATAGCTCATTCCTTTCTAGAACTAAAAATAATTATAGTTTACTTTATCTCATTTACAAATCATTAATATAATAATATAATATACCTTTATGAAGGGGAATATTTAATAATTTTACTTATTTATTTATAGAAAATAAACGCAAGTCTGATGATAACTTGGAAAACTCAACAGCTAAAACCAAGAGAATGGAAACCAAGTTACGTTGCACTGATCTCATTGTACTTGGATTGCCGTGGAAAACAACCGAACAAAATTTGAGAGAGTATTTCGAAACGTTTGGAGAAGTGTTGATGGCACAGGTGAGTAAATCACTTCTCTACTAGTATTATATTATACTTTTGATAGTAAAACAACTGATTAATTACAATATACATTATTGAAATTAATTTGAAATAATTTAGGTAAAAAAAGACGCTAAATCTGGACAAAGTAAAGGTTTTGGATTTATAAGATTTGGCAGTTATGAATCTCAACTTCGGTGCTTAGCTCAACGGCACATGATTGATGGTCGATGGTGTGATGTTAAGGTTCCTAATAGCAAGGTAAGATCACATTTATCCTTATTCTAGTCAATGAAAGAAAAAGAAAAATGAATGAAGTAATAATTACGAAAATAATAATACTTATTTGTTAAATATTTCTAAAGAAAGCTAAGTAATGATATTTAATATGTGAACGTTAAATATGTACGAGATTCAGATCGCTACAGTAATTACTCAAAGTTTTACAATCAAGTATTTAAATGATTTAATTAAAAAAAGTCAAAGAATTATGAATGAAATTTTATTGAATGCAAAAGCGATCAGTATCTCATCAAGGTGTGATTCGGAATAACTATATTATGTATTGAATGCTAGCGTTTGGTGCAAATAGATGAATGCGATGGTGAGAAAAAATGAGAAAGATTTGTCTCAAGGCGACAATGATGTAAAGAGCGAACGTAAATGAGTGGATTTGTTTATTTGAGTGTATGGGCGTTGTTTTGAGGGAAATTTATTCGGTAATTTCATTTATAAACAATTTCTTCGTTTATTTATTGAAGAGTCGGGTTTTAAAATTCATTTCATGAATCGAAATTCTTAAAATTCGTCGTGTGCGAATATATGATCTCCTTATTTTTGTGAATTCATAGCCTATTGATGTAAAGGATAGAAAAAAAAGAAACTTTATTTAACATTACGTGTGTCTGGCAACTGAACAAAATATATTATTTTTAGATTGAATACGTTATTTCATCATAGTATTGAGTATTATTTAATTTAACTTTCAGTTTATTTCAACTGATAAATAAACAACTATAAAAAATTATGAATATATGCATGCCTACCGTTGTGTGTTCTTCTTCTAATCACAGTTTTGATTATTGTAAAGTGAAAGAATGAGTGTGGCAAAGAATAATTTAATACACTAATGTCAATTTTGATGTTTTTCCTTTTTTTTTTATTAAATTTTTTAAACTTCAAAGTTTATGTTCACGAATGTGTGCTTTTGACGTTTAAGTCAACAATAAGATAATAATTTTACAAAAGTCAAATGAATTTAAAAGATGACAATTTTTTTGATATCATTTCTAAATGGAATGTAATAGCTAATAATTATACAATACTTATATGTGATTAGACCTTTTTAAAATTTTACGTTTCTCACTTTTAATGTCTTTGAATTATATAGTTAATGCATTTTTCCTTTATTTATCTTAACTTTCTATCGAATTGCCAGAAAATCTATTAGCTGATTCATAAATTGTTTAGCTGTAAAATGAGACAGAGTGCGAAAGAGAATTAGAGAGTTAGAAATGTGAGAAAGCGAGAAAGGAAGAGAGAAAGTTTGAAGCCGAGAGTAACTAATGTGTGATATGAACGTCTGTAAGTTATGAGTGAACGAGCTTGCAGGTACGTATGGGATAATAATATGTATGAGTATTCAAGTGGTACAAATGTTTGGAGGAAAGCTGTGTGATTGAAAATTGTTGAAAAGCACGGAGTTTAAATATAAAGTATTGTTATAAATATACAGAAATTCCTCGAAAACATTTAACACTCGTTTACTTGTATGCAGAAATCAAAGAACGTTTATTATAAATATAAAAAATCAATGTCGAGGGATGGTATGTCTGGTTACAGAATATTGATGGCTTAATGCTGGCCCGTCAGTTTGACACGGGTAAGCACAGTGAGTGTTACCGCCCGATACCGGTTCACACGCCAAGTAGCCGGCGTTTCCCGGTGGCCAAACAGTATATAAATACAAACTCGGAAACTACAACATCGCCGCGTTATGACCAGGAATATGATTACAAAACAACCCATTATCCCTCGTATCCACCTAATTATCCATACGATGAAAACAACAAATACAAATATGACCAGCAACAACCACCAATTCAGCATCAGCCGCCACCAAATCAACCACCAGGGACTCAAGGATATCCAGCTTATGATAAACCTCCAGCTTATCCAACATATGAGGATGGCAATTATGATTCTAGGGGATATATGGCACCCCATGCACCAGCACCGGCCTCTGGAATGAATTATCCACCTGAAACTGACTATTCGAGATATCCTAGTTACGAAGGACGTTCAGCGTATGGCGGATCCGATGGTACTGAATATGCGGATAAAGCACGCTATGGCTATGGATACGAGAGAGCTTATTATGATGCAGAAGGTCGTTACATATCAGATGGTACTAGGCATGATGTCAGATATCCAGACAACAGACAAGATGGAAGGAATATCAATGATGGAAGAGACGGTGTGGTGGATTGCAGGTATCCAGTAGATGGACGGGAAGCTGATAGAAGGTATGCTGATGGTCATGAAGAAGAAGTGAGGTACGACAATCGTGATGGTGATTCTAGGTACATGGACAACAGAGCTGATGGCAGATATGGTGAATCAGGAAGATATCCCGCCAAGGAGAATTATTACGATCGGTATTACAAACATCGTTCATCCAGGGATCATCATGCATCAGAAAGCTCAAGATATTGATGACTAATTGGACGGATAAATAAATAGTGCAAATATTCGATAGTTTACAAAATCAAATTACTAAATTATGGATTATCTGGATTATTTTATTTAATTTCTTTTTTTTTATTATTTCATTTAATAGACATTTGTTAATATAAACAAAAAAAAATGTAAATCAGTGAAAGGACTATTATTTAAGTAATGGATAAATAATGGAATCAATTGTATAAATAACTTAATAATCAAACTACATGGTGAATAATATTATAATATGTAGACGTTTGCTCTTTACTATGTATTGACGTCGCCAAACTTTTTTATAATTACGTTTACTTATATAAATATATATGTCTGTATATATACGTATTTTCATCGATAAATAATTTGTAAAATAATATTTCAGGCTTGGATATGCATTATACAATTTTATTTAGATTATAATCATGTGCATAATAGTAATGCTGTATTCATGATAATTATTGTTCTAAACTTTTTATTCAAGTTTAATAATTAATAATTTTTAGTACATAATTTATGTATACAATATATGATTACTTATTAATGTAATAATTATTGTACTACTTTAATCATTTTTTCTTTTTGACATGAGTTTATTATATTCAGTAATTTGAGTAAATTATTTTAATAATCTAACTCTGTATTTCAACGAGTGTAATATAAAATTTTATCTTTAATGACTAATAAACAACTAAATTACAAATGTATTGTAAGAATTTACAATACATGTAAAAATATTAAAGTATTACAGATTGATTATATTAACTTGCACAAAAATTATATTTATTATCAATACTAATGCTAATGAGTGGATTTAGAAACTTGTTTATGTGCAAAAATTTATCAAGTATTAAAAGTAGATTAATAATTTTTTAAATAAAATATTGGTAAATTGCTACACAATACAAGTACTAAAGTTCCACTAAAGTCAAACCTTAGTCGGTTCGTAAGTCTGATTGATTGATTGTGCGTTTGTGCGTAGGAGGGAATGATTCAGCAAGTACCCTGCAAAGTATTCGTGGGCCGCTGTACAGAAGACCTAACTGCCGACGATCTACGTGACTATTTTTCAAAATTTGGAGAAGTTACAGATGTGTTCATCCCCAAACCATTTCGCGCATTTTCATTTGTAACTTTTTTAGATCCCGAGGTAGCACAGTCACTTTGTGGTGAGGATCATATAATAAAAGGTGTATCAGTACACGTGTCAAATGCAGCACCTAAATCAGAGGGCAATAATCGTAACTTCAACAATCAAATGAATTCAAATATGCGAGGTCGTGGTATACCCGGTCCAATAGATAATAATATGCAAGGAAATTACCAAGGAAACCGTTATATGGGCCATTCTGGTAATAACATGGGCCCAAACGGCTGGAATAATCCTGGTAATCGTGGAAATTTGGATATGCCAAACCTTCAAGCACTAGGCATTACTGGACAAAATAATGGAGGTGGTGGTGGAGGTGGCATGTCAAATCCTCTTGCCATGGGTGGTATCAACCTGTCAGCATTACCTGTCAATCCAGCCCTTGTTGCTGCAGCTCTCAATCAAGCCTCCTGGGGTTTGATTGGTAATTTACAGAATCAAGGCAATGATCAAGGCTACTCAAATCAACCTGGACCACCTGGACAACCTCCATCTGGAAATAATAGCATTGGAAATAGCAGTAACTCTGGTTTTCTAAGTTGGATGAATCAAGGTGGTGGGGGTGATGGAAACACTGGTAATCCTGGAACTGGTGGACTTGGACCAAATAATCCAAATGCTTCACAAGGTACTTGGCAAAATCATCCAGGTCAACGTGATGGAAAAACGAATGCGTTTAAGTACGAGTAAATTCGGCCGGGACTCTGAATCTACTCGTAAAAGACGGGCGCGTTCCCTCAGTCCCGATACATTGGTATCAAAGAATTGCAAAGGTCATAATTTTTATGGTACAAAGCAAATGACAAACAAAACCGGGGCTCTTGTCATTCGTGAAAAATAATTAACGAGCGATCAGAGTGAGCATAATAATAATTAAATAAATTAAAATGCAAATAATATATTAAATTAATAAAACACCAATCATATTAATGATAAAGATGCTAATAAAGAAAAATAACTACGACCACTAAAAGAAATTTTTAAAAATAATTATAAAATGAAATATACAAATGATAGTAACAGAAATGAATTCATCTGAAGGTATCTTTCACGATTTCAATCCTCCAGTTATTCAAGTACAAACAAATCAGTGTTTGTAATATTAATATTTTTTTTTTTTTAAATAGTTTTTAGTGTATTATTTTGTTTCAGTTTTTAATGTAAAATGTTTCGATTTTACTTGAGTTTTTATTTCCTTACTGATGAAATGCTAACTATAATAATCATTATAACTACAGTAATGAAAATAATATTAGTTTTTTCCACATATCTTTATGAGCTTGACGAATTATCATTGGCACAATTAATCACAAATTATTTGTTTGCACATATAGCGGTTAGCTTCGATCATCAAGATTTGCATTACCTTTGCCATAAATGTGTTTTATATGGAACGCCAAAAAAATATTTGAAAAGTTCATTAAGAAAATATTTAATATAATGTGAACGGAATAAACAAACGTACGAATTGAAAATATAAATGACTAAAAGAAATAAGTTATTAAACAAATATTATATATAAATATATATATATAATATTTGTGTGTATATATATGATATGGTATATGAAATGATCAAACTTAAGTGGAAAAAATTAAATCCAATGAATGTGAATGTATATTAGCGTTCAAGAAAGATATGTACGATTCTCATACTAAAGCGGCGTATATGTGCTTGAATTAATTGATTGTATTGCAGTGTGTTTAATATTTAAATGAGCGGTATGTCGATGTAATGTGATGAATACAACTTAGAAATATCTTTTCACCTAAACAAAAAATAAAAACATTGAAATGCGTGTAGAAAGATTGAATAATTAATGAAATTACTGAAATGTTAATGAACTTATCAGAGAATGAATTAGTAAGACAAAAGAATAAAAAAAGAAAATGCTGTATAGAATAGTCTATATAGTTGTTTGCAAATTAATGAGTGTAAAATAATTTTACAATTAACTAAAATTACAAAAGAATAAACAAATTGTCTACTATTAATTATTGAAAATAATGTGAGTGTATCGATTATTAATTAATGCCTTTAGTAATAGTTATTTTATTTATGAAAGCTTACTTGTATACAAGCTTAAAGAAAAAATAGGCAAAATAATTAATAAATTATGTCACATTGTATTAATTCTGAAATTTCATCTCAAAGTATCCATTGATTGGTTTATATTTACACCAAGAGATTTATACATATATACGATTTTTTTTTTTTTTTTCAAATTAATTTTGAACTAAAAGTAAATATTAATTGTCTCAAAATGAGCATTAGAATCACATAGAATTAATTGGTATACACTTGAATGTTTGATAAAATAGAATGTGTAAAATAGTAAAAAAAAAGAATGATTTAATAGAGAATTGTGAACATCATTGTGTTCCTTTGCTGGAATTTAAGAAAGCATTGAATCAAATGGAACTCTTTTTCAAATTAATCTTCAACAATATATTGAAATTAAAAACTGCTTCTTCATTAAGTAATATTTGTATTTAATATTATTATATGTACTGATCAGTGCCAGTTGCAATATTTAAAACAAATGTTATTCAAAGTGCTCGAGATTATTATATCAATTATTATTTGTTCTATCTCCATTGCAATACAAAAATTATGATTATTAGATATTAGATAAGGGGATGCATAATTAGATTGATCGCAGCTACCCAAAAGTCCTGTTTGTAATTCTAATTTTCAATCGTAGATATTTAGTACACATTATAGATTTTTGTGAATGAATATTCACCCTGATATGCAGGAGTGTTACTAAAACCAGTAAATTAAAATCATCGTTAACAATTATTATTATTATTATAAAGAAAAAACGAGATGAATAGAAGATATATTACTCACTTGATTGGTTGTGTGTGAACAAAAATATTTAAATTAACAATTTGTGTGCAGTGTCTTTTTAATTGAATGGTTCGAAAGTGATTAACGATATATTTTTTAATATTATTATGTTTTCTTTTGATTTTATATCAATTTGTTTATTAAAAAAAAAAACAAAAAACGCGATTTATTTTTCTGAATCATTATTGTAAAATGATAAAATGAAAATTTGGCTCAACAAACAAAATATTAAAATGAATTAACAGATATTCAAATGATAATATCAAGGGATTGTTAATAAGTAAAGACTTTAAACGTTTTATTATTAATATAATTATTATTTACACATTTGAGTAGATGACTATATTCACAATTTGCAATTCTCTTAGTCAATAACTTAAATATAACGAGGTGTCGATAAATGGCTTGATATGAGTAGAAAATAAGAGAGCAAACGTTAGAGAGAGAAAGAGAGCGAGAGAGAGAGAGAGAAAGTAAGAGAGAAAGGCAGAATGAAAAAAAACTAAGAAATAAATAATTAAATAAAAGAAGTGAAACCATTACGTAAAGTCTTATATTGCATTGTTAATATTCATATTAACCACTTAAAATCACTGATTATTCTATGAGTAAATAATTATTGAAAAATAAATACTTCTTATACGTGATTGTGTGTGGTGTTTGTGTCTTTTTTTCAGGAGTGGGAAAAATTGATGGGATATAAATATCTATATAAAAATATATTTTATTTATTTTATTTTAAATTTTTTAGATGGATTAAGTCATATACTTTGATGATCATCATTAATAATTGCCAATTATTGAATTTTTATCATTATAATTAACATTTAATTTATTTAATTAATTAATTTATATCATTTAAAATATAAGCGGAGGGTTAATTCTTTATCCGAATGATGTATTCCTTCATGGTGATTGAAGATTCATTAGTGGCTGACTGGATTGAAATATTATGTGAGTATGAATCGGTTGAATGTAGTTGTTAATTGTCGTCTGAGAACTACAGAAGTGAACGTTTGTCTGAGCTATTGAAATAAACAATAATGATATAGTGATTACAATGATTATTATTATCATTACACAATATATGAAAAAATTAACAAAAAGTATAATGATGATTTTTAAAAACGTTGAAAATATGAATGAAGTTGTAATTTTAACTAATGAATTAACGAGTGAAGTCAAAGGCATGATAGTTTTTTTATTGAGTGTCGGCGCATTTTTAATTGGACTGCGTGTGTTCGAATCATATTTATTAATTTTTTTTACTTGACATAATATTTAATAATTTTCAATAATAATAAACATATATTTGAGTGTTTTATACAAATACAGTGAAGCGTGATAGCGCCGCGCATAATACGAGAGAATTGATTATCAAACTAAATAAAAAGATTATAAGAACAAGCAACAACGCAATTATTTATGAAAATAAATTGTTTAGAATTTATAAAACAATTGTTGAACTATCATAATGCGAATGACAACTAATAGACAAAAACTGTAGTTTAAGACAACTTTTAACAAACATTTAGAACCGCTAGAAAGCTTGAAATTACGATTCCGGTCCCTTCCAAACCGTTTACAAAAGTTAATAAATAACATTAATAAACACATTAATAAAATAGTAAATTTTAATATGATATTTCGATAAATAAAAATTGTCAATATCTTTTATGTTGTTGAAAAAATTAATCATATTTAATTTTTTTATTTCTCATTTTATGATAATAATCCTTTTAAACGAACCAAAATATCTGAGACACATGTAATTTTTTCATTTTTTACTAATACACATAATAATATACTAAGTCACTTATAGGATTAGGAGAGATTAAGAAAAAAATTGTTGCTCAAAAGTTGCCTTGCTAAAGCGATTTGGAAGTGATCGTATGGAACTTGTAAATATCCATGATAAATTTTTATGTTCGTTATTAATTATAAACTTGAAAAGTTTTATTACATCTTATTGTATTTGCGAAACCTTTTCAAAAAGGGATAAAGTGAGAAAAAAAATGGAAAAGCGAAAGGACATAAAGAGTTAGAAAAATAAAATTTTAAATGAATTCGTAAAAAAAAAAAAGTGGCTTTTGTAAGTATAATGTGTAAACAATTTATTTGATCAACGAAAAAAAAAAGTTTATGTTGCTGGTTAAAATAATTTCATGACAATTGAATTTTTTTTAGTTAAATAATAATTATGTTTTAATCACAATTTTATCGATTGTATCCAAATAATCAACAAATATTCACTAATTTTATAGAAATCAACAGATGAAAAAAAAAATGTAAATAAACTGTTCATAGTTGTTTTATATGTTTAATTACAATGACTAACGTTGAAAATTATGATTGTATTGATTGAAATAGGTATTCCTCTTATCTTAAATTCTGAATAATAAAACAATTGAACATAAGTCAGTATGTAATTATTTCAATGAAGATCTTAATAAACATGTAGCATAAACAACAATTGAGTTTCAACGAAATTCATTTTTGAATATGATAAAAATAGACTGAATACGGATTGTTAAATCTAGAATTGCATTTACACATACACAAACACACACATACATATAAACACTTTGAAGTAAATTGTGTGTAGATATGATGATGTCGCCTAAGATGTTTTAAAATAATTAGATAAAAATTATTTAAATGATTGTGGCCACGAATAAATTTCAATAATGCTTAGTAAATATTTATTGAATAAGAAAGATGCAAAGAATTATTTATTTGCGATGAAAGTGTGCAGAAAGAATTTAGTTAAAAAACAAAGAATAAAAGAGCATAAACAAGCTATTGATATAGAAATTATTTATTTATAGTGGAATAGATAAGAATGTGTGAGAGATCAAAATGTTTTAGTGAATATTAAAATTATCACGTTGCAATATATTTCATTTTTATATCTGTTACTCCAAAATAATAAAAACACACCTGTTGTTCATAGATTGTATTGATTGTTTTATTTTATATTTACAGTGCCTCATAGTTATTGTTTAGAAGAACGTTTTGATCTTAAACACAGTCATTTTTTTAAAAAAAATGCTAGTCATGTATACCTTTTGAAATTCATTCTTCTAAAACCTGTAATATTCCTTAGATTGAAAGTTTCTCATTAGATATTTTTTGATTAGATAGTAATTAGAATTTTTTTTTTACATTTATAGAAAAGGATCAAGAAAAATAAAATAAAAACCTTTATTTTGACATGTAAATAGTTCATGTATTGTCAACAAAAGTTGCACTATTAAAATTCCAGTTTGCAACTGTGTCCGCTAGACAGCGCAAGAATAAAAAATATGAAGTTTATTTACTCTGTCTTAAATATCATTTAAATATTATTACGTATATAAATAATTTCTGATGTTAATCATCTTGTGCTAAAACATAAATGTTATGAAAATTATGCTGAGTAAAGACAGAAACAATAATTACAAAAAATAGTCAATCATATTTGTTAACAACCTAACCTAGAAAATATATAAATCAATCATGTTCCGGCTCATTTGGTTAATTATTGCTGGACTTTATTTAGTTAATGAAAGTGTAGCTTTAAATAATGATTATAATGATTCTTTTGATGAAGAATTATTCATAAAACCCTTACCCAGTGGTCATGTTTACGCTTATTTCCAATTTACTACTTTATGGAATATTACAAAGCAACATAATTTACGTAAGTCAGTAATGAGGTTGAAAAATTAAATATTCCATTTATAATACAATAATTTATAACATAAAATCTATCATTTACAGTTCATCATTCACATCTTTTTCCTAGAGGATTAGCAGTATTAATAGCTAGACATAATGTCGATGAATTACACATCAGTTTAACGTCTGGTCTATGGAGACATCAAAAATGGGGATATCCTGTTTATGATGCTGGACCTGGTGCTGAAATATGGGCTTGGTTTAATGAAAGTGTTGATGAGTAAGTGAATTAGTCTGTCTAAAGAATTTCAACTGTATATCTAAACTCTTATTTGATTGTTTCTTTTCAACAGTGTCGATGAGGCTTGGAAAGGCCTTACGAGTGCACTATCAGGATTGCTATGTGCTTCATTTAATTTTGTAGATTCTTCCAATAGTTTATCTCCTGAATTTAGTTTTAGACCTACAGGTGTTCATGAACATACACCAAATTCCAGTCATTTGCGATACTCCTCATTGCCGAGAGAAATTGTTTGTACTGAAAATCTTACGCCATTCAAAAAATTATTACCATGTGATTCAAAAGTATGCTTTTCTACTTATTAAAAGTAATTTCAAGTTTTTGGCATGGTTTTAAATTTGTTTTATTTTTTAGAAAGGTTTAGTGACCTTATTAAATTCAGCCTATATTCACAATACTAATTATCATTCTATTGGAATCCACTTCCGTTCAATTTGTGGTAATGTTGAATGTACAAAAACTTCTTTAGAATTACGACAAACAGTTTCCCTTGTTTATGATTTGATGGCTGATGAAAATCAAGACTGGTCTGTGAGAAAACTCTTTGGAATGGGCCTCCAAGGTGTATGTCCTTTAGCTACGCTTAGTAATATATATGTTGATGTATCAACTAATGAAACAATTCATACATACCAAATAACACCACCACCAAGTTCTACTATACTAAGTATACGTGGTGGTCAACATAGTAAAATAGCATTTTATGACAATAGATCATTTACTAGAAAAGGAATATTGAATGTTGCTGCTGTTCATAATAAACCAAGAGCAACTTCTGTTAATTATCCAGCAATATTATCAGCTAATAGATATATTATTGGTAATTTAAGTTAAATTTGAAATAATATTAATACTTATTAATGAATGATTGAAAAATAAATTTTTTATTTGCCATTAGACTTTGGTCAAGAGAAGTGTAGTCTTATAACAAAGTTATACAACAATCATTGGCAGTCAATTGACGTTATTTTACTTGAAAATATTCCATGGTACTTATCTGTATATGTACATACGTTGGAAATAACTCGAGGAGATGAAATAGTTAAACCACGTAAGAAAGCAAACTTATATATCTATAATTATTTTATAAAAATATTAAATAAAACTTATTTTTTTAGTTGCTTTACGATATCTCCCAGGTCAAGAGCGAAAAAAGCCATACTACCTTGAACTAATTATACGATTGCCTCCTAGATCAGTAACGAAATTCTCAATTAAAATGGATTATCTATTTCTTAAATGGCAAGAATACCCACCTGATGCTAATCATGGTTTTTATATGGGTCCAGCAATAATCACAGCAATATTGCCGTCTGCTAGAAATTATACTGGATTACCCATTGATGGAAGTACCATTACATCAAGGTAAAATAACCATCATTCTTAATTAAGTAATAGTATTTGTGATTTATTAGATATCAGTTTAATAAAAATGATTATTTTCAGTTTCAACGCTTCTAGACCTGGATATCTAGTTCAGTTGAGAACGGAAACGATACTTATTAGTCTACCAACACCAGATTTTAGCATGCCATATAATGTGATTTGTTTGGCATGTACAGCGATAGCATTAGCTTTTGGACCTCTGCATAATATTGCAACTAAGAGGCTGGTAGTTAGAAATACGGAGCCAGGTTGGAAGGAGAAATTGATTATTGCTTTAAAATCCAAATTCTTTAAACAAAAAGATAAGAAAGAGTAGTATTTTAATTTATCTGTAAATCGTTAGAAAATTTATTTTTCCTCAAGAATTTTAAAATAATTTCGATTAACAGTAATAGCGTATGTACAATAAATATATTTTTTAGTAATAACAATTAAAGTTCTGTTCTATCAATTTCATCACTATCCTCATCTTGTTTATCATCAGGACTTATCTCATCGTCACAGATTTTTGTTGCTGTTGTACAAATTGCATTAATATTATCAGTTTCATCACTTTGTAAAATTTTGATAATTTCATCATCATGTTCTCCAACAATTTGGTCACACTACAATGATAAAATTAATTTAGTTAGTTAATTATATTAATTGTAAGTTTTCTTTTAAACTTACAATATATTTAAGACTTCTATTAAGATCTCCATCTTGAATGATATCAACTTTACTCATCTCTGAATTCATTGATCCTGATGATGATAAGAGATTGAAAATAGTCAGTTGTCCATTAGATTTATATCTTGCTCTTACATAATCATCAAGCTTTTTGCAAATTCCCTCTAGGACTTCAGAAAGATAAACTTCCGATTTAGCTAATGGTATCTGCATATGAATAAATTATTTTATATAGATATTATATATAAATATTTGCAAAAATTAGAAGAAATACATGCAGTACACACCTTTTTTCTTATCATATTTCCATCACTATCTAGTCTGTAACTCCCGAATTCTGTTTGGTGAGCTGGATTAACATCAGCTAAAACAGTTTCGATTTCTTCGACCGTAGATCGACAAACTAAACAAAAAATTAATAAAACATTGAATACACTAAATGAATAACAATAAAAAACAAAAGTAAGTTTAATTAAAGTTTTGTACAACATTACCTAAACATTTTAATTCATTTGGATCAACTTCCTGAGCATTTAAAATTGTAAAAAGTGACAAAAGACAAAAAATTGTGCGCTTCATCTGTAAATAAAAATTTTTAATTAAATATTCAAACGTTTTTATGAAAAAAATATTTAAATAAAATAAAAATATTACCTTGTCCTAATCAGTCTGTTGCTAAACCCGTTATATCCAAGTGTTTTATTATGTATCAAGCTTATTCTCTGACGTTCAGTTAGAAGAACAATAGATTTCGTTTACCGATTACCATTGCCCACGTGTAACCAATTCGTGCACGCCACCCAGAAAGGTTTAGTATAGGCCATGATCTTAATTGGTCTAGAGTTTTGGAGCGATAAAAAATTTCCCCCCTCTTCTACTTTTCCATGAAAAAAAAAGAATACTGGAAGAAACCAAAATGAACACAGAATATAGATAAATACATCCTCTATGTATTTTATATTCTTTGACTAAACTCTTCGATACATGTGCTTGTGTCGTAGCTATAATTTTTAATAATTCAGAAAAAAAATAATTATTCAAAAATGATAAACTTTAGTATGAGTTTCACCACGTTTAATTACAATCAAGTAGATTTGCCAACTACTGCAGATTTGTTTACATTTATAAATCTGTGATGGTTGGCAAGCTTACAATTAAATGCAGTGAACTTACCTTTAGTGTATTGTTAATCATGGGAATAAAACAGGACATTTTTTATCTGGATGTATTATTGCTACCCGAGTCCTAAACCCACCTAGCCATTTTCTGCTATTTACCTTGTTAGCCGGATCAAAAGCAATTTTAGATTCATCTTGTGTGTATCTGGAATGGTCAGCCATTTTTCTCTGTCAATAAGGTAGATTGCTTTATCGATCGGGCAAAGATGAGATTTTTTTATTGTGCTAGTTAACCTCCAGTAGCTGACATTTATTTATAAAATGGATAAATACGATAGTAAAAATAACGATTTAAATTCAAACAGTGCAATAAATGAGCCAAGTACCTCACAAGATGAGACACAAAACATTATTCCTGGCTTTAAAACTGTAGATGAATTTATTAAGGTAAAATAATATTTATTACATTCAGCACGTGGACAGTGTTTTCTTTCAATACATTATCTTGTTTATTTTATTTTCATTAAAACTTATTTATATGTTACAGACTAGCTTTTCTACCATTCAGAATGGTATTAAAAGTGCAAATAGTTTACCTAACGGCGATAATTTTAAATATTATTGCTGTTTTCCTAAATTTAATGAAGTACGAAACAATGGAATAAACAAAATTGAGCATTTAATGCAATTGATTGTCCAATATACTGGAGCTGCAGGGAGTATGAGAGGACGAGATACTGAAGAAAAATTTAAATTATTAGTTGATGCAAATGATATACTATTAGATAAGACAAGTGTCTTCCTAGATGAAGAGGCAGGAATTCATCGCAGTTCGGGAGTCGAATTGATAGTATCTCAAACAGAAAAAAGTAATTGTGGCTCTTGGAATACATCAGCATCTAATCAAAACATGAAACAACCTCAAGTAGCAAAAAGTGCTCAAGCAATAAGATTATTAGGAGGTAAAAATATTCATAGGCCTCAGTTATCGTTTAAAGATAAAATTGACAATAGTACAAAACCTTGGGTGCCAAGAATAAAAGAAAAACCTAATGCCATTAAACCTTTAGGAATTTACTTAATTGACGGAGAAAATGGTCAAGTATTTTGTCATCCTTATGAATTTGAATTAGATAAATTCACACCGCCAGATAGGCAATTAAAAAGACAAGATATTTTGCATTTCAAACCTTTAGAAACAACACCTTTAATTTTAGTAGAGAAATTAGAAGACTTACATAAAATGATGGATGATTTAAAAAACTATGATGAAATGGCTGTTGATTTAGAACACCACTCTTACCGCACATTTCTAGGAATTACTTGTTTAATGCAAATATCAACAAAAGATACTGATTATTTAATTGATACTTTGAGTTTAAGGTCTGAATTACATATATTAAATGAAATATTTACAGATCCAACCATATTAAAAGTATTCCATGGAGCTGATAGTGATATTCTATGGCTTCAACGAGATCTTTCTCTTTATATTGTTAATATGTTTGATACTCATCAAGCAGCTAAACGTTTAAATCTACCTTACTTGAGTTTATCATATTTATTAAAAACTCACTGTAATGTAGATCCTAATAAACATTTTCAATTGGCAGATTGGCGTATCAGGCCATTGCCTGATGAATTAAAAAAATATGCCAGAGAAGATACTCACTATTTGTTATATATTAAAGATATTCTTCGAAATGCATTAATCGATGGAGCTAATGGACAAACAAATATTTTGAAAGCTGTTTATGATCAAAGTACAATTATTTGTAAGAAAGTTTATGAGAAACCAATTTGTGATGAGCAAAGTTGTATGAACATGTATCGAAAAAGTCAAAAAATGTTCAATAATAGACAGCTTTATGCTTTAAAAGAATTGTATATGTGGAGAGATTTAACAGCACGTGAAGAAGATGACAGTACCATTTATGTATTACCCAATCATATGCTTTTAAATATTGCAGAAACATTACCACGAGAAATGCAGGGTATTTTGGCCTGTTGTAATCCAATTCCTCCATTGGTGAGACAAAATTTATTAAAATTGCATAAGATTATTCTTAAAGCTAGAGAACAACCGTTAATTAAACCAATATTAGAACCAGATACTAGACAAAGACTGACACAAACAAATAGTACGGGAACGGATACGTGGATATGGTCTCCGCATGATATCCCACATGGAGAAGATATTCAGGCCAATCTGCCTTGTCTTTTAGATCAAGAAAGAATGCCAGAAAAAATGCCAGAAAGTTCAGAAGTAGAGCATAGTATAACTGTTTTTGACAGCCCTCCAAATTCAGATGACGAAAGTAGTTCGGTTGCTAAAGAAAGGTTGAAAAAAGCTAGAACATTATTTGTAAGTCCTTATGGAAGGTATAAGTTAGTGATACCAATGGTTGCAGCAGAAGAAGAAGCTGAACAACTGCGAAGAGAAAAAGAAGAACAAGAGAAATTAGAAGCTTCTAATAATGAAATTAAAAATGAAGTTAATGACGATACTGCGGAACGTGTTGAACGTATTCATAAACACTTTTTAGAAGTTACTCAGCAAGAAACAGTTCAAGCTAATGATGACGAATCAGAATTACGTAAAACTCTTGTACCTTTAGGTAGCATTCCAGGAGCTAAAAAAAGAAAAAGAGAAATTTCTCTTAACGAGGATAACGAAAGTAATGATTGTAATGGTGATCAACAAAATGTATCAAAGAAACAGAAAAATGTATCTAATATTAATCCTAAACGTTTTCCAAGACCACTTGATGCATTTTCAGGATCTGAGTAAGTAATGATTATTAGAATATAAAATGAATTAATTCATCTGTCATAATTTATAATGTAATATTATTTATTACAGTGTCAGAAGAAAAGTTCAAAAACGTCTTAATCGAGCGGAGTTGCAACAAAAAGGCATGTTACCTCGAAATGATTTTAATTATAAAGAAGTTGACTTTAGCAGCTTTCAAGGTGGTAGTGAGAGTAACCCAACTAAGATAGTGATGCTCAAACAAGAAAAGGTATATTTTGAATCTTTTTCTTCATTTTTATAAATAGAAAAATACCTATACTTATCTATAAATTTATATTTTTCAGCGCAAAAATAAAAACAGAAAAAGAGGTGGACGAAAGAAAAAAGAAAAACTTGGAATATAATAAACATTTATTTTCTAATTGTTGTACATTTTAAATACTGAAGATAAACAATAAAGAATTCTCATAAAATATAAGAAAATGTGGATTTTAAAATCAATCATATTGATAAAAAGTGAACTTGAAACAACGATTATTAATGGTTTACAAATAGTTTCAATAATTCATTGATGAATTGTTTAACTTAAAAAATATTTTATATAAATATTGTATCTTTTATTAAAGATATTTACATTTTTGTGTATTTTGTTTGATATTTTTTATATATTCTTTTGGAATGATTTACTGTTTAGATACTTTATTATACATATACATCAAATCATATCATTATTTGCATTATCAGTTTAAAATAAATTCTCATAAAAAAAGTGAAATAAATTTTTCTAAATCGTGACAATTATGTTATTTTTCATAAACTATCATGTAGTGGTTTAACGATAGCTATTTACTAACATAAAACCCATTTTATTTTGTCTTCTTTATCATTTTAGTCAAGTTTTACTGACAGTACTTTACAAAAATGATGCCAAAAGCTTTAATTTTATTCAACATTATTTTACTTTCAGAATCATTTATTTTAAAATCTTTCAATCCATCAGATAATTTATTAATTAAAATTCCTTCTCCAACTTTTGATATATCGTGGCCACGTAATATTTCGTTAAAATCTGAACTATTCTTGGCACCAAATAAAACAAAACAAGTTAACTGTTTGGGACTTGGAACAACAATATCGAAGGGATTTGAATTGATTTTCAGATCTAAAGATACCAAAAATAATCCATTGAAAGTAAATTTCTGGGTATCATCAAGAAGTAAACCAGAACCAGTTGAAGTTACTTTAGCAAAAGGATTTGATATCAATGATATTCTTTTTAAAGTTGATCGTAAAACAATTTTTATTATTCACGGATTCTTATCCCATGGTAGACAGCAATGGGTTAAAGACATGGAAAGAGCACTTCTGCTGGTAAACAAGCTTTATTAAATTTATTATCTAAAATAATATTTATTAAATAAAATGTAATAAATATAATTATATAGGCTGACGACGTGAATGTTGTTGCTGTAGATTGGAGTGCTCATGGAAATACGTGGAATTATTACAAAGCTGCTGTTAATGCTAAATCTGTAGGAAAGCACATAGCGAAGTAAGTTAAATATTTTTAATATAAATTCTTCGAATAGAATTCTAATTATTTGGTTTCTTAGATTCCTTGCTTATATCATGGATTTAACACAAGAATTAAATCCAGCTGGTCTGGAATCAATAAACTGGGGTCCAATTCATATGATTGGACATAGTCTTGGTGCCCACATATGTGGCATTGCTGCAAATAAATTTGAAAAAATTTCTAAATTGTGGAAAATCACTAGAATCACTGGATTAGATCCTGCTCAACCATGTTTCAAGAATACTAATATTTCCCTGGATATTACTGATGGGAAATTTATTGATATTATTCACACCAATGCAGAAATACTACTTAATTTAGGACTTGGTCTTCCCAATCCTCTAGGTCATGTAGATTTTTATCCAGATGGTGGTAAAATACAGATTAGTTGTAGTAAACAATATGAAAACTATTTCGATTACCTTGGCATTCCGAAAGATGGTAAAATGAATTTTTAATTCATTAAATTAATAAAATAATTTTTAATTCATTGTTGAAATTTTTCTTTCTTCAGTGATAGATGAAGCTATTTGTAGCCATGGGCGTTCTTATGTGTATTTTACTGAGTCTATAATTGCTTCGGTTGCGAAGAATGGGACTTTCTGGGGTCATCCTTGGGACCGATCATATGAAAGTGCATTGAAATTGATCGATGAACCTTGTGACAGTGAAAAATGTGTGGAGATGGGTATTAATGCTAATAAATACTCCGCTAGAGGTTCTTTTTTCGTTGTTACATCAAGCTCACTTCCCTATTATGGTAATAGATATATTTTCTAAAAATTATCATCACTATATCTACGAATAAATTAGAATGAAAAAAAAATTTCTTAATTACATAATTGCAGATGTCAACACTGATGATAAAATAAAACTGAAAAAACATCTACAAAGTGAATCCAAAGGAATGTCATCAAGATTCGGATAAATAAATATTTATTCTATTGTACAAGAGTATTTCATTAATATTAAAAGTTACATCTTCTAGACTTAAAAAACTTTTGTTAATTTTTTATACAAATACCATTTTATCAGGATTGAGTAATAGACTATATTTATATGTAATTAGTTCATATCATTATATTGATATTGAAAAGAATTCCAATGAAGTAGGTAAATCATAATACACCATTCCGGATGTGTCATATGTTATCTTTCCGATTCATGTGTCGCAAGAACTACATATAATACTTATAAGAAGAAAAAAAAATTTTTTTCATTTCCAACATTCCACATCAGTTGTACTAGTCAAGTGATACCAAGATGATACTCCGGGTGGTATTATTTACGTTGTTTAGTTTGTTTTTAAATGCGTACAGCATTAATCATGCAGAGGATTATCAAACAAGTATCACTCATACGAGAAAAGTTACTCGTAGTCCAGGTTCACTTTGGGAAATTCGCAATGGAACTATAATATTTAATACAACTTTACAATCAAATAAAAGTCCTGAAGTTGATTGTTTTGGGCTAGGTTTAAGAGTTGCTCAAGGACTAGAATGGTTATTTAGGCCAAGCGATAATCATAAACACATATTAGATGTACGTTTTTTTTTAACATCTAGAAATAAACGACATCGAAATGAAGTTCTAGTTGGAGATCAATTTGGTTTGCAATGGACTGATTTTAAAATTGAACGTAAAACAATTATTATTGTTCACGGTTTTTTATCACATGGTAATCAAGCCTGGGTGAAGGAAATGGAGTCAGCTTTATTATTGGTAAATATTAATTAGAATAAAATAATTTATTTATTGTTTTTTTGAAATTTTAAGTTGTGAAGATATTATTTAAATTAGGCTGAAGATGTAAATGTGGTTATTGTTGACTGGAGTGAACATGGAAATACCTGGAATTATTATAAAGCTGCAGTAAATGCTAAATCTGTAGGAAAGCACATAGCAAAGTATGTAAATAAATATTTTCTGTTTAAAATATTCTTGGTATTGTTTAATAATATTGAGCAATATTTCTTTGTTTACATAGATTCTTATCCCACATAGTCAACGACACGATTGAGTTGCCTTCAACTGGCTTAAATGAAAAAAAATGGGGTCCTATTCATATGGTAGGGCATAGCCTTGGAGCACACATATGTGGTATTGCAGCAACTGAGTTTAAAAAATATTCAACTCCATGGAAAATTAACCGAATCACTGGTCTAGATCCAGCTCAACCATGCTTTACTAATACTGAAATGTCTTTGGATAAACAAGATGCTAAATTTGTGGACATTATTCACACAAATGCACGATTATTATCCCAACTAGGACTTGGTCTTCCGCATTCTATTGGTATTTGATCAATTTTATTTATTCAATTAAATATAAGGTAATTATTTAAAATATTTTATGCTTTTCTTTTAGGTCACGTAGACTTTTATCCTAATGGAGGCAAAAATCAACTAGGCTGCGTTAATTCTGATGGATCCACATTTGATTATCTCGGAATACCTGTAAGCTGTAAGTTAAAAAAATTTACAAAAGATTTTTTAGTTACTTTCATTGTTTTTTTTTAATCCATTGTTGGTTTTTTGTTCTACAAACTTTACAGCAATTAACCAAGCTATTTGTAGCCATGGTCATTCTTATATTTATTTCACCGAGTCTATAATAGCTGCAGCAGCACAAAATGGAACCTTTTGGGGTCATGTTTGGGATAAGTCATACAGACGTGCATTATATGTAATGGATGAGACTTGCGACAGCAATAAATGTGTAGAGATGGGTATCAACTCTATTAACTATGCCCTCCGCGGTTCCTTCTTTGTTGTTACATCACGCTCGAGGCCTTTTTACGGTAATAAATTATCAATGTAATAATCATTACTTTGAGTTTTAATATTATTTTATTATATTATTTATTTTAAAAAATTATTCCAGTTGTAAATGAAGAAGATTTAGCAGATTTGAGAAGACAACTACGTGTTGATTTTAAGGATGAAATTTTCGATTGATTTTATATTGAAAAATTTATAACTAATAAAATCAGTAAACAAATTAATTTTATTATGAAGTTTCTTTACCTTCAATAATTATAATTTTTAGACAATTAAAACAATATTATAATTATTTACAACTATGCAGTACTTTAGTTATATACATTTTTTGGTTGCGCTTTCATCGAGTTAAATTAATTTAACAAATACGTTTATCAAGATTAATAATACACATCTATTATTTAATGTAATTTTGATAAAAAAAAATTATTTTTAATTGTTAAAATTAATAGTAAATATTTACCTTAATCTTCCATTTGATTTATTAACTAGTTATATCATAGTTACTTAAACATTCTTCGATCGATCCAGGCAATTGGCACTAATGTGTTTAAAGGCATTATTAGTCATGAGTAAACGCATTTTCTGGATGTGAAACTAATGGTTTTCTATGATATTTAATGAATAACTTGTACATAAGTAGCTGGAAAAATTCCAGTTTTACCACCGCACTCTCCTATCCACCAACCATCTGCTTGTTTTTGATGAATTGTAATTAAATCACCTGGTGTAAGGCTTAATTCATCATTCAAGTTCGCTGAGTACTGATAAATAGCTCGGCATTGTTCAATTTTTTCACACTTCTCTGACGTGATATCAACAACGTCTACTTCTTGATTATTATTATTATCTTCAGATTGACTACTAAACTCATCAAAATCGCTAAAATCTTCTTCATCAGGTGGATTTTCAGAATTACCATCACCTGCAGTTCTATCAATCCATTCATGATGATCAACCTCATGATCTTTACTTAAATGAATGTCCTCAATATCTTCGTCGACATCCGGTAATTCAAATGATTCATTTTTAGCCCATGGTGGCATTTTTAAGACACTCTGTTGAAGTCCCTGTTTATCTCTTGATACTAAAATATGTTCAGCTAATGGATGTTTACCTTTTTTACCACCTTCAACTTCAGCAAGAGCACCACCGACTTTATACCTTGCTGCTTCTAAATAAGTTAACATTGACCGCATGTGATGAAGTTTATCCATAACATTTTGAGTACTTTCGTCAGCTGCGAAAGCAGGAGTTTGAATAAATGCTCTATGTAATGTCTCTAAGCCATCTCTACCTCGCCTCTCCCTTTCCAAGTCCTGTCTAATTAGATGCAGCACTCTTACAAGAGCTTGTTTCCTTCTTTCTCTATTCATAGCTAAGGTCACATGTTCAGCATAAAAATCAGGTAGTAACTGATCTACGCTTGCTGCATCATTACTGTCCATACGCCTAATTAGATTCTTGAGAATATCAACATCTTGAGATACACTACAGTTACGTACAGGCGTAGCTAGACGATCAGCACTCTATAAAAATGTCATTTTTAAATTAAAATAAATTATCTTAACAATTGAAGTTAATTTTTAAATACAAACCTGTTGAAGACGAGGTGCAAGGGCTTGAAGATGAGCTAAATAAACATTAGCCAAGTCTTTTAGAGCACTGAGTCTTTCTTCTTCTAATAATTCCATTTGCTTTGCACCTTTTCTCACTGTACTTTCATACTCTAGCCTTGCTCTCTCAGCTCTCACACTAACAGTATAGAACTCCGTGTCTGCTCTACGTGACGCGTCCTCAGCCTTTCTCCGTCTATTTTCAAGTTTATTGACCTCTTTCTCAGTCATGTGGTGACTCGAAGTCTTATTATTGTTCTGTTGGCTCTGGCTGATCGATTGTATCCTCGCAAGGTCCTGTAGTCGCTCGTTCTCGCGTGCACATGTGAAGCTTTGCTTTTTGCTCTTGGCTGCAATACTGCGCCATTCTTGCAATGATTTAGATGCTTTATCTACAGAACTTTCTATAGACTTCCTTGATCGCCCTTGAGCTTCTGCTACACCCACCTAAACCACGATAACATTCATTAGATATCTAATAATAATCAATTAAATTCTTTTTTTACAACGAAAGAATGTAGAAATTCTTTTATTACTCTTAAAGGTTTAGCTAGCTGTTCACTTAAAGCAATTCCCCAAACTCTATGTGCTTCTGCAGCAGCCTCCATCTCTTCACCAACATTCCTCCACGCTTCGTTGACGCCGCCAGTACTGTTTCCACCTTTACCACATAATACCATAAATTTTATTTTTGTAGGATTTTTCAAACATTATTATTTACTTTCAATTATTAACGTATGTTCATGTTAATAAAATATCAATCTTAATCTTTACCTTGATCTTTGGAACAAGCTTTTGTCAATTTACTACTCAATTTACTCAACCCTTTAGCATATGATGCCTCCAATTCAGCTCTATAATATTTAAAAAAAAAAATTATTAATGATTTTTATTCGTAAAATCTGATTAATAAACAATCATTAAATACATACCTTTCATGTAAAATTGATGCCAGTTCCTTACAAAAGTCACCGCCTTGTTTAACATATCGTCTTATATCTTCGAAACCACCTGGGCCAGTCTGAAAGTAATAATACATGTTATTGTATGATAGTTGTTACCCATTGTCATATTTTATTATATGCTCGAGTGAGTGAATCTTTACGACCGTGCAGTCGTGCAAAAACCTAGCGGTATTTATGCTTCATAGCACACTAAATCTAATATTTTTAGACTTTCCTCTAGACCTTGATTGAGTATCACAACAATTCACTTATAAGTATTAATTAAATTGCAATTACTAAGTAATTATTTTTAATTTTTATGTTAAATGTTTTATTATCATCATTCTTTATAACTCAACTGTAACAATCATCAATCATGATAAACAAAAGAATGGACTCTTTTGATATCTCATTCTGCTGAAATTATTTTTCAGTGTCTCTCAGAACCCATTGAAGTCGAAATATTCATTGAATAAAATGATTATCAAAAAAATAACAATTATGTCGTGACATCCTGAAATTTCCGGTTCCCTTTCACCTTATGCTTATTCAAGTGTATTCAGATGAATAGTATTAATTCCACATTAATTAATAATTCATTTATTATTATATTTATTACTATTCGAAAGTTGTTTTGTTCATAAAGTCATATATTTAACGCACACATATTATATTTTTTACCAGAACTAGATTTTATTTTTTATCTAATCCAAACAAAAATGTTCTTACAAGTGGACTCTATACCTTAAAACTATCTAATCCTAGAAAACTCTAATAATTGTCGGCTAGTCATGATTCAAATCTATCGTACGACAGTTTTATTGCTAACAGAGCGTGACCACCCGATAGTGGGTACCTATTTCTCTTCACATACTTGCATACATATTGCACACGGTAGCATTGAATATAGCCAATTATTTTTTTTATCTTCAGGTGTTGTTTTACGTTTCAACGACAAGTTATCGCAATGACAGACGAAAAAATGTCGTGGTATAAAACAGAAAAGTAAAATGAAATCGACAGTATAGATAACGTATTCAAAAGAATGAAATTCAATAACTTTTTATTAAAATTCTTAAAAAGCTTAGCTCATTGTTATTATTCTCAATAAAATACTAGTTATCTATATAAATCAATGATACTTTCAAATTATTTCTAAACATAGATAATCTTTTAACAAATATTATTGCATAGAATTCTCTGAACGACTAAAATAGATTTAAACTCTCATATTATGCCCATTCTAGTATTTTTTTTTTTCTTTAAATATCTACTAATTATATTGCAGCATCTTGGTATTACAAAATATAATTGGAGAGCTCAAGGAAGGCACACGCAAACATAAATATTTTAAAGTTGCTTCTTTTATCAGTACAAGTCTCTTCTATTTTTATTATTTGCAATAAAGAAAGGATAACAGCAAAAAAATGACAAGCTATCAGTACACTTTCTCTTAGTATCGTTTATATTTTAAGTTTGATTTGTGCAAGTACCGCACGCGCTGTCATACTAATTGCTCACAGATTTCACCCTGTGTTTTACTTTATTTATAGTTTTTTTTAGCTGGTTAATCTGCCAGGCATATCGACCTTCGATCTCTTGTAAAACAAGCTTCAAGTATAAATGTCTTCAGTTTTCATTTTATCAATATGTGTATATTGAACACATATATGTTACAATAATAAGTAGTTTAAGTTGTATTACTGAATAAACTTTATGTCAAGTTATGCAATAATAATTGCACGATAATCATCTTTTTGGTGGTCTTGATGTTATGAACTCTGATTTCCAGTTAATTTAGCAACAGTTTACTTCAGAGTTGTTCATAAAAAAAAAGTATATTATTAAATGATTAAAACGGCAGTATTTTATATCCGATGAAATCTCTCTTGGTACAAAGTTTCCAGTGAAATTAATCATATTCGAATTTGAAGCACGTCTTATAAGTGAATATAAAAACTACTTTCCTCTACACTTCATTTTACACACGTTCATGAAATATTTGAATTTCTCTTGAAGTATCTTTTGCCCATACAAATCCAAAGCTCTCTCAGTATGTTACACGTTTTCATAAATAGCATGTTTGTAGTTAAGTCTATTCTCTCTTTTATAACTCCACACATATACACCAAGATATCACTGAACCGATCTCCTGTTCATTTCTTGTTATGCATGTGTATGCACCAAAGAAGCAATAGCGATAAAGATGTATTTTCACCACGCAACTTTCCCACACTTTCCACGTGTATTTAAGTGCTGCACGTTTTGCGTTAAATTAATCACCTCCTCAAGGTAACTATTTCGATTATTTTCAATTCTCTTCTCATTGTCAAATAAAAAATAATTATTAATTCTATAATAACTTGTTACATTAATTGATGGATCATTTTTCTAGACTCATGCGAAATAAATATCATGCACCAGTTGGTAACTGGTGAATCTCATATATTACACCACCATATATGACTAGTGAGGAAGCACTTAATTAACTTGCGTCGCGAATTGACAATTAGGTATAGGCGAGTCGACACACCCGAATGATGTAATCATTGTATCTAAGTATTTTTTACCAACATGTCAAAATACCTAATCAACAGAAAGAAAATTCCATTATTATTTAAATACTATTAATACTAAGAAAAAATGCTTGTTTAAACTAGAACAAGAATGTTTTATATTAAAAGACTTTCAGAGAAAAAAGAAAATAGAAATCTACCTCCTCAATGTCGTGATGCTGATGAAGTAGATGAGTTGATGCCATTAATCCTCTTATTGACCCGAGCATTCGTCGCTTGATCAATCCTTCACCTTTCCCCACATATAATTTCACATCCTTAGTTGCAGCCATAGCTGTTCTAGAGTTGTTTTTTTCTTTCTCATCTTTTTGATTGTTGCCATCAATGTCACTCAATTTATCCAGACTAAATGATACTGGTGCTAATTTTAATCTTCTTTCACTGACGATATTTTCCGAACTGGCGATTCGTTTCCGTTGCTTTACACACACTATTTCCGGTGACTTTTTTTCAACCTGTACTTTCTCAACATCATCTTGAAGGCATTCCACCGTCTTCCGGATCTCGGAGTCGTGCGAAATTACCTGGAAATCTTCTTCCAATTTAAGCTTGGCTGTTTCATCAGACTTTGAAACAATTCCAGGCTCTTCAACTTCCTGCACTACTGATCCAAATTCCCTTGCACGTGCTGCTACAAGATCATAAAATCCACATCGGCCAACAGATGATGAATCTTGATCACAATTAGCTTGTACTGCACCTACTGCTTGCATCTTTGCATGTCTCTGCACCACTTCACCTAATTTTATTTTTTCTTCTCGTAACCATCGTTGCATTTTGTGCCATGCTTTAGCTATATGATACTTCTTACGTCTTTCTGCTTCAGAAACACTCACTGGAATGTTTACACTTGATTTTCTTGGATTTAATTCAAATATTAAATGCTCTGGAATTTTATTATTAGTATTTTTTATATCAGAAATTACATCAGTATCTTCTTTGGAACGTAATGTTTCATACAGTCCATCTTCACTAGCTACTTCATCATTTAAATGTTCATCATGATTCATTGAAATTTGTTCATTTGTAATAATTGGCTCTTTAGGTGTTTTATTGTCATCACAATTCAATGAAACTTGGCATTGTTTTGGAAGATCATAATTAGGCTGGTCATAATCTGTTGAGGCTTGATATACAATTGAATTAAAAGTTTCAGTTTGTTGTTCACAACCTTCTAGCTCAGAAAGTCTATTACTACTTGGATGACTGTGTTTAGGAAAATCATAAAGTTCCGTTATATTTTTATCTTGAGTATTATTTTCATTATTTTCAATCTGATGATTTTTTCCATTCCATAGTTCATTCTTTTCATCATCATGAAGAAAGCTGAAACTAATTATTGGCATACCATCTTGACCTGTTTGCACATTTGTCTTAGCAGTAATCTCAATGGTGCTACTGTGTCTTCTTCTGGATTTTAGATCATTTTTTACCACATTTTCTTTCTCAGAACTTCTTGAAGGTAAAATCGGTAGAGAATTATCTGAAACGTGTTCACAACTCTTACTAATACTATTATTAAAAGCTATTTCAACATCATTTTTATATAAAATATTTCTATTATCAATATTATTATCATTTATGGTATTTACTTCTAATGTTTTTTCAATGCTTACTACTTCTATATTAGAATTTTCATAATTAGTTTCATCAGCATTTAATCCCATTAAAAATTTTAACCGAGCAATTTTAGTTTCTTGTCCAATATCTCTATTCTTACCATCTGTTGAATCCATGATTGTATAAATTCTGTATTATTATCTACATTGAAACCAAAATAGTCTGTTGTTATCTTGAATAATTGAATATGCAAACACAACAGCTGTTTGTTGATGGCTGTACTCTTAGATGACAAGATTTATGATACTGATCAAGTAGAACCGCAATAATTGCCGTCGTGCCTGGATATCGTCGAGACCTCGAACGGCTTGCCCCTTTCGCACTTGAACTATCCGCTAGCTCTAATTATAACTGCACCTGGACTGCCTGCCAGTTCTGAATGTGCCTTAGAATGGCGTATTTTATTCCAACATTCAAGGAATGTTAAGTTCAATGCTCTAATCGTACTCCTTTAATCTAACGTTCCGAATTCTCAATTCATAGCACGTGGATTATTGTTACTAATATGTAAACAAATTTCATTGTTACACTAACAGGTATCAATCCCATGTACACACTTCAATTCAACAGCTCTATATTTCTTGAGCTACTTTTATTTAATATAACTAAATAATATTCATTTTTAATGAATAAATTTAATCTGACTTCACTGCTGTATTTGTTACTTTAATATTGACATAATGATAAATTGAATATTAACCATTCATTGGTGCAAATGGAACTAGTTTTACAGCCATTTTAATGTATTTTAATTTTACTATCTATTCTTACTACATCACTCTATAACTTTGCCTCGTCATTAGCTCCTTTCCTGGTCTTCAAATATTTTGATGATTTCGTGAAATGCGAACGTTCTCAGATTGAAAACATTTGCGGATGTAAAGTCATTTGATTCTATACCTAACGGTTAGGTCGATTTTATTTCAACTAGTATAGGCGGACGATCACATTCCTACACTGTACCACCAACTCATCCGGGAAATCATCAATTAGGTTTATATTTACAAAAAAAAAAATTTGTAAATAAAATAATTGATTAACAATTTCTTTAACTCAAGTAATGAGTTAGTTTTCATAATAGAATGATTTGATGATTATCTCAAGACTCTATATGATAAATTTAAACTTGAAAAATGTAATAAGTAGTACTATTGCCTTTGAAGTATAGTCGTGAGTACATAATAATGATACTCGTTACTGACTTGACAATCAACGTTCAATTCCAACCAAGTTATTCTAGTAAATGATGTCAAAAATGATAGAAAATAATGTGGTAAGATTTATATTTTGTTTTAACAGTTGATTTGATTTTTATCTTAAAATAATTTCAACATTATATTTAATGAGATTCTTCGCTTTTACATTAACCAATTGACTGTTTTATATTGTTGTGAGAGATTTCAATGTTAGTTGTGGCTAATTTGTCAAGTATTTAGTGCATGATGAAAATAATTCTATATTTTCTCTTCTTTTCACTCAACTAATCTCTTCAATTTTTTTATTAAAGACTATTCTCATGAATACACAATACCTTATAATTATTTTGAAAACGTTTTTTTAGAATTTTTCATTTTTTTTCTTCCAAGTTTTCTATCTCACTTTGTTGAAGTTATACAACAGCTATTCCTTTTCAAATGATTTTATCAGATTATTTTGCCTTGTTTATACGATATAGAAGTTGTGTAATAATCTTTTTTGTTCTTAAAACGTCACTGTAGCTTCTAGGAAGTATCCATCAGTTAAATAATTTGCATAGTTTAACAAAGTTAGATAATTTTTCTATACAAAGATGTGAATTTCTTCTTTTGTAACAATTTCATTTTTTTTTTATCTCCATAAAGTATTTAAATTATTCCAACTATTTTGTTTTCCATTGAGTTAAATTGTTCACAACGTATAAGAGGTGTATTTTGTTGAGGCGTGGCGATCAATTACGATACAATCAATAAATTTCCCGATGGCTAGACTTATATTCTCCCAGTCTCTCTCATCACTTTCTCACGTTCGGTCAATGGGCACCTTAATTATGATCTTCCAGCACAGCTATCTTTTTTCTTGAATTGATCACGATTATCTAATGACGATCGAATCAACTGTTATTATCGGCACTGGCAATTAAGGTCACATGAGTGGAGGTATAGTGAAGAAGAATCAACAGAAATAAAGAAAATAACATTCGAATGTGCACATACAAGAACTTGCTGGCTTGTTCAAATGACTACTAGACCAGTTAGTTGACTTTATCGATATATAAAACATACACGACACGGATGTCTAACAATGAGACTGCACATGACAAGAGTTAGTTGTGGATACGCATGTTGGCGCCGACTAACACGTAATTCACTGAAGCTGCTGCAGCGAAGACCCAACCATTTCTAGGTAGGGGGTTATGTCGCCTGTGATTTCAACTATATTTAAATACGTTAAGTCATTTAACAGCAACATGTCAAGTTAAACAAAGATTTTATTTTCTTATTATCAGAGATATATTAAATAAAAGATTGAGAAAGATATCTATTTTTGTTGTAAATAATTACTCTTTAGAAAAAAAAAATATATTTCTATTATTTAACTAGTTTAATAATTACTTATAATGATATCTTAATTGTTTATGTTTAATATTATCTGTTGATTTATTTTTGTAGGTAATTTTTATAAACTGATGAACCAGGAAAAGTATTTTTCATCTTGATGGAAATTTTTACTGTAAAAATACGTGTCAAGGTAACCAACTGTAAATGTAAGAGCACAATCTAAAGTGCACGTTGTAATGTTTTTTTTATTAATCTTGAAAACATACATACGATGGAGAATAACATATTTATCACCTGATAGGTAAAATGTACGTGCTCAATGAACCGAGATATATTACAGCAGATACTTCAACTCCCTTTCCATCCTCATACATCCTTTCAGTATTTAAAAACACTTTTCATCTTCAACTACACTTGTGTGTATTATAAATAAAAAGAAAAAAAGAGAGAAATAGAATTGTTTGATATGAGGTTAATTTTTTTTTTAACTTTTTAACGTCATCATAATATCTTAATGACTGTAGTATAATATTTTATTTCAAATGGCTGTTATTATGATTAAAAAATAATTATAAAGCTTGCTAATTCTTGTGTTAATTAAAATATAATTAAATTTTTCAGCTGTGTCGTAGATAAAGACACAAATCCGAGACAATTTTTTAGCGTGCGAAGAAACCTCATCTGTTCTTAAGAAATATAATAGGTCAATGAAACTTAAAACCTCTTGAAGAGCAACATGAGTCAAGATAGGAAGCCACATAGGAGAATGACACGAAAGAGTGATAAAAAAAACTTGACTTTTTAAATTGTTTTAACATAACCTTTTTATGATATAAGATTTATTGATGAAATCAATTTTATCAACTTGGCTCGTGATCTAATTACATAATATAAAAGCAAATTGCTCTAAAAAAAATTTTAATACTGAAGAATAAGTCAGACGGATATTAAACATGTGTCACAAAACTATGTATCCGGCTAAAAGACTATAAAACGATGCATCAATAAAATATTTACAGACTAATTATTCATAAAATATGGATTGAATGGAAGAAAAATAATAACCTGTAGGTTTTGGAGACCATATACCAGGCCTAAAAATTGGGTGCGTCACATCTGAAGGTATGTAATTATTTTTTTTTTCTTTTTGAGGTCAGAAAATAATGAAGTGAATTCATTATATGTTGAGTTCTCAATTCAAGATCGAGTTTGACAACACAAATAATTAAGGTATAAGAATAAAATTTATGACAAATAAATTAAATGTAATTTGTTCACCAATTAAATAAAGTGATGATTATATTGATTAAATAAACATGTATAAATATTTTTAGGTTTTTCATAAGGTGAAACTAACATGTTGCTGAGCACTCAATAAATCTGAGCGAGTCTATTAGACAGCGGTACATTGGTAATACATAGAGACAGGAAGCCAGTCCTGCTATGTTGCTACCGGAACCGACACCCTTTCACAAGCAGACCATACGTATTTTGAATTTCTTTGGTAATATCTAAAGAATGATATAACAATACTTTGACAGCAAATCAATTCAATGACAAAGGTGTTAAAAGAATATTTACATAAATATTCATTCAATAATATCGCTAAATATCGTAATGGTTACTTAATAATTCAAATTTACTAAAAATGCGTAATCCCACGCTAGCGTCTGAGATTCAATCCTTGAGATTGCTTTCCAAACATACTTAATAAGATGCAAGCGTTTGACGTAACACTTTCACCCCTCAAGCTGTTCTTTTGGAATGGACATCGGCCTCAATATGCTACGCAAATTTATCTGTCTTATGTATACACTGATAGAGAATTTATTTATTACAATCACAATTTATTAATATTAAATAACCCTCTTATTTACATTCATAAAATTCTAATATTGATTGCTGTCAAAAAAAAATGATTTATGATCAAATTAGAGAAAGAATTTAAAAATTAAGTAATTTTATTACATTTAAATATTTAAAATTACCAAATGATCATAAATTTGAAATTATAATAAATTAAATTTGTCAATAAATAGATTTAATAGTATATTATAATAGATTTTTATATTAGTATATTACATGTACTTCAAACTTCTCCATCAGATTTATTATGGTAACTAAATTATTTATAATAGTCGTATTTATCTTTTATTGCCGCTTTTGGAGCAATTTTTAATTTATTATTTCTATAATTACAGAATAAAATAGAAGATTAATCTCAGTCAATAAATATCTATGGAAGCAATAATGTTATAATAAATCAGCATATAGAAGCAAAGCGTAGGCTTGACCAACGTAATAAGATGCATTCACTGTGACATAAGACTTTCACCCCCTGAAGGACAAGACTAATGCTACGCTGCTCATCTCAATCTATCTAATACTTACAGTAGATAAATAAAATTAATAAAAGTATTAGAATTTTATTTTAATAAATTTCGAGATCCAGGAGTTCATAATTTCTCTTATTCAATCTAATTATATAATCGCATAAAAACTGATTGAACTTTACACGTATAGCCTGTGTTACGTGCCAGTCAAAGGTAGCTTGCTGATCTCTGAGTATCTATTTCTTCGATATCCAATTAAATAAAATATATAGATATATATTCATGAAAATAGTTCAATTAAATTATATACAAGTGTTTGATTTACTACCTAAACTACATTTTGATAATTAAACTGTATATAAGCATAAGTCATTGCGAAAAGAGTGAATATTTATGAAGAGATCAAAACTCTTGGTTACATTCAGCTTTGATCGACCTTTAGATAAAATAAAATTCAAGTTTGTGATCGTCAACATGAGAAATACTAACATGATGTGGTGTATAAGCAGGAGTCAGATAGAAGAAATAACGGTTCTTACGAAAAACCACAAGTGCTACTACTATACCTACTTATTTTCTTCTGCTCTAGCTACATAGCAATCTGTTATATTAGTTTCTAAACTACGAACATATTAATGTTAATGTTAACATGAAATAACTGCCTCTATACATTTGTCCTCCCATATCATACATCTAATATTGCTATAATCTATCCTGAAATGTTTCTATCGGAAGTAACTTTCAATTTCATTATGGTAAAATCTTTTTTTATTAAAATTAATAAGTGGATACTATAATATATATACTATACAGAGCATTTTATCTCTTTTTATAGCGGTAATTTAATATTTTCATGCGGTGATAATTACTCTTTTTATTTTCCAGAATTAAATGACCGAAGAAATAATTGACCGCCCACTTTCATTCATCATCATCTACATGATTGTGAAACTAAAAAAGAATCTCCAATTAAATGACAGTATGTGCTCTTAACTTTTTATATTTTTCACTGTCGTTATATTATCTTCCAGAAGAACTAATAATAATTATTTATAGCATTGTGCACAACTGCATGATGCACTTTCAATTCTCAAATCAATATTTAATCTGTTATCATTCAAAATATTATTGACATTTAGATCCATTATTGATAAGCTATCAAACATTTATTTTCTTCCGAAACATCCAATATCACTTTGCTAAATCATTCGTGATAAATTTGTATTATAAAAATATTAACTAGTCATGTAGCTACTATTCATTTGCCGTAGAAAAATAAAACGTCACAATGTGACATTCTGACTCACACACCTGTTACACCTAACTCTTTGTCATATTCTTCTTTTCACGTTCAATATTTACAGATTCATCATTTTTATCAGCTCCAAAATTTTAGTCGCACTTGAAATTTCCTGATAACTATGTTTAAGCATAAATGTAGCTAAATAATAAGCTAGAGTAAAGAATGAAAAAATTATTAAAAATAAGTCTACATTATATTGTTGTTAGTTACTATTATAACAATGTTGATGAAGTTATATTTACTGAACGTAATAAATTGAAATTAATGCAAAAAACTTACAGCATATTTGTCCTTGTAAAAGAGTGAACTCGTCGACATGGCGTTAATGATATCTTCATTAACGTATAGAAGTTAAAAAATTAAAACTTCCAATATTTCATAGTTAACCACAGCAAACATTCCAGTTAGATGATTCAAGTAATAAAGTTGATGTTTTGACAATGTTTTATATATTGTCAATTATTTTTCTTCTTATGTTTACACTAATACTTATAATGTCACCCACGTGCATAACTTAACACTAGATACCGCTTATCTTGATATAAATAATACTCAATGATGATCTAATTTGAAATTGAATCTAATAAATATAAACAAATATTTAAAGTTAAAGGTAATCGTGCAGGATGTTGTCACGTTGAATCACAAGATACTTGAATTATACGAAGACGACCGGCATAAGTCTATTCTACCTATCACCTGAATCCAAACTGCAGGGGAAAGAGACTGGTGTTCTGCCTGTATGTCCAGTTAGTTCGTGGTTGCTACAAGACAGAAGGGTATTCCCCACCATGTTATATTGGAGGTAATGTCGAATGACCTACAATCTACAATAACGAGTGCCATATTCCTTCCTCCACTTCCTCTCTCTTTTCCTGTAATTTAACTTCTCCATTCGAGCTATTGAAGGACGTTATGGTAAAAGCACTGGAAAAAAATTGTTCAGTTTTCATAGAATGTATTAAAACAATAGCATATTTGTTTTATAGCTAAATATGTAATTAAATTCAGAAAGACAATAACAGGTCTTTGAGTAAATTCACATTATAATTTTCGATTAATATTCCAAGATAAGATTCACCATATTTATATCCGTTTAACAACTACATATGTTTAGAGGTTATTTTATTAAATTAGTCTTATATATTTTCTTCATCTTTCAATTGATGATTTTATATTTCCATGGAAAATTAAATTTTCAAATTGTTGTTTTACACCTGTTTTCACGCATGCGTTCCGTAATTTTGGAGCGTGGCCATATTTGATTCCAAACAGCGACAACTATCGGTACATCGTGAAAGCTTTTGAGACATTACCGACATGGAAGCTCGAATTAAATGTAATGTTAAACATCTATACATTTCTTTATTCGCAGCTCATAATTTCACGACAAAGGGGAGGTTTCTTTCTTCCGGCTGTCATATAACTGGATATCTGCCATCGTATTCGTGTTTATAATAATATTTGTACCGTATTTGCTAAGAATTTAAATAATAATATATGTGTTATTAGTGTTGATAAAAAGTATCAAATTACTTATAACAAAGTAAGTACAAATTTGTTGTTGATTAATTATTTTTTGTTCATAAAATAAACCATACTGATAAACCAACTTTTGTTGCGCCCCTAGTAAAGAACTGAGAGTGGGGTAGCTTGCGACCTCACCCCCAAATTATTAGTCATGCACAACTTTACATAACTGTAAAATAGCTTCGACCCTACGCTTTATCGTTTTGCTGTATTCTTTCATAATAGTTGAGTCATTTGTAGTTTTTTTTCTCAATTCTTTATTTCACTACTCATATCATTTAATTGATTTACTTGCGGTTTATACTGGAAGGTCAATTGGATGTTGACAGTGAAAACTTTCAAAATGTGAAAAACATTTTCCTTATTCAGTGTTTTAACGATTATTTTGTATTATAAAGTTTTTTTAAAATTAATATTTAAAATAACTTTTATGATCGTAGATTACATGAGTTAATTCGACTGTGATCAAGTGAATTATTGGCTTCATTGATGAAAAATGGCTTGGAGATTTAAGGCTTCTAAGTATAAAAATGCCACTCCAATTGTTCCAAAACCGGAAGCATGTATTAGAGATATATGTGTAGGGTCTTATCAAACCTATGGAAATAATATTGCAGCTTCAGCTGCATTTATGGCATTTAATGTCGACCACAATGGTAAATATAAGTTATTTATTATTCAATTATTCATTATTATGATATTTTTATGACTATAAATATTTCAGGATCAAGTCTGGCAGTTTTACCTCTTGAAGATTGTGGTAGAAAGAGTAAAACTATGCCGTTACTCCATGCTCATGCTGATACCGTAACAGATATGGATTTTTCTCCATTCCATGATGGATTTTTAGCAACTGGATCACAAGATTGCTTAGTAAAATTATGGCATATTCCAGAAGTAGGGTTAGAAGAATCACTATGTAATCCTGAGTGCACTTTTTCCCATAGACAAAGACGAGTAGAAGTCGTTCGTTGGCATCCTACGGCTGAAAATCTCTTGACGACTGTTTCTTATACTAATTTATCACTCTGGGATATTATATCTCAGGAAGAATTATTTTCCAATAATGAACATTCCGAGGTTATTCAATCATTGAGCTGGAAATATGATGGAAGTTTATTGGCTACATCGTGTAAAGATAAACAGGTGCGAATTATTGATCCTCGTGCTCCAAAATCAATTGTAAATACTTGCTCAAGCCATCAGAGTATTAAAGATTCAAGGATCGTATGGCTTGGTAATGGAGATAGAATTCTAACTACCGGCTTCGATTCTGCAAGACTACGTCAAGTTTATATTAGAGATCTAAGGAATTTAAATGATCCAGTAAAAACACTAGAGTTAGATTGTAGCACCGGTATTCTTATGCCATTATTTGATCCTGATACCAATATGTTATTTCTTGCTGGGAAAGGTGATACGACTATTTTGTACATGGAGGTAACGGACAAAGATCCCTTTTTAGTGGAAGGCATTAGACACAGTGGGGAGCAGACAAAAGGTGTTTGTTTAGTTCCCAAAAGAGCGTTGAATGTTATGCAAGCAGAGGTTAATAGAGTTTTACAACTAACATCTAACATGGTTATTCCAATCATGTATCAAGTCCCACGAAAGGTTAGTATATCGTTATAAAATAAAATGTAATAATTGCATCATTAATTAATATTTTTTTTTAGACCTATCGTGACTTCCATGGAGATATTTATCCAGATACTGCTGGATGTTTTGCTCAAAATACCGCTGAGGCATGGATCAAGGGTCACAATGCTCCAGTACCTAAAATTTCTTTAGATCCTGCTAAGAGAGCCAAAGGAGAAGAACCGATGACGGTAAGTAATAAATATTTTGAACATCAACATTTGGCTGGATTGTTTTTCATAGTAGCTTAATTGCAATATTTTATATTATTAAATTTTTCAATGTATTTAAATAATTAAGATTAAGATTTATCATTAGAATTTATTGTTAGATTGTTATTTTAGTATAGATACTTTCACTGATTTATTTTTTTTATTAACTAGTCAACTATTTTTATTGATTTGTGCCTGCGTCGTTTATGGCTGTTCACTCGTATATGCATTTTTTATTTCAGAAAACCAGTATGTGTATTATTACTTTTAAGATATTTGTACCAATTATAATTTATTTCTGGCACGTGGAATTTCAATGAGTGATTGGCTGTATGTCATTTAGAATGTAGCACTTTTGTTTGCTATGTAAGTAATTTTCGGAATAATTTGTATTATACTCTCAATTTCAATTGTATGATTTTTTAAATTATAAATTATATTTAATTCGTTATGAAATCGAACATTACCATAATAATAGAAAATAAAATTTTCAATTGAAATTATGAGAATAGAAAATTATTCATATGCAAGATGTAAAAATACGCTTTTTTTAGTGTGTTAGTAAATTGTGTGAAGAAATATTTTTAAACTCCCGTAATTTTGCTAAGAAACAAAAAAACATACTTCACCTTTAGATTCACAAAGGAAATCTGGCGGCATTGAAAAAAATGCAACAAGAAATAAAACTTGAAAACGTCAAGGCTGCTAAGAGTTTACATTCAACACCCAAGGGATTCATTCAATCAGCTAAAATCCAGACTATTATCCAGGAAAGAGAAAAGGAAGAGAAAAAAAATAACGAGAAAGAGAAAGAAAAGAAAATTATAAGTGATATGGAAAAAGTAGAAGAACCAGTGAGATCTGAAACTGATGATGATGCAAAAAGAAAAATGCAGAATGGAGGACAAATTCCACCGAAGCCTTTACCAAGATCTTCAAGGGCTAACAGTATTTCTGAAGAAGAACCTAAACCTGTGGCTCGTCCTCGAACTTCACCGAGTACCGGTTCTGTAGTAACGTCTGTTAATCCGAATATAGTTGGGGGTTATAAGGTTGGAATTAGGACCCATTTAATGGAATTTTTTTCAATCGTAGATAAATATTACGTAAACTTTAGACAATTTCGAAATTCTATATTTAAGTGTATTTTTATTTAAGTATTCCATAATTATTTAAGTATTTTATGTTTTATATAAGGTAGTTTTTTTTAATTTAAAATAATTCACAAATTAATGTAATATTTATTTTCCAGCCGAGATTGGGACCAAAACCTTTTCAAGCAAAGTCAGGTAGTCAAGAATTTTCCTTCGACAAAGTTTTTTCAGTGCCCGTCGCACCTAGTAATGATAGTAATGGGTATACTAATGATACTAATAATATTTCCGACAATGTTGTTGCAAATTCTGATAAATCTCCAACATTTGAAAACGAGCGAATTAAGGAAACAGAAAATGGCAAGAGTGATTCGAGTTCAATGGAGGAAGATGCAAATTCAAGTGACTCTGGATATAAACCGAAAACACCAAGTACAGCTGAGCGACGTAAACTTTTTGAAACTAAAGTAAAAGATGAATCTCCTGAAAATGAAGAATCTGGAGGTTTAGAACGTGGTGGATTTAACAGAAACTCCATTGCTGAAAGACGAAGGCTTTATGAAAGTAGATCTGTGTCAGTAACTGATGGTAATCTTGCAGAAAAGGCTATGGGATCACCGACGGCTTTACGAAGACGAGATTCTTTCAAAACAAAAAATGAAATAATTAAAGAAGATGAGCCAAAAAAGAATGTATCAATATTACGACAACAAAGTATGGATCCACGTTTAGAGAAACCAGAACCCATTTCAACACCAACACCTAAAAGAACTTCAACTGTTTTTGGTCGTGTATCAAAATTCCGTCACTTGAAAGGAACACCTGGTCATAAATCTACTCATATCGAAAATATCCGCAATATCAGTCGTCAAATTTCTGGTGAATGTGATGGTTTTCATGCCAATTCTGATCGTGTTGCAGTACCACTTAGTGGTCCAGGTGGAAAAATAGCAGTATTAGAGTTAAAAAAGACAGGAAGACTTCCCGATGGTGTTATGCCAGCATTAGTACATGGTGCAACAATAATGGATTTCCAATGGGATCCATTTAATAATCAGAGACTAGCAGTTGCTTGTGATGATGGGATAATTAGATTGTGGGAGATTCCAAATGGAGGATTAATGGAGCCAACTAATGAACCGAAACATATTATTGAAGCGCATACTGATAAAATTTATTTGATTAAATATCATCCGCTTGCATCAGATGTTCTTGCATCTGCATCTTATGATACAACAGTAAAAATATGGGATTTAGCACCACTTCATTCTGGCAATTCAGCCATTGCTAAAATTACCTTATCTGGTCATACAGATCAAATCTTTAGTCTAGCATGGTCACCATGTGGTCAATTTCTTGCTAGTGCGTGCAAAGATGGTAAGCTTAGAGTATTTAAACCGAGAAGCAGTGATACCACAATCAGTGAAGGCAAAGGACCAGTTGGAACTCGAGGTGCAAGAGTTGTTTGGGCATTAGACGGTCGTTATTTAGTAGTCATGGGTTTCGATAAAGTATCTGAACGACAGATAATGATTTTCAAGGCAGATAAATTAAATTCTCCTTTAAATACTGTGGGTTTAGATGTTTCTCCAGCCATTCTAATGCCATTCTATGATGAAGACAGTTCGACGCTATTTTTAACGGGTCGTGGAGATTCTACTATTTATACATTTGAGATTACAGAAGAAGCTCCTTATTGTTGTCCCCTCAGTCATCATCGATGTGCTAGTCTTCATCAAGGACTTTCATTTCTTCCGAAAAATAAATGTGATGTAGCAAGTGTGGAGTTTGCTTCAGCTTTAAGGCTTACAAACAATACTATTGAACCTTTAAGTTTCACTGTACCAAGAATTAAAAGTGAACTCTTTCAAGATGATCTTTTCCCACCTACTAAGGTCACTTGGAAACCTGTATTGAGTTCTACAGAATGGTTTAATGGTATGAACAAACAAGCTCCTCGAATAAGTTTGAAACCACCTGGTATGGATTGCTGTAAGTATGAAAGAATTTATTGTATCAATATATTGCACAAAATAAAAAGTTATTTATATTGTAACTATTGTTTAGTGTCAGAAAATCAAGTAACGGGAACAGTTCCAGTCTCAACTAAACAGTCATCTCAATTTTCGGTGTCATCACCATCATTTACAAAAATGGGTTGGACTCCAGATTTATTAAAAGCCAAACAAGATGAGGTAATTTTCAATATTATTTAATTGCATGGTTTTCTATTTTTTTTTAAAAATGTCAATTGATGTCATGAGTGTATCGTGTGTGCTATCATTGTGTGGTAGATTCAAAAAAATATGAGCAATATGGTGGGCGACATGATCCAGTGTTCATTAGAACAGGACCACATGGAAGGAGTAGACGAGCACGAATGGGTAGGTTTTCTTTGCTTATTGCTTTTTAAATATTGCCGTGATAAAAGTGTTAAAGAATTCACATTTTTACTTGATTACAACGTTAAATATTAAAATGATAATAAACTTATTAATGTATTGTTTATTTAGGATGATTAAAAGTCATTGTTGATGACATCAGCCACATCAAAATATTACGTAAGAAGAAGAATAAATATAAAAAGTAATTCTTTATCTAACAAAAACATCTTGCAACTATTTGACTCTAAAAAGTCAAGCCATAATATATTAAATTAATAATTTTTTTATTAATTAATTTTAACATTTTTTAAATTATATTTTAGCCATTTTGTATTAAAATCTGCAATAATTTGTAAATTAAAATTGTCGAAGCTTAATATCGTACTATACGTGAGGACAGAATTAGTTGAATCTACGATAATAGTCATTTTATTTAATAATTAAAATCTGTCGTTTTTATCTTTATCACATAATAATTATAATCGTTATGAGTAATTATTCTGGCAATGACCGTACACCATATTGAACGTCTTTGAAAAGATGACGCGTGATAGATCTAGTCTGCAATGATTTTTTCAAGAGTTTTTCATTTATAAATATGATATTGATATTAAAATATTAGTATTATTATAATTATTATAACAATTGTAGATTTCTATAAGCTAAGTAATGAGTATGCGATAATTTTATTCTCAAAAAAGTTAACAAAAACATAATTAAGTTCTGAAAAATTGGAGTAGTTAATTTGATTAATTAATTGACTTGACATTTTTTTTTTTTTATAAGAAAAAATGAGGATTAAAAAAATATCATAAGGCAAATACTAATGAATATTATAAAAATCTAATACCTCAATAATGATTGATTTCTCTAACAAATCGTACGCACATTATTATTATTATTATTATTATTATGAATTTATGTCATAGAAGAATAACGCACACTATTACTATCAGATTTATTATCAGATTATTTATATTAAAATCATTAAGTGAAATAGTAATTAAATACAAATATACTATGCACTACTGTAAGTAAGCATGCAAATATGGTTTTCAACGAAAAAAAAAAAAAATAACAAAATTTCATTATTTATAATCTTAAATAATTTCAATTTTGATAATCATTTTATTAGGAGTAACTTCTTAATATCTAATTTGATAAATCTTTGAGTTTTTATTGTAAAGATGGATTAAAGAGACTGTCACTGAAAAAATCATAAAAAGTTTTTCCATGTCTCAGGATTTACTCATTTAAATGTCCAAAAATAAATAATACAATTTTTCCAATTTTACACTTTTTATATTCTTGATGAAAATAGTTTTTTTACGATATTTTAGTAATGAAGATTTAAACCATTTTTCTATATAATATTTTTTTATTACCATGAAAACATTATTTCAGATGAAAAATTTACATTTTTTAATATTATAACTGGTGATTGTATGTATATTAAGGGTAATGTAATTCAATCTGGTGCTACCATCCTTTTTTTGGAGCTTGAATAATTAACGTTTTGTGGAATGATTTCGATAATGAATTTGAAAAAAAAAAATTATAACATACAACGTTAATTAATACAAGCAAAAAGTAACACCTGTTTCTGATATAGTAGACGACTAACGAGGTGCCAAAAAGAATATTTCACGCCGATTAAAAAGAAAAATATTTAAAAAATTTTGATAACAAACATTTTGAAAACCTCGTTTATCCTTAAGAGCAGCGTTCTGACAAATATTGATTGTATAATTTAAAAATTTTGATACGGAAATACTCATATAATATGTAATTTTTTGATGAATTTTACAAGTAACTCAATAATTAATTATTAGCTAATTATTTATTACTCAATTATCTTATCATCTGTCCTATAGTAATGTAGTTTTTTGGTCGATAATTTTATAAATTTCTTTTAATAATATTCAAATGAGATAATTAATCGTGAAAATATAGAATAATATCACTGATCAATAAAAATCGGATCAAAGCCTGATAGGTATCTCAATGCTGATGGCAATATTTAGAGCTATAAAGCTGATCCGTAAAGTAGATTTTTCTTACAATTAGTAGTGACGTCTCTTTGTATCGAATTTATATCTTTCATGTATTTCATCTATAAAAACTTTCTACTAAACAACAATAAAGTTTTTTAATATTCATTATCAAAGTATCCTCAACCTTTTCCTTAATACATAATCGTCATTTTTTAATGTAATTTTTTTATTTAGAAATATTGAATTTTTTTCCTTTCATTTATAATAATTATTATTCAATTAATATTAATTGAGAATATTTATTGTAAATATATAATTAAAAATAAGAATAAAATTTTTTATTAATCATAATAAATATAATTTCTCTTAAATCATCCACCAACACGATCTCTAGGTATTAATCTCAGTTCTGAACCATGTTTCAAAAATACATTGCCTGCAAAAAAAATCATCATTTAATTTTTATTTTTGTTTAGACATTCTTTATAATGTCTGATTCTTACCAGCAGTTTGTTGAGGATTAATCCCAACACCATCATCAGTGATAATTGCTGACGTGGCTGGTGTTACCCTGAATTCTTCAGCAGCAAATTTTAATACTGCAGTGAAAGGAGTGTTTTCCGGGACACTCAACCTGAGGCAAAATTATTAACACTTTATTTATTTATTATTCATTTATTCAACATACACACATACATAATCATTTTTATAAGCATACAAATATTAAAAAATTTATAAACATCGTTTTATCAACTATTCGTCAATGACTATTTTCTTCAAACATTTCTCTTCAACTTCAATCCATATGGAACCATGTACCTGGGTTTTCGCTAATTGTAATCTATTTATAATTAAAGAACGAATTGAATCGGATACTTTTAATAATTTCATCATGATTTTAATAAGATGTGAAAAGGTAAATGAGTGATCAGCAAGCCAGCTGTTATTATCTTTCGTCATATTACGTCCAAAATAAAAAATTGCATCTATAAAACTAATTTGAAAATCACGATCGTCTGATAAAAGTTTTTGTAAAGATTTTTGATCTAAATCAGAGATTAGTGAGCATATGAGAGGATCATAATTATTAGTATATTTAGTCAAATTTTTCGTAATTAAATTCTTAACTAAATCATCTTCTGTTATAGAAGACACAATTTCCAGGAGTTTTTTGACTTCACCATTATCAATCATCTGACTAATCAATCTGTCTACTTCATTTTCTCGACCACAAGATATTTGATCACTCCAAGCAAGAATTCGAGCTTCGTTTTCAATATTAACAATTGGTATACCAATCTCTGCTAACGAATGTAATAAAATATTGGTGGGTAATGACTCTTTTAATAATTTATCAAAAAACGAATTGAGTCGTTCATAACCACAACTTTGAATATAGAATTCAAACAACTTATCAATTGTATCACTCGTTATTTTTAAGCTTTTTAGAAAAATTTCTAGCAATTTATCACATGCCAATTCTAACTCTGAACATGAATATAAGTGAGTTCTTGTTATTTTCCAGTGACCATGTAAATGATCTTCAAGAATTTTTTCTTTATTGTTTTCTTTTGCTTTAGCTATTGCAGTTTCAACAAAAATTGCAGTGCTAAATGCTTTAGTGATGTTAGAAGTTGTAATTTTTTGATTTCTATTCTCTAATAACGATATATACACATCAAAAGCTTTTATAATTTGCGACAAATCATCTGCCATTTTGATATAAAATTATTAATTTATCACGAAGCAGTTGGTTTTTAGATCCCTTTATCTTCTGGCATCAGATACAAATGGAATTCATCTGTTTAAAAAAAAATATTACAACAGATAAGTGCATATTGAAGCCAGAAGATTTCAGGATTATTATTTATAAAAATATTTGAGACTTCTTACTTACACTTTGAATGGCAGTTTTGGATCTGAGGTTAAAGTAATTTTAAAAGTAACTTTGGATCTGAAATGCAATAATAAAAAATTTAATATACTTCGAAAGTCATTGCTTATCAAAAAAATAACATATGGTTTAATTTGAAATGGAGGTTAGGAAATAGTAAATACACAATAAACTCCAAAAAATAGTACGTATTTTTATTTAATAATATGTAGAAACTTACGTCATGATTAAAGAGAAAAAAGCATTCAATTTAAATTCAAAATTAATGCAAACTTATTCCTAGACGTCAGATTCTGTGAATAACGAATATATGAAAATTTTGAATCAGACTGAAAAGAAAGTAAAGAAAGAGAATTGCTTGGAGTTTGTGTCATCCCCACTATAAAGCATTGTTGCAAGTAATTCATTCCTTATCGACAATTACTTTATTGATAGTTGTAAGAATCACTACCTTTTGAGAAAATTTTATTCAGGAATCTTCATAGTTGATAGTCAAAAGAGTAGCACTCGTCTCTTCCAGGTAAGATTAACTTAAAATTTTAAATAAACGATACTGATTCAAGTATTCATGTTAACAATATAAAAAATACAATTACAACCACATTTCATTTTTTATCTAACTTGTTACAAACTAAATTTAAAGATAATGAAAGTAAAAAATAAAAATTAAATAAATTCCCTGAAAAAGCTGTGTTTCTGTCACTTATAATTTTGTAGTGTAATTAAGGAATGGATGTGAATGATTTTAACCCAAAAAATGTTTTATTTATTGATCATTGAACAAGTTGAATTAATAACATAATTTCTTATTAATAACAAATTTTTATTGTTGTAAAAATATTCATTTTCACCGCATGGAGTGATGGTTATTATAAAATTATAAATGGTTGAATATAAAATTGTTATAAAAAATAGATTTATATATAAGATTAATAAATTTTCTTACTGTATAACTCTCTGAGTTTTTACAGACACAATCAAATTACGCATGTGGTCGATTAAAATGTCAATCTGAGAGAATAAGTTGAAGTTTAGAGTTTTAGACCAAAAAGAATAACTTTCGAACACAAATTTAGAAGAATACATTAAGTAGAAAATGAGTTATAAAAAAAATTATGCGTTAACTTAATTATTGAAAATAAATTTCATACGAACAAGGTATCGGCATTTAACTTGAGCAGGATTATATACGATATACTCATTATATAAAAGTACTAGATCAGTTAAGCTTAAATCTGAGCTACTAATTGGGGTTCCATATGGAATTTCAACTCCATCCAGAAATTTATAAATTTCTTCTGGGTTTGGGCAAGTTTTTCCTCTACCAAAAGCCGAATGTTTATCTGCCGGTAATTCTATGTCTGGACATTGTTGGTGTTTCTCTACCATATTCCCTAAGGCAACTTCACAAAGTAATAAAAGACCAGTGGGATTCCCCCTATTAGCATGACAATAATTAGCTGATTTGGAGACCATATCAGAAAAATAAATGCCTTTACCAAACATCCAACCAGTGGATGGAGCTTCTGGAGGAGCAATTCTCAAACCTTCAGACAAAATACCAGCAAAATTAGTTGTTCTAGATCCATGCCATAACAATTTTTTATTATGTAGACTTTCAAAACTCTTATATCTATCAGCTTCACCTTGACGTTCAATCTTGAATATATTTTCAATTTCTAATGTATATTCAGAATGAGTTGGAGCATGTGTATTCTTAGCATATCTTTCAATAAGTTTATATTCTTCATTATCACTATCAAGAATATCAGTTTTGATTTTAAGTTTTTCATAAATAGCATCTAGAAGATGTTGCTCTTTATTAGTTCCAGAACTTATAAAGTTATAAGCAATCTCTAAATCGAGCAATGCTTTTAACATGTCAGCTTTTTCTTGAATTTTTTTTAAATTATCAAGTATTGGAGGTGCTGAAGTACCAAATGAGTGTGGTATTAATGTGTAAAATTTGTTTGAAGCATTAACAAGCGTTGTTTTATCAGAAATATTGCATAAAATTAAGTTTTCAAGTTCTAGCAATACATAAAAAGCTTTATCTATTTGAGTTTTTGATAATTTACTCGATGGCATTTTATCAACATCAATACTAAAATCTACCATTAAATTTTTCATATGATCCAAATTAAAAATTAAATTCATAAGATTCCAAATCGGTGGTTCTAATTCACTTTTAATTTCAGTTTTAAAATCAACATCATCTCGAGTGTCAATTAAATGATATTTATAAGAATGTTTGATGAATTGATCCCTATTTTCCCATTGATTGTTAGTTTTTTCAAAAAAATATCTTTCAAATTCTTCGATACACGTTGAAAGTGGCATTACACTAAATGTCGAACCTACTCTGTTTGTTCCAATTCTGCCCCAACTGCGAAGAAGGGAAAATTTTTCTTCATGAATATACTGCAAAATTTGTAGCTTATAGAAAGAATTAAAATCTTCTGCAATGTTAGTCGCAGCAAGTGTAGCTGTATATTTCTCACCATTACACTCATAAACTTGAGCAATACCTTGAAGATGAGTTTTTACATCAATTACAATGCCTTTAAAATATCCTCCGGATCTATATTTGAATTTTTGTTTTAGAAGATTAGGATTAATCTTCTGTTCAGCATTTTCAGAATCTTGATGATCAATAGACAAGTTTGCAGAGGCAGTCATACGCATCACTCTTTTCTCAACATTAGGAACGTAGGACCTGAGAAAATCATATTTTATCTTATAAATTAAAGGAATTTTAAACTCAGTTCTTTTTGGATCTGTAGATATGTCTTGACACATGCCCCACTCTGACGTTCCCGTACACACATAGCCATACCCTGAAATAAATCTTCTTTTTCCATAGCATTTTTTACATGCGTTCACCGATCCAAAAGCTAAGCGATCAGCTAATGCGTTTATAAGTTCATCTTTATTTTTTGAATATCGTTGATTATTGTGTGTTAACAATTTGATCATATCTTCTTCGTCTAGTTGTTTAATTTCATCTCTCATATCAAAGAATTTTTCATTTTGCTTCTTCATTAAATAAACCCAATCATCCATTTTCACTGTTGTATCTAGCTTTGTTCGTTTAGCTACTGGAGGCAGGTTTTCGTTATCTACTGTTGGAAGTTTTGTCAAAACAATTTTTTGATCTTCGTTTGTCGAGTCATTGAACTCTATTCTATAATTTGCCAAATCGTCCGATTGTGATTGCTCCGTTGTTGTCTCATAAATTACCTTAGAGGTTGATGGTTCAGACCATCCTTCTGAAATAAAACAATCGAAAAAGTCATAGTCTAATAAACATCATAAATATGAAATATTTCTTACAATTAAAAAAATTTGATTCTCACCAGTTTTAATTTTCAGGTATTCTTGATCAACCCATCTAATATTATCAAAATTAGCAATAACCGAAATGGATTGTGGTTTCTGAGGTGTCGAAAAGATACAATCACGATGATGCCATTGATAGGTCACACCATCATGAACAGGGCTCTAAATAATCGAGTAAAAACATTTGATGTTTTTATAAATATTAGATTAGATCGAAATCAATATAATAATAAGTTATCTACATACTGGTAAACATTTGGCGATTTTTAATGAATCAGAATCAAACATAAGTCCGCAAGTATGACACCTTCCTTCATTTTCTTTAGCATATTCTGCCCGGAATGGAAATCGTTTCTCCATTTTCTTTAGATGAATGTGAATTTATTTATCAGACACATCAACTAATTATTAACGCTCTCAGATAACAACTGTATTAATTGATAATAATTATTAATATACGGTATTAGTTAAAATCTATAAACGTTTCGCGCGTATTGTCATTTAGGCTGTTCTCTGCGATTCTCACCCTTCAAACTACTAATCTGCGCACATACGAAATGCACTTATGGTTGGATCAGAGGAAGAGGCAAGAGTATTTTTGTGTGCCGTACACTTTTGTGTCAGCAAAATATCGTTGGTATAATAGAAAGCATTAATCGTTCATTAGAAAAGACACAATTTTTATGCATATTTATATTTATTTATTTATTTATTTATTTTTATTTGTTTATATTTTTTTAGAAATGAATTATTATTGTTAGATAAATGCACAGACAAAAGATAAAGTCCCTTTCTACTTTATCATCTGAAATTATTTTTCCTCGGATGGTAACATTACAAATACATACTACTCTGCCATACCGATATCATGACTTCATAGTTCACAAAGAAAGCTGCGCCATCGATGACGCTTACAAAGGGATCAGACAGACATCCGGCATTGTTACTTCGTCTTCTCGCTGTATTGGATTGTTTACATCAGCTCAAAGAGATAATAATAAGTAAATGAGAAAATACTGTAAATGCATTGTATCGTAAAAGCTATTATAAATGATCATGATGATTATTCTCTAAGAGCAAAGTCGTCATAACCAACAAATCATGCAAAAATTGGATGAAATTTCATTACGAAATCATCGAAAAAAATTTATGAATAAGGTATGTACTGTATTTTTCTAAAGCTCAAGAGAGCCCTGTATGCAGATTGATACTAATTGATTTCCATGGTAGCATTGGTGCAATTTCCGCATAGCTGTTAATTCCCAAAAGAGCAACCAGACGCAATGCCAACGCAAGCTGTTCTCTTGCATTTGTGATTGAACAGTCTAGTAATATTGTCAAACTCCATAATTTATATGACAGTCGTAATTAATCGATGAAATAAGATTTTTAAAAAAAAAAGATTTAAAACTCAAAATGTGTAATAAAATTACAGTTTAGAGAGAAACTCGAATTTTTATAGGTTATGAAAAATTGGAATAAAAAACTTTTTTGATAAAGATCGAATGGAATGGCAAGTTCCGGGTGTCTGAAGTAGTTTCGCAAAATGTTCAGAATCATAAACTTTAAATAGGTCCATCACTTATATGTTGCCTATGATATAAATTTACATAGAAATATATGTCGCATAAAACAAAAATGATAAACTAGTAAATAAAAATTTTACGAGATTGTTGGATGCATCTATAAAATTATTTGGATGAAAAATAAGTCTTAAAGAAGATTGAAAAGAGTGTTTAAGAAAAATTTATACAAAGAATAAAACATGCGGCTGACCATTTTCAGATATTTCTACTTACAGCCGTCTGTGTACAGAGAAAGATAACATCCAACTCGAAGAATCCGTGACAAGAATATATTTTAATAATATTTTATTTTATCTCCAATTTATTTATGAATAGTAAAACTAATCACTAGTGTGAAAGATCTTGGAGTCCTGATGCATTAGTGTTTATTGAATTCTCTAGAAATTGGATCATTTATTTGAGATGATTTTTAAAAATATTCAAAAAGTATTCACACTCTAAAGGCTTGTATTCTACAATTTTTATATTTAAATTGTAAATTTAGTATATTATTAAATGGATAAAAGATTACTTTTGTGATAATGATGACGAAGCTAGAAAATGTGTTGGATTAGATTTTTTTCATGATGACTCAACAAATGTATGTATTGATATTTATATATATATATACGTCTGACGAAACGGAAATCAGACCCTCCCTATTTGCAAATAAATTTAGATTTATCCGGTTGAATATCAACATTTAATTAAGTAAAACGATTACTCCAGACTCCCGGATGAACTTAATGTATTTTTTTCAAATAAAATGTAAATGAGGACGAAATTGCAGATGTTATGTATTACGAAATTTCTTATCTCTAAGATAGAAAAGTTATTGGTCAGGAAGGAATTCTAGTTTCTCAAGTTATCTAGTAGTATAGGAATAATTAAATCTTTGTATATCAAATAAAACTTAGTCAATAAAACTGAAAATTTTCTAAGGAAAATATCAACAGATATAGAGCAAAAAGGTTCAGGAATTTACCTAAGCTTCAAAAGTACTGAGTGAGCATCAAATTGTCTAATCGAGAAACAAAATGTTCTTGTAATGTTTAATCTTGCATTTATATTACATATTTTATGTATGACATAACATAAACTTGCTACAAATGTATTTATTTGTCAAAAGAGGGTATGAAAATATGCTTTATAAGTGTATGGTTTTATCCTATTTAGTGTTTAAGTATTCGTATCGGTATATAAAATCCTCAAATATTTTTTTAAGTTATTTTTATTAGTTCAATAGACAATAATAGAGGAAAGATAATAGTTAATAGCTTATAGTTAAACAAAGTTATATGGGGATAAAATTGATTAAAGTTTTATTGTGATTATGGGTAGCTTGTGTGTTATGTTGATAGCTATATTCTTGAACTAAATTAATTAAAATTATTCCATAAACTATTCACTGATCAACAGTGTCAAGTGGTTTTACGACTGAATAAGTCCAAAAATCATATAGATACTGATTCTCAGTAAATGATCATTGATTTATATTAATTAGCACGAATTGATTTCAAACAGAATGAATGATTGATGAAAGAACAATTGACAGCAATCAAATGCTTCTTATAAAATCTTGATTGTTATTGAAGTTATTTAATGATATTGGTTTTCTTTTAATTTTTAAAAAAAATTGACAAATGTCAATAGCACTCTACGTGTGAAAAAGTTTTAATAACGGATTGGGGTAGTCTAGAAATAGACATTTTTGTGGAACATAATAAAGCTTTAAATAAAATAACTTTTATCAAACTATTTTTTGTTCACTGTTATTGAAAATTTATTGTTTAAAGTAAAACTTTTTGGGTAGATATAAAATCAATATTCTTTCATATAAATAGTCTTGGATAAAAATTTTTTAATTTTTTATCTGATCTCTTCAATGATTTCTTATTAATATTTGATAAATAACTCTTCTTGTAAATTATAAAATATATTTAAAGTTTTATTTAATAACGTTAAGATTTACATTAAATAATTAAAAAAAATTTATAACATTTATTTTAATTATTATTATTATTATTAATTTATTATTAATTTTTGTTGCAGGAGCTGAAAAAAAATTAAGTACAATAATAAATGAGGGCTGTAACTTTAACAAAAAAAAAAAGTCTGTTAGAACAACGGAATATTTTTTTTGGCGTAGTGCATACATTTCTCTAGACATGAGAACGAATTTTAATTAATTGAAATTAACAACAATAAATGGCTCATTTTTAGAGATCCTTAAATAATTAATTAGATCATTAAAAAGAAAATATGACCAAGTTTAAAAATAATTTCATGAGAGAGAACAAGAAGATTTCCATACAAAAAAAAAATATATATTTTTAAATGAATCAGCCAGTAATTTGACAGCAAAACTTTCTACAACTACAATCGGAAAATCCTCTAAAATGGTAATGACTGAATGTTTAATTAAACACCACTCTCTTATTCTGCATCTACTGATTTTAAAATATTAATAAAACAAGGTTCTAGTGAATTTGATTATCGATTGAAAATGATAGATTCGCATCCAATAAACTTTTCAACTATCACACGAATTTCAACATGGAAGCGCTCGTGTTGCTTGGAAAAGTTGACTCACTGTTTCTAGACATGCAAGAACTTCAGGGGTTGCATTTATAACTGTAGACAATTAATCAGACTTCTTCTGATCGTTAACCGGAAGGTAAATCTACATTTACGAACAACTTTCCGGTCTCAAATGTCTTCAAGAATAGTAACTCATAAATAACTAAAGTATTGTAAAATAAGATGATTTTTAATAAGGCAATTGTCTAACCACGTGGTAATAATTTTTTACGTAGTTCCACTCTTGAAAAAGAAAAATGCACTTTATTCATATCACGTTGTGCAGCCATTATTTCAAGAGACTTAAGATTCTCAAAGTATGTAGATCACAAACTCTCGAGTTTTTACACTTGAGACTTTTTATTATTATCACCATCACAACTGTTCCCACGCAGTTTTGAATAGCGTTAAATTTATGCATAAAAATAAGAAAAAGAGAGAGTGATAAAATTTGAACTCTCTGGTCAAGCTTGTTGATTAGTTTACAAAATGAAATTCTCACTGTGGTTGTACGCTAATAAAACTTGTGACCTTTGAAATGTTACAGTGAGTTAGGTAGATAATCCCTGCTTTGCCACAAGCAAAATAACTCCCATTTATAGTAGAGAATTATACCAATGCAACACATACACAACACACATTAGACTTTTCTCCTTAGACTCTCATCAATCTTGAATCATCCCCTGCGTATCGTTCAAGTCAATACTACCCTCGGGATCAGTTACGACTTATAACTTAATAACTCACGAATCAAATTTCCGATTACATTAATCCATTTTTTTCCATTTATTTCCGTTTATGTTTCAGCTTGATGTCCATCACCTCTTAAGTAGTCTTAAATGGTGACAAAGATGCAACGTCTTCGAATCATCCGGGAGTTATTTCCGGTGGGAATGATAGTCGTTTCGTTTGATGTTGGACAAGTGGGATTTGAACAAGCTTGCAGTCAGTTGAAATCAACAACGGTTGTGTAGGTGAAAGCATTGGATGTAGAATGGTGAAGGGTGAGAGTTGAGCTAGAAGTCTATATAGCAGATACATTGGCGAATAGAAGGGAGCTTCGGCGGGATTCAAGACGAGTTTTGGTGGGGGTAACGTTCCACCCCGTGTCAGGTAGTCTGGCCACGCGGTCCTCTGCAGTCAGTCCTATTGAAAACATCCGACCCTACAATACACTACTGGGATATTGTTTTCCTTCGTTTACATTAATTGGTGATTTGTATTGACGTCTTTTTATTACGATACTAAGTGGAACAATCGACAGAGATATTTCATTTAAAGGTATTCAATCCTTTCATTCATTTTTATTTATTTATTCATTATTATTTTTAATCATTTTTGTTATTATTATTTCTGTTGAGGTAATTATTTTGTTTTTTTTTCTTTTTATCTTAGTAGTTAAATAAAGGAGGTAAATTGTCGTATTAATTAATGTGGTAATCTCATCAAATCCCTCAGTCCACGTTCTCAATCTAGAGATGATATTAATTAGTCGTCCAAGAACTTCCAACTGCTAGCATTAATAACATCCCAAGAGTAAGATAATCGTTTATTTAATGCAATTAAATAAAAATAAAAACTTTGATTGAATTGTAGAAAAATTCAATCCCTTCATTCGTTTAATCTCAACTTAACTCAAGAGACAAACAAAAGAACAAAAATAAATGAGTTACGGTAACTAAGAAGAAAAAAGAAGCCAATGAACTACTGACTAATCTTTTTCTTAGAGTCAATCAAATAGACTCATCAACAAAATGTCTAACTTACCCTATACGTTTTTCTTTTTTTCTATCTGTTATTCTTTACTTATTTTATTATTCTTTCATCTATCATGAGAAAGAAAGTTTGATCAAAAAAAATATCAAATATATCAGTATGGAGTATGTATGAAAGCATCAAGAGTTGCTTCACCTAACATATAAAATTCTATATTACTTTGGTCTACCTTCAAATAAGTAAACAATGAAAAAAAGCTCATAAAAATCTCATCTATTTTCATTATAACGCTGCCAACATAACATTGAAATTCTATTAGAAATGGCCATGCAATTTCATGCCATTATACAGCTGGAGGTGTGTTGGGAAAAAACATTAGAAAGCATTTAGATTTTAATCGGATTAATAAACTATTAATTTTTCCATTTATTATTAAGTCAAATTATTTTGACATGAAATATTTTTGCATAAAGTTTTTTATTGCAAAATTTTGATTACATTTTTTATTGTTAATAATTTTATCATCAAAGTCAATAATGTTTCAAATTACTTCTCAGCAGACATCAGTAATTTTTTTCTTCATAAAATGACAGAAAAATCTAAATGAATACATTACCCTCAGAATTTTATCAAGTAGTTACTCTCAATTTTTATACCGACATTAATCTCCGCAATTTATCTGACTGTCGTGACCATCAGCCCTCGACCTTTAACAGCATGATGATGATGATAAGACGCCAATTTTAACGGGATTTTCTATTTTTATAACCATTAATTCGACGCTCTTTCATACTTACAGTTTGCCTGACATAATTTTTTGTTTTTAAGTAAACCACAGATATCAAATGACACGATATATTATAGGTATAGATCGATTATTCGCACACCCGAGGCTGTCGGCCAAATGACATAGACATGACAAGACGACACAGTGAGTTGGAAAAAAAAAAAAATTCTAAACAAGGACAGACGTTCGGATTTCAACTTTGGCCATACGCCAAGTGACAACCAGAGCTTTTACTGTAGTTATACACTCATTTCCTTCATAGCCACTTTCGCCAAATGTGACTCGACTTTATCAGACTAAGCCTCATCACTTTCGTATAATCCTTCTACTCGTTTAATTCCGGAATAAAGCGCAAACAATATTTTATATTCCCTTTTTTTTATTTGAATTTCTAACAAAAACTATGCTCCCAATTCACTCATATACTTGAGTTCTACACTTTAGCTATTTTATTCTTATCATTGACTGGATACAGTAGTTGGCATTCTCGAGTTGTCATTTATTAATTGAAAATTTTTCACAAAGCAAGTCAAATAATTAGAAGATAATTATAATTAAGAGAACAGTTATAATAGATTTTCTAAAGTGTTATTTCAGCTTGGAATGGATTTAATGAAAGAAATAAAATATTTCATTCAATCTTTTTCTGTTATTTTTTTCATTTCTACATATTATATAAATGTGCTGGAAATTTTTAGATGAAAAGTTATAAAAAATATAGACTTTGATATTTTGAAGATGATATATAGAGATTAATATGTGAGATTAAAGAATTAATGTGGTAAAATTTCATGATATGAAACTGAAACTTTTTCAACTCGGTCAAATATGTAAAATATAATTTTTTTTTTTTTTTTTAATTTTAACAATAAAAATAGATGAATTTGATAAAGAAATTATTGTATTAAAAAAAAAAAAAATAACATATTTTGTATTTATTTTATCTAAAATTATTTTACAAAATATCGTTTTTTTTCTGTGCAATTTTAAGTATTATTAAAATAATTCATTCTTAACTAGAAATACTTGAGATATTTCTTGTTATCGTTTTTAAATAAATTTTTTATTACCTCGAGATAAATCTCTCTAAAGATAATCTTATTTATGTTAACTTCGTACTAATAATTTTTTTTTATTAATAAAATTTTTCATACTCAATAAAAAAAATATACATTTAATTTTAACAATAAATATATATTATATTAAATACTACAAAAGTGCAATTTTGAATAATTAATTTTTCTTTAAAAAAAGTCGATAAAGTATACTCGAATTTCACCCAAGTATGACTCAAGTGTTTATCTTTAAGAGTCAATAAAAGGCAAAGTTATTCCACTTCAAAATTTAAATTTAAGTCTTTTGTTAAAAAAACACAATAATTCTTACTCATACCATGCCCATTATAAACCTTGATTACCTAATAACACTGCAAAAAAAAAAAAATATTGATTAAATAAATATTTATAATGCCAAATCTCACAAGTGAATGGCCAAAAAACATTTTAAACACTTTGTTTTTTTATAAATAATGCGACATCTTGAATCAAGTTAATCATTAAATTCGATTGACAATCTAGCACAACAATCTCCAACTATCACTAACTGCTATTTTTATTTTTCCAAGAATAAATGATGGAAGGAGAATGTCCTTCTAACATTGTCTACTTTAAGAATAAGAAGGATTTTCGCGCGTCAATTCGAGGTCGATGCTACGTGTTTACGAGACGGCTTTGCGTGACTTTACAATCGTTATAGTCGTCTGTTGCTATTCAAAACTGACTAATGTCATTTAGCCACGTAAGGAAAACGTTAAATTACTTTCACTAACAATATTTTTTGAATTTAATAAAGATTTATAATCACCAAAGATATAGAATTCCAACAGATACCTAGATCTATTCCAAAGTATGATAGATTATTATATAACCTAACCTAATACTCATCTATACCATATTCATCTTTAATCCATCCAAATCTATCGTGAATTAATCCAAGTTACATGGTCGATGTATTTCTATGAATTTATCCAGAGATTAATTTTCACAAGTACAATGTCGATTCATTGACTTGTATTAGTAAATGCAACATCAATACAATTGAACTTCTCTAATTTTTTAACCGCGTAATTTACTTTATGTGCATATATTAAATGTCAATCTGCTATAGTTTAGTCTATATGTTAAACAGAGGACCCCATAATTTTTATTGTTAGAAAAATAGGCATAAAAATTAGAGGAGTTCAACTGTATTACCTAACTCAACAACTCATTCTTTCCTTACATATTCGCCTACGTCGAAACCTACGTTGCGTCAGAAGAAAGAAAGCGAAGAAAAGCATATAAAAAGGAACAATAGGTATGAGTCGACTAAATAGAGGGTCACCATTATTTATAGCAAGCGGAAAATACCGCCTGCGCTAATATCCTTTTTTCTGGCATCTTTACTCCGCGATTTATTCAACCAATGGAATTATAAGCTTATGATTATGTATATAAGTATGAAATATATCATCACAGCATCAGCTTTCATTTAGTAGTGGTATTGAATGGATTTTTATTTTCATTAGCTCTTATTATAATTTATCTAAATAAATATATATAAATCAATTTTAGGTTTATCATTTGTTGGGGTCAATGCACTATATGCAATGTTATATAGTACAGTTGTACTTTACTTTGCACGAGGAATCATCGATTTTCCTTCATACCAATGAGAAAGCCTAAGGCTTAAGTTTGTTGGGGGAGCCAAGTTGTTAAGTTATACGGCCAAACGAAAAGGACCTACTAAAAATTGCCTACCCTATCGTTTTTTATGACCTGGTTACCCTAGAGATAAAGAAGTCATTCAAGTATTAAAAAAAAAAAAATTATTGATTTTTTTAAGAGTCAGTTTGAGAAGTGGAGAGAGGGAGAGGGAGGTTAGGAAAAGAAAGAATAGGTACAAGTAAACCGGATAAATGATGCTAAATGTTTTGATTTAATTTGATGTTAGCAGTGTAATTATTGTAAATGGCTTTATTTATATTAATCAGTTAAACTGACTTAACTCTTTATACCACGTAGAGATTACCAATAATAAGGAATGAATGCGCGCGTGTTTCTTATCGTGGTACGATTTACTGTTAGAGAAAGAGAGAGAGAGAGACGAAAAACGATGGTTGTATTTGAAAATATATACAGTCATGCTATTCCCCTTACTCAACTTCGTCTCCTTCCATATCACCATCAAGTGCTTATCCACGCGGTTACCTATCTTCAATTTCTCGCTTAGTCGAGCTGTAATTCGTCCGTGCACGCACACACTTTGATTATCTGACCATATTCAATTATTATTTATTTTTATTTTCAAGTGTTGTATCAAAGTATCTATTCTTGATCAGAATATTTTCAGTGTTTATATAATTATTACGTGATATGCTATTTATCTAAATTATCAACGTTAAGATTTTGGTTATGATGATCACGACAACGACGACGACATTGCACCTGGAACGATAAAAATTCATCGATAACGACGCTATCTTGGATTTTCAGTCGGCCCTGAATTAAAGTCATATCGTCAGTCATTTGTAGAAGTATAGGCTCAAAGTTTAGTGTTCACTATTTATCGTCTTTTTTAATGGTAAAATTTTATTGTTTTCATTTTCTTCGTATCGACGAGAAAATTAATTTTCTATCAAGTGCTCTCTGGTAATCATTGTAATTACTAATTGATAAAACTCTAAACAATTGCCTTGACTGAATAACCACGAACATTTAAATTCTTCTCTCAAATGCTCATTTTTATTTACACACATTGATAGAGTATTTTTTTTTTTCTTTCAATATTAATCTTTGATTCATTTAATTAAAATGCCTTCAAAATGAATGAATAATAGTTTGAATTTTTTGATGTAGTAATATTTCATTTCAATACACTTTTTTTAAAAACCCAAACTCCGTAATTAAATGAATAATTGACTGATACTAGTAAATATTTATTTGATACAAAATTAATGGCATAATTGCTCGATTCAAATAAAAGTTATTTAATATACTTGATTATTTTTCCCAGTGTAGATAAATAATGAAAGAAAAAATATCATTTTTACATTCAATTATCTTTCATGCGTAATCTACATTACATCATGCATTAAAGAGCATAAAAGAAAACATTAATGTCAGTAGAAAAAATTAATTCTGATTTATACGATTATTATTTTTTTTTTTTTGTTTTTTATAGATTATTGATGCTATACTTAAATATAGACCTAAAAATTTCAATGTGTCTAGTACAAAAAAATTTGAAGCACTTGAACAAACATCACGTCATATATACGGTTTTTTGACGTAAAAAATTGTAATGACATTGAAAGGTAGCTTGAAAATTGAATCATTATTATTCTTATCAATATCATTGTAATAATAATAATAATAATTAATTTGATAAATATATATCAGAGTACAAAAAATAATAATCTATTTAGGACAATGAGAAGGGAAGAAAGGTTAATGTCGTTGTTTTCAAATTGACAATCTAGCTCAAGCAATGTGTGTTGGAATTACGGGTGACTAATTAAACGTTATATCAATAACATGCTTTAAACTGGATGATATCAGTACGTATTATATTGTATCTATTTACTTGTTCATCTATAATATATATGGGTTTGATAACTAAACGACGGTAATTGTCAAGCTATCAGTATGAAAGTGCAGTGAAGTGTAGTGTACAAGGAGTGTATATATCAAGCTTGACAATTTTAACGATGACACTTAAAAAAGATGGGGAGAAAAGACAATCAAAGAAACATAATAAAACGAGGAAAAGTAAAATTTGTCCAATCGATGAGACTCTAAAAGCTGAGGAGAATGTTACTATTAATGATGATGGTAAAAGTTACAGTTTGAAAACTGACACAGGTGTGTTTGTTGATATTAAAAAAGGTTTTCCTTATCTTAGTATATAGTAATTAACCAAGATATTATATCACAAAACCTACATCTTGAGCTAAATCATAAAAATGTTTCCATCTGTGTTATTTAGACGACAGCAGTGAAAAAAATGGTGAAAAAAGGGATTGTAAGCTCGACCGCAAGCCATCATTAAGACGAAAATTGGGAGCTTTTCTTCGAGGGAGTGCTGACTTACCAGCTGCGATTAATCGTAGTTTTCAGCCGATACGCAGGAGTTTTAGCTTCAACAAAGATCTCCATCGGGTTTATGAACCTGAATACAGAACTAGGAATGCTTCGTGGTACAACAGTCTGAGTTCTTTGGCTGAAGTTGATTCAAAGGATGAAGGAGTTGGACAAAATACTCACAAAGATGATGCAATTCTCAATGGACCACTAACTCTCACAAGAACACACAGTTTCCTGGAAGATAAATCTGTAAGAATATTTTTTGTCTTTCAACAAAATATAAATGAACACCAGGTGGATGTGATTTCTATTATGAATGGAAATATTTTGTGGCATATCGTGGCATTTTTTTATATGAGAGACGATTTTACTGAAAGAAACAAAAAGTGTGAATGCATGAAGAAATAACAGAGCAAAAAATCTTTGGTATTTAAATGCACTCTCATGATGGTGATATCTCTGGCAGTATGATAAAAGCTCTCTTGAAAATTTTGTGGAAATTTTTTCATTCTCATGATCTCTGAGTCCATATATGGTTGTTATTATTTCAATAGTGTCACAAGATTCAGAGTATTTCCTTGTCTTTAAAAGTATTATGTTCACCTCAACTCGTTATTTTTACTTTCTTTTTCTTTCTGCTGTTCATAATAAATGTGCAACCTCTTGATGATAAGCAGAAATGTAAGATTAAAAAATGACTTAATTATCTGTCGAGTAATTTTTAATTGTCACACTCAAGATAAATGATTCATCACACTCTCTCGATGTGTGTTTGAAATGGTGAACATTTTTCTAAATTAAAGTAGATCATCACCATCAGCAGCAACATCATACTAGTGGTACTCTTTAATTAGACTAATAATTCTTTAGTGGTAATATAACAGTAGGATAGCAAAATGCAGTAATTTTTGCCATTGGTTACTTTGCCTTTCAGAAAAAAGGAACAAATGATGTAACTCAAATAATATAAATATAGGTCAATGATATACAATTTTTATTTATAGGCAGTATAACCGTATATTATATTATTATATTATTTAGTCTTCTAGATAGATGGACAGAATGTCCCCAAGCAATTTTTTTTGAATTATTTATGCGGTTCGATAATTGATCATGTCATTAATACTTTATGCTCACTATACTCTGGTTAGTGAATTAAAAATATTTCTATGCACCGTTAATTAATTATTGAAATTAAAATATCCTGGAGTGTATTAATAGTTGGAGTTATCAAGTTATCATTTTAAAGTTAATGATAAGGTGGATTTGAGGGCAAAATCTTAGGATTAAATTCTTGCTGCTACCTAGAAAATTAAGATTTTTATTGCGGATAAAATTAATGGAAAAATAATATTGAAAAAAAATATTTCAAGTACTTTGATGGTCCTTAAAGCTGATGAAAATATTTCCACTAGATAAGAAAAAAAAATGTTTTATTTCAAGAACATATGAGAATTTTTTCGTATTGTACAGATAAAAAAATTTACTGTTGTAAAAGTTAGCATTAATGCCCCCTCCTAGTTTATTGGAGTATGAAAACCGATAATAATTACCACATAGTGATCATTTCAGAGTATTTACGAGAGTTGTAGTAACTATGTTGCCAGAAGTGCCTTATCTCTCTTCCTCGCTAGTTTTCACTATATAACACATTTATTGGTTTTTCTGTTAAATTTAATTGTTTCACTGACTTTTTTATTTTTATTTTCTCTTGTCTTTTTATAAGTGTATAGTTGTTTGGTTTGTGCTTCTTTTGTAATATTTGCAAAAAATAATTTTGATAACTATTCATGCAGAAAAAGCAGCTATCTATTAGTGATCCTTGTCTTCAACTCGTTTGATGTTGTCAGTAAAATAGACACACAATATATACCAAATATTTCTATTCACGTGAATTGAATTCGACAATCAACGGGTACTTCAGAAACAGAAAAGTTGCTTGTTCAGTAAAATTCTATTAAATGTAATTTGGACAAGTTACCGGGTCAACGAGATATCTTGTTATAGCCGTTGTACAGGAGATCGAAAAGTTTGGACATTAACACGCTTTATGAATCCCGAGTGGTAACTTTTACACAATAATTTATCTTCTCTTTTATTTCTTAAATGAAAGGTAAAATAATGCTAAATTACTATAAGCTAATTTCAACTTTTCAAGTATTTTGCTTTAAATAATAAAAAATACTTTTAAGAACACTTCTAATATCGAAATGGTAGAATTTAAGTGCACATTATATCACAAAAGAATAGAGTATTTCAATTATCGATTTGGTGTAATAACACTGAAAGTTTTATTTAAAACTAATGGGAAAGTTTATGAAATGTTTAAAAAATTTTGATTCAATTCTTCATTATTTTAAATTGTATAAAACATAATGCATAATGAAATGGCTCTTGTAACAGCAACACAGAGATTCTTGAGTTTAAATTAATTTAGAAATCTTTTCTGTTTTAGACAGTCACAAGAAGAAAATCCAAGTCAACTGGATTAAAGTTTGTCTATGGACGACATAGTGACCATTATGACTCTTCTGTAGGTAAGCAAATATCTACGTAAAATTAAATATTCAACTGATTTTTGCAATTTAAATTGTTCTAATAAATTCATAATTATTTCCAGACTTAAGTAAACCACCTTTTGAAGCATGCAGCCTTCCAGTTTTGACACAATTCTCCGCAGACAAAGATGAAGTGGAACCACTGCGAGAGTAAGTAAATAGCATAATACTTATTCATCTGAATGTGTATCTATGAAATGACATTGGTTATGCATGTTTATGCCAATTACTAGAACAGAGGCGTTTAAGGAGGTTCTGACGTTGTTCAAAAATAATGAGTCAAACTTGAATTCCAAATACATTGTTGTTAGAACTTATATAAAGGAATTCAGTTTTCTTAGTGGAATGTTGGTGAATATAGACAATGTGCATGAATAAAATAAAATTTCAAGTGTCAGAACTACTCTAAATATTATAATAAATCGAATAAATTCTTCTGATTTCATTCAGTATTCAAACATGGGAATTAATGCAGATATAACTATTTTTAGTTTTTTCCTTCCTATTTTATAAGTTGGAATGTATTTATGAAGAATTTCTTTCCATGTCAATAATTATTGTTTTATGAAATGGCTCATTTCAGCAGAGAAAACGATCTAAAAAAGAAAGTACTCTTTGATGATTGCTCAGGGAATTTATACAAATGTATTTTCCGGCAAAAGAGAGATAAAATGAATTATTAATCAGTATAGATGTTATGAGTTATATTTTGATCATATTCAAATATGAATTCATGGATTGTAGGAATAATTTTTTGCTTTTTAACGACACATTTTGCAACATTGATAGATTTTGTTTTTTTTTTTTAATGTATTAATTGAATTTAAACTATTAAATTATTTATTATTTATTTATATAATGATATTCCGTATTTAATAATAGTTTTAATCAATATTTAATTTATCTTAAATTATATGAAGATAAAATCTTATCTTTAATTAAACTTTCAATAAAACTTCAGTAATTAATAAAAATACTTATCCTATCTATAATTAAATTTTTTATTATAAATAAATGTTTTTGATTACTTGTTATTAAATATTTTATAAAAATTCAAATAATATCATTAATCATTACTAATTAAATAATGCTATAAAATTGTAGGTAAATAGTGATTTATTTTTATGTCATTTGATATTTTAAAAATTTAATCATTTTTGTTTTATTGTCAATTGATGCGGGAGAATCATTAAATAATAATGAGATAAAAGTTTTTTAATTTACATCAATGTAAAAATGATGTATGCTGATAGATTGCAAATGGAATGCAAAGTTGATTAATTTTTTTGATTACATGTTAATTACATATTAAACAGTCGTCAAAGAACAGAGCTGTTTCTTTAACTTTTTTTCAGTTAATACGAATTAACTGGATTAGTATTAATTTATAAATTAATTTAATTGAATTTAAAGTTGGTTCCAAAAATGTAGGAAAAACAGGTCAATACATTGACAGTTGAGATCGAGAGATTAATTTAAAAAATAATTATAAACAAATTTTTAATTGAATTATAAACAACTTTTTTTATTTTTACAAAGTGCAATTTATTCTAAAATGTGGTAATTTTTACTCTAATGTTAGTTTTATTTTTTTTTTATCAGTCAAAGATATCTCTGGTCTACCCCAAATGATAGGGTAATTTTTGAAGTAAAATATTTTCTATTTACTTGCAATTAAAATGACTCAACTTTTTTATAAATAGATCACAAATTTTATTTTTAATACAAAAAAAATTGTACATGTCATTTAAAAATTGTAGAATATTTTAGTTTAGAAACTTAATTATTTATTCTATCAAAAAGATCTATATAATCGCAGAAAAAATTCGTATTCAGTGAAGTATTTTTAAAAAATACTTGTACACTTTATAAATTGATTACAACATAGAAAAATAAAAACTGTTTGAAAGGAGTTAAAGTAATAATGAAACTGTATTTTACTATTGAAATGAGGTGACCATAGCAGCTTTGATTAGATTTCTAGACAACCAATAAATCACACTAGTATTCGACTACACTGAGAGATATATGGTGGATAACAAATCACTCAAGTTGCATATCTATCAAAGTAGTGACGATTAAACTGGTGATGGTGACACAATCCTTTGTTTTAATTTTTCTATTTCCATGAAAATAAATAATCTCTTGATCAAACCATCATGTATGCTATAGTCATATAATAATGATAATACAATTTGAAGAGAGAATTATCATTTATTTGGATAATCAGAATGATAAAGTTTTTAATAACTGCAATTTATGAATCCTTCAACTGGTAGTAATTTATATAACATTGTCATTCTCTATTATTACTACATGTTCTCGTGGTTATTATGGTGTATGTTCTTGTTGCATATCTCTGTATGTTTACATCTATTTATGGTTAATAGTTTCAGAAGAGAAAGCCGAGGCTGGAACGGATGGGGAATTCTGAGAGCGAGTGCACGAAATTCTCTTATACGGCTCAGCACATCCGGATCCAAAGAACGTCCAGATTATTCGGTGAGTTCAGTTATTCATTTATGTAAACTATTTTACTTCTCAATGCTGGGAAATATACAGGCCTTCATGTTTATGAATTTGTCACTGTATTTTAAACTTTGCACACTTGGGTTATGTCAATAAAAAGTATTGCATAAAACTTTTTCTCAATTCATATATATATAAAAGTATATATAAATATTATTATTGTTATTACTTTACTGTATAAGTGAAGAAGACTTGATGATTTTCCTTTCTTCGGTCTGTATATTTCCATGGATGACGTAGATAAAAATATTGCAAATAACACTTTGCACATAAGGAAGAAAGTTATTTAGAGAAAATGATATTGAAGATGATTTAAAATTGATGATAAAAAGGATGTAATATTGTAAGAGTCTTTGAAAATAGACTTAGTTATCTAGTTTGAATGGACTTTAAGAGGTACAATTTAATGTCAATTGTCATTGACTATTTGGATATTTTATATTTCACTTCCATTTTTTTATTTTTATCGCTCTATAAGCTGAAATTATGATTCATCATTTTTATCAATGATTTATCAAAAATGCCGATACTAATGGCTGTCAGGTTTATTTACAACTAAGTATGCCGATAAAAAAAAAGGGGTAGCATTGGAAATATATGGAAAATTTCCTATATTAATGTACTCCACTAAAGCTATCGATTATTTTTATGCCACGTGGCTTCTCCATCTCTATACAAACATTTCAACCAATCGATCCGTTAAGCTATCAATTATCCCGTCAAAGGGTATTGATCAGAAGACTTATGAAAAAACTAAAGTGTATCGATGGTGTAAATTAATTCATCACATATAAATAAGTGTATTAAGATAAAAATTTGAGGTAAAAACATAAGCTGACAATTTTTGTAGATAATTGATAAAAATCGTATGGTCCAAAGTGAAGAAACTTCTCATTCTCTCATTTCCGTTTTCATCCGGATTATTTCCTGAGTGTAATCTCCGTTGGGGAAACAGTTACCACGGAAATATATTTTTTATATTACACCTCATCTACACTTTCATTGATCAATTTTCTGTAATCATATTATCAAAGATAAAACCACTGTTTTATATCATTTTAGAATTATTATGATGATGCTCATAAATATTTTATTTATTTTTTTTTTTTGGTTTATATTAAGAATTAAATCATTAATTTGATTATTCTAAAAAAATATTTTGTTCTTATTTTTGTTTTGTTGTAGTTTATAGCAATAATAAAAATTTTTTTCCTTAATTGCTTGCTGTTGACATAAAAAATTAAATATTTATAGCAATTTTTATCTCGACTTCTTCGAATGCTTTGTTCCTGGTAAATAAATAAAAATTCGGTTTTATTAGCCTATAAATAATCAAGGGTAAGTGAACAAATAAAAGATAATTTTCTGTTAGATACCCTTATTATTGTTATTATTAACGATAAATGAAAATTTATAAGACATAATTGTTTCTAGCTTTTAAATGAAACAATTTCTAACGAAAGAATAATTTTAAATGTTTTAAAATATATTGTAATCTATTTTCAAGTGTGATAATATTTTTAAAATTTTATAAAATTGAAACATTTGATATAAAATTCATTCTAGTTGTGGAATCAATTTTAAAAGTTAAAAAAAAAATGAAACTTTAAAAAAAATTAAATTCCTATTATAATAACTAATAATTATTTTAGAGTATAATTTTGATTGGAATGAAATTACATTTTTAAAAACGGTAATTAACAGTCAATTAACAAAAAGTGAAGGCTATGATAGTAATAAAAAATATTTTAGCTCCATTTCTGGACAATTATCTTGACAGTATCATTTGTTAGAGCTATTAAAAAGTCATTTCATTATTACAATTAATTTTATATCTCCAATATTAAAACAAAAAAAAAAACTCATCAATTCTCTATAAACTGGTGACTTTAAAATGCTATCACACCAATTTATTATTCACGTAGATATCGGTGACATTGCTTATCTTCCAGAATTATATCTCCATTCTCAAATGTATCTTCCTATTACTTTCGCCACTTTTTTATTTTCTAAACTTTTCTCAAGTTTATTCTCATCAATAATTACTCGAAAATGAAACAGATGACTTATTTTTAATTACTCTTAATGGCCCTTTATGCCCGAATAATGAAACAACTCTTGAATAAAATATCAACATATTTTACATTGAACTTGAAATATGAATGTATAGTGTGCGATTATTAAATTTACTAGCAGGTGTTAACGTGATTTATTTGACTTATTAAATGTAATTTATAAAATTGATTAGACCGTTTAAAACTCCACCAAGTACTCAAGTCAATTTACTAAAACTTTTTGACTAATTATTGTCATGTTTTTTGAATGTAATACAAGCAAAAGGACGAATAAAGTATGGTTATTGGTGTTGGGGGAAAGGGGGCTATGCGCGCGCTTAACCCGCTACCCTTGTATATCCTCTAGGGGTTGATGTCAGAGCACACCGACATCAAGTCCAGTTCTTCGCGCGACCCTAAACCCGAAAGACACGTTTACGGCCAATATACATTTCTATCAAAATCAATTCTCGGTGACAATAAAATCACATGATGATACAGACTTATTTACAACTGAGTGAATTTTGAAACAAAAAAAAAAACAAACTGTGACTTTATTTAATAAAACAATATAATTATAATTATCATTAGTACACCAGAGCTATCTTATTTAATAACTGGATTAATTTATCAAACCTTTCTGTCAATTTGCTCCTTCTTAGTAGTAAGCTTATTTTTTCTTGACTACTTTGAGCTGCTTATGGGTAAGGATCATGAATTATTAAAATACCAATAGCTAAAAAAAAACAAATAATTTGGTCGTAGTTTTTTTTCCTTTTTTACATATTTAATTCGAAAAATTCACTAAAGTAAAAATAAATATTCTTATGTAATAGTTGGTAATAATTTAGTAGTGTTTGTATAGAAAACAAAACTGAGTAGATAGAAAATATGGAAATAACACGAGCTAGAGTGGAATTAAAAGTTAAGGAAACACTTTAGATCGGACATAGAGTTTGAACGTTGCACTTCATTCATAAAAGATGAATTTACGTAAAAATGTCAGAGGAAGAAGAGTAAATTAGAACGAATTATAAATAAATCATAAAATATAACGTATTTATGACTATAGGCATTAAAGTTGGATCGAAATCGTGACAGTGGACTAGAGGCTTATGACGTTTGTATCCGCAAAGATAAACAGTTAGTGAGCGCGTGGTGCATATACTCGTGCTAACAAAATGAGATAAGCTCGCGATAATTGAAAATAAAATGAAGGAAAAATAAAATGATAGGCTAATGTTGAACATAAGATAATCATTTAGAGATAGATATAGTGTACATTAGTATTATTGTAAGCATAGAAATGGTGACTGTTAACCGGTAGTGCTATAGCACAAATACGCTTGGCCGAGTTTCAGTGGCAAATATGGAAAGGGTTAAGGGGTAATGGCATATCGCCACAACTTGCATCACTGCATTTAATGCAAGTCCACTGTCCGTTTTACCGGAAGCTGACACCTAACATTTTAGTCCCAACTGTTACGGATCGTTGCTATTCAAAATGATGCATACGATTCCTCACCATGACACTCATACTCACAGCTATTCTGTTAATTCAATTATTAACTCTGCTCAACTACGAAATTACAATCTCATTATTTTTCAGGGTTGAATTTGTTTTTTTTTTTTTTTGCTATTCTGCATATATGGTTGAAATCGATATGATTTCTTTTTTTTTTTTGGTCAAGTAATATCAAGTGATTTTTTTTTTTTTTTATATATTTTTGATTGATAGACCTAGATGTGCCTGTCAGTTTAAATTTTTTAGATACATTGCATTAGAAGAAATATTTTCTGAGATTAAATAGAGATATTTGGTGGAAGTAAAGAAAAAAATTTGATCAATGAAATTATTTAATTAATTGATAGAATATTAAGTTATTTAATTACTTGAAAAGGTATTAATGTATTTTATTTTATTGAAAATATTGATGGTAAAAATAAAATGGAACTTTTGTATTACAGAATTTAATACCAACATTTTATTAGCAAATATTTATTGTTCAATGAATGATTTTAATTTTATTATGACTTTATTAATTAAAAATATGAATCAAAGTGATGATTATTATTATTTTATTAATATCATTTATTTATTTTATAATCAATAATTCTATTTTTGACTTTTTAATATTCAATCATCGTATTTGAAGCTTCCTAGACAGTTTTCTATCAACCAAAAAATTCCTAAACTCCAGTTATCCTGGTAGATTTGATGAGAGTATCCCTCTAAATAATTTTCATTGCGATATATTTATTTTTATCGTCGATAATAAATGGGAATAAATTTTGAGGAAAGAATGCGATTCTTTTGTAGTTCGTGATACATTCGAGTCTGTCAGGTATGAAATAAATTTTATTTTGCGGATCTTCCGCATTCTTTTCCTATAGTAAAAGAAATAATACGGATATATATATATAAAAAGTCTGTATATAGAAGTACGTGACGTAAATTTTTATCTGAGTGCGTGATTCGTTAGGTTTTTTTTTTAAGGATTTGTCTTTTTTAATTACACAAGTAGATTGAAAGAGTACGAAGAATTGATGATATGTAAAAGTAAGACAAATATTATTGAATTAGTTGAAAAAATTTTGAAGAAAAATCATCCAATGTTTATTTTTTTTTTTTACAGAGTAGATATTTAAATTTTTCGTGTTTCTATTTTCTTAAGTGTAAAAATGTTAATATAATATACTTATTATGGTAATTTTATGTAACTTGTCCCATTCCAAACCACTGAGCCATGATGAAAAGGACATTTCATACTTTTAAGAAAAATTAGTTTCAAAATGTATTGTTGAAAGTAATGAGATTAAATAATTTTATAAGAACAATGTTCTATTTTGTTTTTATGCTGACATAATAATAAAGATAAATAATTTCCACATTTTCTTCAATTTTAAATTTATATCTCC